CAACGGCATCATGTCGGCACCACCCTACCCGATGAGCAATAATTGAACGATGCAGAATGCAAACCTTTTTTTTTTTTTCTTTTCAAACAAAAAATAATGTTAACAATTACGAAAAAAATCATCACGATCTTTGTTTCTTTCTCGTACAACTTGTATTTATTTTACGATGCTTCGTCATCGTAACGATGTTGTATATATTTGCAAGTGCGATTACAGCTAGAGCCGATAACGACTTGTGTTATATTTTAATTAACTCATTTAATTATACGGTCGTTAGCCCTATTAAACTAATGATCAACTAATAGTTTAACTATAAATGCTTAATTATTGCCAACAGTAGGCCATAAGTTAAGTTGTTCTTAGCTCGAATTTACCATTATTAGTATCTTCACAAACCGTTTATTTCATGCTACACCTAGTGAAACACACCGACTATTTTATCGTTTATTAACCAAAACACACACACACACACACACACACACACACACACAGTCATTTATCATTACCAACTAATTAACCTTGAAACTCTTCAGCATTTTGTTTGATCCAAACAAACCGCCATATTGTTTTAAAGAACCTGCTATAAAAACTCGAAGAAAATATAACAGCAACACGAAAACATGTTTGTGAAATAGTGTGACCCTCTGCACATCTGCATGGTCTCACACAGCTACTGTAATGCACGAACATCGGCCGTATACAGTCGACAGACATACGGCGGTCGTGCAGAATACTTTTCCCAGGTGAAAAAAAATAATTTGAAAAAAAAAGTAATAAAACCAAACAAACAAAAGCCAACAAAGAAAACAGAAAATAAAACAAAATAATACACACCTGATAGAGGGGTACACTTTACAACAGTGAACAAGACTGGCAGTATTAGTACATTTGAAGTTGACAACAGTTCGTTCGTTTTCTTTTCTTTTCTCTTTCCCTCTTATCTATTTTAGTCGCATTCGCGGTGCATTTGCATGTGGATTTATTCTTACTTTTTTTTACCACAGGTTACATAAATATTCGGTAAGATTTTGCCTTCACAACGGATAACCGAACCTTCTAAGATCCCTTGTGAAGAAGGGGTGAGATAGAGCTTCTCTTGCTTTAAGCCGTTGTGCCGGGTCGTATCGTAAAAGCCCTTGCAAAAGATCGATCAAATCTCCAGCCGAGTGGTCCACATGTTGCATTATAAGGTTCTGGGGAAAAAAAAAACAATTATACAGAAAATCTAACGTATCTGTCGAGAAACGATTATACAAATGAAAGAAGGATTTCGTGGTATTTTGCTTTTTGATACACGAAATGACACTTTCGACAGAGTAGAGTTACAATACCTGAAGTCGGGGTAGTTTCCAAACTGCCCTCATACTTTCTCTTGATGTGGCACCCTCTGGCCAATCCAATCTCGATCCCCTTTTGAAATATTTCTCAGCACGCCGGCTATAAAAGAAACAAATATCAAGCCCTCGTATTAATCCAAAGATTAATATATACAAATATGATATAATATATTTGTATATATATATATATCCTACTCGGCTCGCATAATGATATTTTGAGGCAGTGGACCTAACACCCTTTCCATCATTGCAAGATGTTCCAAGTTCTCATGAGTCTGGAAAAGTGCTTCTCCCTGTCACCAATTATTATTTTTTTTTTCGAAATTAGAATTATGAAGAATAACTCGTATCGGAATCGACCAAGATGATGGTAAAACTGAACTTGACCTAATCTAATGAGTAGACCTCACTTTAGTAGAATATTCGAGATATATATAACAAGAGAAAATCCACAAAGATGAACATAAATCTTTGGTGCGACATATCCAATCTTGGAAAATGGTGTAAAAGTATAACTGATGCGTTACTTACAGAGCACAATTCCACAAGTATGCAACCTATACTCCACAAATCGCAGGGATAATTCCATCCGGTACCTTTTGAAAACAAAACAATACCACCCATTCACATTAAAATGATGAAAACTTAATTGCAAAAGGTCAAAATATGAAATGAGCCGCCAATTACCCAAAATAACCTCCGGAGCACGATAATGGCGGGTAGACACTACATAGGTGTGGTCTTGGTGTTCAAATGTGGTACTACCAAAATCAATAAGCTTTATTGCACTTGACTTGGGTAGATTTTTGAAGTATGAACCATCTTTTACGGATCTCGACAGAAACTTCAAAAAAGGCAGAAGAGGAAATATAATTTGTCAGTCATCAGAATTTATAATAGCATTTGCCGAAACTAACAACAATAGGAGAAACTTCATCAGGAAAATAGGAGAAATAAACAATATCAGGTCTAAGAACTTACAGTTGACTCGTCAAACTACCGAGCATAGATCTCGAAATATTAACCATTTCAATGAATCAAAATCAAAGAGGAAGAGTATATTAAAATACATGCTATAACAGAATCAATCACCTTATAATCTGGAACTTTAATGTATTCTGAGGAAACGAGAAGAATATTTTCTGGTTTCAAATCGGTGTGGATCAGGCGAAGATCATGCATAACTGCAAGAACAGCCAACAACAATAAGCAAGATAATAAAGCACATAAGTACATTTATGCATAACAATCGAGGTAAGAGCTGTATAAAAGCAGGGTAGTGACGCCATAAAAAAGATCTGTTTAAAAAAGTTCAAATAATTAAAAAAGAGGAGAATAGTGTTGCAAAGATATGTTCACACACATGCCACAGATTCCAAAAGTTGTCTGCCAAACTCCCGGACAAGATCAATGGGAAATGAACGATAGCTGTTTTTGCGTAGAAAATCATATAAGCTTGGACCAAGCCTCTCAAATACCTGTTAAGACCATTTAAATTCATCCGCAAGTATTTTAACTCACAGAATATTCGGGCGTGAAGGAACGTCATACCCATTCAAATTTAAGCAAACCATAAATCACATTTAAATACTTACGATACAAATATGATTACGATAGTCAAACCAATTCCGTATTTGCACACAACTGCAAGGAATAAAACAACTTACACTAAAATCACTTCAATTTTCTAGAGCTTGTAAATGAAGGCATAAAAGAATAAAGATTCTTACCGTGTGCCACAGATATCATGCCTTGCTAGTTTCTGTAGGACATCGATTTCGATCATGGCGGCTTCGCGGTACTTCTGTATTGAACGAACTACTTTAATTGCAACAATTTCTTTCCTTTCATTGTCCAGACATTCTAGAACTTGCCCAAAAGTTCCTGCAGTAATTCATCCAACAATTGGTAAAATATACTATCAGATACAGAACCGGTAAAACGGATGACGAGAGGAATCACAAGAAACTGGTAAGGGAAGAACCAACTAACCTTCGCCCATTTTACTGAGAATCCTATCTGCAAATTGAGGGATAAAAAAGAATTAGAGGAGACAGAGAGTAGATGCATTAAGGATAAACATATCATCATCCAAAATGTGATCATAAATAGTCAAAATGCATAACGAATTATTCCAAAGTGCTTATAACACAAAAATGTAAGATCATAGAGAAATCACTTCAATCAAATTTTGCAGATAACAATTCGGTTTCAACTTACAAATTCGGCGTTTCTTCACGCCAAAATGTAAACTATAAGATTGACCTCTCTTTTTTAAAAGGAAAGAGGAAAAAAGTTAATTGCATTATAATCACGTGCGTATTATCCATACTTCTTATAAAGCTTCGAGACATTAATTCCGTTACTATTATTGAAAAGTGAGAATTAGAAAATTTAAGGCCCACCAAACTTGTGATACAAAATATTTTTCAAAAATATTGCATCACAAATTTCAGTTACGACAATTTAAATGATTAGTAACACGTGTTGTATCCAGTAAGAGAAAGAAAGAGTGTCATATTTCACAGATGAATTCACTAGCATTAACACTATTTATATACAAAGACCCTAATAAGTAATAATACAAGGGCATAATGGATAAAAATCGCATTATCCATAATGCTTATGCTCCTTGGCTCCTCGTAAGCTTCATTGTCGTCAATTGCAAAAAGTGATAGATCGGGCTGAGCTACAATTAAGATAAATGCTTCTTAAATTTTTAAATCTTCCCATATGCAGATATGACGTCCAAACCTATTGTATTTAATTCCAATATAGGACATTGAATGTGGAATCATATCCATTACTTTTATCGAACTTAGACTCACAGCTACTAATGATTCATACTTGTATCAAAAAGAACGAAATTTTCCACATTATTTCATTAATAATGCTTTCTATTTCACTTCATGCTGAGGATAACGATATATATCATGGAAAACATGTTTCTAAATTACAAAAATCATAATACAAAAAGTATTTCTCTCAACATGATATACTAAATCTTTTCTACATTACATAATTATTTTAATTGGGACAGTATATTATTAAAAGTTCTATCACCAACGAAATATCAGTATCCTACTATAAGAATATTTCAGAAAAACTTAAGTACGCAAGAAAGAGAAAGGGGAAAAGATCAATAACCGCTTTAAAAGTACAGAAGTTTTTCCTTTTCATCATAGATTGCTAACCACTCAACTTCGCATGAATCATTATTCTACTTTGCACATCATAGTGAATGCTGCAATATTTAATGAAGTATAAAAACTATCATAATTTGTTTTTATCAAAATATTGACTTAACGCTCTTGCATGTAGTATGTGTCCTAAGGTGGATATCATTAAACAAGGGATACGTTTCTCCACTTTTTGATATACAACTCATTAAATTAAAATGAAAAAAAAAATATAAGGAAATACTATAGGGGCAAAAAGGAAAATCTTGGAAAAAATATACAATAAACGGATAAAGCATTCTAAATATGATCTACACTACATGCAGAAGGCCAGGTTTCATTAATTCAGGAAATGTGTGTAGGTATCATACTTCTGTAGTAAAACAAGGAGGAAGCTAGCAAATCCGCAAGCACAACAGCAAAGACAAGACTTTGAGGGTGTTCTATATATTCGGATAGAGAAAACATAGGATTAGGACGAGAGGGACGCACTACTTTAGTCAATAGATTCATCAATATGACGCTATTTCCATTATACAACTGAAGTTGTCAGATGTTTCTGAGGAAAATTGTTCTACAACTGTTCATCTATATATAATATTTAGAAGAAAATCTGATAGCGCAATTTCTCTCGAACACAAAGAGCGCTTTCCTTCATATTCCCCACCAGAGCGCACCTTCACGGTTCAAAACATTCAAGCAATGATAAGAAAGAGCAAAGAAAGAATTCAATGTCGTCATATACTGATACTTGAGTAGAGACGAGTACCACATTCAGAGTGTCACAACTCACAATTGTACCGAGCAGCAATGCACATAATAATAATCACATTGGACTCAATTTCAGGTACTTACAACGAGGAGTCAAGTTCTCCCCAATCGCAAAAACATAATGCCCATCTTTATCGTCCAATCTCCAAGGAGGAGAGCCGTTACGGGGAATCCCTTTATAATATATCGAAGAATACGCAAAATTGGGGACTGCCCCAAATTCTTGACCACAGTATATAGTTGGAAGAATCTGCACCAACAACAAAAATTCACAAAACAAAACCCAGAGGAACAGAAATAAACTAAACAATTCCCCACAAAAAAAGCCTTGGAAAAAAATCCTAAAGGGCAGATCACGCAATCAGAACCCTAGAAAAAAAATATTGTAAAATTTTCACTAACGGCACACTGATAACTGAAGAATTGTATCTCCACAGTTCACATCCAATCCAATTTACAGATAAGTTATCCAAAAAATGCAAATGCTAGGTTTTGCAATAAAATAAAAATATATCTGAAAAATAAAAATTGGACCTTTGGGGGAGGGGGAGGAGGAACAGCTGGAGGTATCTCCCACGTCAAACGAGGTCGTTTTCGAGGTCTTTTATCCATGCTTCTATGCGGGAAATCCAACACTCTTTGGGTCTCCATCCATATAGAAGAAACAAATTAAATATTCAAATCGGCAGAGAAAAATAAATATATTATAATCAGTCAAAGATTGGAATTGAAAATAAAAATCACAAATTGGGGGAAATTGAGTAAATCCAGAATCGGATTCCAAAAAAAAAAAAAAAAAATTGGGTGGTAAATTAGAGTGAATAAGATTGAACAGATCTGGGAGAAAGGAAAAGGTCCAGGAAAGGAGAAGAGTTAGAAAGTAACCGTGGTTTGGTTAGTTAACCAGAGTTTAATTGCTACGTGGGATTAAAGATATTTTTTTATTTTCCATTTTGTTTTAATGACTCACCACCTTCGGTCCGGTTTCTCATTGAGATCTAAAGTCGCTGATTGCCAAAATACGGAGTAGCGCTTTTTAGTGCTAATGCAAAGAAAAGGAGGGAAGGTTACGAGAGGTGAATTGCTTTTGGTGGACGCTGAACTCTTTTCTGGGCCTTGTATAATTGGACTTCAATGTTTAATTTGTGAGAATGAGGCTTAATTATTAATAGCTCAATTAAAATTAGGCCCACGTTTAGTTATTTAAAATAGATCCAATTGTCAATTTTGTTTTAATGCAGCTATTGCAAGCCCAAAATTGGCCGAGCACAAGTAGGACTGTAATCGGGCCATGGGACTCGAGCTCGAGCTTCGTTGGTTCAAACTAACGTACCATCGGATATTACTATAAGCTCATGTTCGCATGCCATTGGGACTCATCAGCATAGACTCAAGTTCGGCTCATATATTTTTTCGGTTTACAAGTTTATATCAGGTCTCATTATTATAGAACTGTAATAAGTAATTTTTTTTTTTATGCAAATCAACATTTACCTCCATCACGAAAGAACCCCTATACGATTTTTGCAAGTTATTGAAAAAAACATAGAAACTATAGTGAAAGAAGTAAGAAAAAAAAGATTAGTATTCTCTTATTATTGAAAACGTTTTATATTCTCAAATTCCGATGATAAATTTCACCTATTAGGTTTTGTTGACTATGTTGCATTTGATTCTTATTTTAACTATTGTCACCGCCACCAAGTAATTCCTTCAATGTTTTACTTTTTCTTTTTACAAAATAAAATAATCTTATACGATTGTAACTTGTAATTAGTATGTCGAGCCATATCATAAAAATAATAAAATATGTTACATATTTTATTATTAATTAAATCGATCGACCCTATTTAGATTGAACTAGTAGACTGAAACTCGTTTCATAAATAAATCGATTTAGTAAAATGACTCATACTCAATATTCCAACTTACTAAGTCTCGGCTCAAATATAATCGGGCCGAACCATCGGGCTTCGATTAGGCCCACTTCAATTACCGATTCTAAACACAAGACTACGAAATCCTTTAAATTTCCAAGTACAAAACCATAAAAAATATTTTAATTGAAAATAAAAATATCATAAACGTCAAAACTAAATTTATTAGATACTTTGATTTTAAATGAAGAGTTTCAATATTTAGTATTTTTCAGGGAGAAAGGGATTACAATAAAATAAAATACAAAAAAAAAAAAAAAAAAAAAAAATTAAAAACGGAAAAATGGGAAATGAAAAAGCTAATCACGTGGCAAGCTCGTGGGTCGTGGCGCTGCCATCATATAAAAAGCGGTCAGCTTCTCCGCCTCCACAAACCCTAGAAACGGCACTCCGCTCCTCAGGTTCACCTCCGTCTCTCACTCATCAGTCTTCTTCGTCGAAGTTTTTTTGCCCTAACAGGATTATTCAAATCGTTTTCTTCTGCAGGTAATACTTTCATTAGGGTTTTAGGGTTCGCATCTTCCTCAAATGGCTCCAGCTAAAGGTAACTCCCATTTTCAATTTCTCACCGATTTAAGTCTTAGAAATTTCTGTTGCTGGTGGAGCAGCAATTATTATTCATCAGTTCACATATTTTTTTTACTCATTTCCAACAGTTTAAATTGAGTGGCGTGAAAATCGATTTGATTTTTTTTTATTATGCGCTTAATTTGGGAAAACTGTGCATCATATCTATTGTGTGAATGTAAAAAAAAAAGAAGCTATACCTTTGATTTCGTATGGTAGAAAAATGGGTTTCAATGTTAGCACGAAAAGCAGAAAGCCTGAAGTGTATATCTTGGTTAATTAGGTATTTAAATAATTTATTTGGCAGATTCATATATCTTTAATCTCGTTGGAAGATTGGATTGGAAATTACTAGTTTTGTTATGATTTAAGTTTTATAGCTACAATAGATTAAGAAATGGAAAATTTGCTGCATTTCGCTTCGGACTTGCATAGTTAGTTTATGGAGTTGCATATAATTTGCTACACTGTTGAACGGTGTTCATAATACTGTATTCATTATTTTTTTCGACAAAGATAACACTATATTTTGATATACAGGAACTGTAACTACAGTTAGTAAAAATATTCGAAATATGTTAAAGAACATGTGTCTCAATGTGAAGATTGTCCATTTGATGAAATTTTGATATATTCTCCTCTGTTTTGACTGTTCTATGGTGCAAGTTTTTCTGCATATCTTGCTTTTACCTGTTTATTACCTGATTTGTTTGTTACGCATGTGCAGTTGATAATGCCAAGAAGTCAGACCCAAAGGCACAGGCCTTGAAGACAGCCAAAGCTGTCAAAGCAGGTTCAACAGCCTTCAAGAAGAAGTCAAAGAAGATACGCACTAAGGTTACCTTTTACCGACCGAGAACATTGAAGAAGGACAGGACCCCCAAATACCCTCGCATCAGTGCTCCACCGAGGAACAAGCTCGACCACTACCAGATTCTGAAATACCCACTCACCACCGAGTCGGCTATGAAGAAGATTGAAGACAACAACACCCTTGTTTTCATTGTTGACATCCGTGCTGACAAGAAGAAGATCAAGGCTGCTGTCAAGAAAATGTACGACATTCATACCAAGAAAGTGAACACTCTTATCAGGTAACCAAGGATTTCGTTATTCTTTTTGGTGTTCAACAGTTCTGTCTTTTTTTCTCTCTCAAGTATATGCGGTAGTGTTTTAATGGATCCCATATTTTTTAAAGTTTTTCTGTTACTACTGCATCATTATTTGTGTGCGTAGATTGTATAGATTAATGCTAATCGACTCACTGTCAACTTAATCTTGCAATTTGGAAAAACTTATATCGGTTGCAACTTGGACATTGTCGATTACATTTGATCGTGTCATCTATTTGCTGCAGCTGTGTATTTCGTTTCACTGGCTGTGGTTTTTGAATGTATTGTGAATGTCGTCACTTCACTTTTTGCAAGTTTTAATTATCTTTGTTAGCTCTTATTGACTTTTATGAACATCTGTTGCAGGCCGGATGGCACGAAGAAGGCATACGTTAGGTTAACACCCGACTACGATGCTTTGGATGTCGCTAACAAAATCGGAATTATCTAAGTAATGGAATCTCGAGTTTTGTGTTTTGCTTTTTCTCAAGTATTGGACTGTATGAACTCTGAATTTTGTACTAAATACAGAACCTTGTTTCATTTCATTTTAGACGTTTGTGGTTCAGAAACTAAAACTCCCCAATTTATATTATTGTTCGATTAGATTGGTTTATATTTTAACTTTCCTTGCCCTCTTTATTTTCTGTCTTCTTTTGGAAATTTACTCCGGTTTCATTACTTTTTTTCAATAAAATAAATTTATCAATCACGTATTAAAATTTAATATATAAGATCAAAATTTGTTACAAAATTGGAATCTTGTCCACCCTTCGAATGATCAAGAAAATTCCCCAAAGCTATGTAAATTTCATCTTTATTGCAATGTCTTTTATCCCCTGTAACAAAAACATGAATCTTGCTACTAATTTCAACCCAACTGCTCCCAGGAATTCTCACCAAACCCTTCTCCTTCATATTCTGCCTCACGTTCGAAACATCTCCCCATCTCCCCGCGGCAGAATGTGCATTCGAAAGCATCACATAAGACGAAACATCTCGCGGATCAAGCTCCAAGATTCTTCTAGAAGCAACCTCTCCCAACTCCACATTCGAATGAACCCTACACCCTCCGAGCAACGCCTTCCAAAACCCTAATCCGCAATCGAAGGGCAAATCGTTCATAAATCTCTCAGCTTCTACAAACCTCCCGTTACGCGACAGCAAATCAATCATGCACGCATAATGCTCTGCTTTTAAGTCCTCGCTTTTCGCCTTTTTGAAGTACTTATAAGCTTCGTCGACAAGGCCAGCGTGATTACAAGCCAATAGCAAACCTAATAGAGTAACACCGTTCGACTCAATGCCCATTAGCTTCATTCTCTCGTACGTTTCTATTGCGATTTTTCCTTGTCCGTTCTGCGCATACCCGCATATCAGAGCGTTCCAAGAAACCACATTTCTTTCAGGCATTTTATCGAACACCAATAGGCTATCTTCGACGCACCCACATTTCGCGTAGAAACTTATCAGAGAATTCGCGAGAAACAAGCCAACATTGCCCAAGAACTTCACCGCACAAGCATGGATACTTCTCCCCATACCTAACGCTCCAATATTTGCTGCTGCAATCACAGCACAAGGGTATGTGGACTGACTGGGCGTAAAACCTTCCCTCAACATCTCAACGAAGAAATTGACAGCTTCTTCGTTTTTACCGGATTGGCCGAATCCACTTATCATAGTATTCCAAGAAACCACATTTCTCTCGGGCATGGATCTGAAAACCACCTCGGCCTCATCAAATCTGCCTTCTTTAAGGTACGCGTGAATTAACGTGGCGTAAGAAACTACGTTTGGCTCGTCGATATCGTAAAAAGCCATTATTGCATAATCGATGGCGCTTAATTTAGCGTAAAGATCCAATACTGCACTACCTACAAAGACGTTCGAATCGAGACCGACTTTTTTCGCGTAGGAGTGGATTTGTCTGCCAAGATGGAGGTCTTTCAGGAGAACGGAAGAACGGATGACGGTGCCGAAAGTGTATTCGTTGGGTTTGATATCCGAAAGGCGCATCTTCAAGAAGCAAGAAATGGCTTCCCCGTGTCGGTTTTGCTTCGCGAAGTGGCCTATCAATGCTGTTGCCGATTTCACATTACGTTCGGGCATTTCGTCGAACAGCTGGTGAGCGTCTGATTTTATTGCTTCCGGTGTTCTTTCTTGAGGTGGATTGAAATGTATAGCAGCAGGTATGTGGTGGTGGGAGCTTCTGGTATTTATGTTCTTCGCTAACGGCGAACAATGTGTGAATATTGCGAGTTTATTTCGATGAACCAAATGCAGCACTACTGCCATTTCAATATGTAATTAAAAATTGGCAAGAAAATGAAGTTGTAATAAAAGCTTATTTAAATAGAGAAAAATAATTTATTTTTTGGCATTAATAAAATAAAAAAATAACCTCATTCTTCCGAAACTCTCTCACAACACTCCCACCCACGCCAATGGCGATCGCCGCCGCCGTAACGCTGCCACACACAGCCGTCAACCGCCGCAATTCGCCGTCACCGTATTCGGCTTCTTTCGATAGCTTCCGGATCTCTTCTTCTTCCTTTAAGCAACCAATTTCTCTGAAACCAATCGCCATTAAACCTGATTTCCGCGTCTTCTCTACTATGACCATTCACCCCACGGAGAAAAGCTCTCAAACTTCTCTCCTCAATCATAGAAAACAAGGTCAAATTCTTCATTTCGTCAAGTATCACGGACTCGGCAATGATTTCATACTGGTAATTTTTACAACAGTTAATTATGTTAAATTGCATTGTCGGTTCAATTCTGCTGTCCGAAAATCCAAAAATATGTTTTGATGGTTCAGTTAATGAAATATACATACTAAACTAGATACTATTGATACACATAGTTGGTTTTATTTTTCGATTTTTTTTTTGTTTGATGGTTCATTTCGATTAGGTCGACAATCGGGATTCGACGGAGCCTAAAATAAGCCCCGAGCAAGCGGTGAAATTGTGTGATAGAAACTTTGGGATAGGAGGTGATGGAGTCATATTTGCAATGCCAGGCACTAATGGCACTGATTATACCATGAGGATATTTAACTCCGACGGTAGTGAACCCGAGGTAATTTATCTCGGGTTTTTATTTTGTGTGTGTGTGTGTGTGTGTGTGTGTGTGTGTGTGTGTGTGTGTGTGTGTGTGTGTGTGTGTGTGTGTGTGTGTGTGTGTGTGTGAGTAGAAGCCTCCATTGTTGCATTGTTTGGTTATGTGGAAAAGGAATCGTTTGCCAGCAAGCATAGAGACGACGTTTTGCTTCGTTTCTTGGTCCTTTTCGCCTTTTTTCCGTATCTTATCGAAAATACTTACTCGAGTGTAAGATAGCTTTGTTGACTTGTCTCTACCTTTTGCACTTATGTGTTCATAGATGTGCGGTAATGGAGTCCGATGCTTCGCCAGATATATAGCCGAGCTTGAAAACCTGTCGGGAAAGCAAAGGTTTTTTTCTAACTCGTTTATTTTTCGTAAAGATTCTCACTGTCTTGGTCTTCACACTTCACTTGCCTTATAAGATATACATACATATCAGCTCATGTATTTGTCATTTTAATTTTCGACTTTTTTATCGGTGTTAATTTTGTAGTTTCACTGTGCATACTGGAGCTGGCTTAATTGTTCCTGAAATTCAAGAAGATGGAAAGGTACCCCTCGGAAAAATAAATCTCGTAACTAAGTTATATATTTTCTGGTAAATTTCCGAAGAAACGACATATTTTTTTTTATGCCAAAACTTATGACTAATTTGTTTCTTGATTGTATCGTATTTTCAGGTCAAAGTTGATATGGGTGAGCCAATTCTCACGGCATCAGATGTTCCGACAATAATAACTCCAAATAAAAACGAGTCTGTCGTGAAGGCAAAATTAGGTGTAGATGGGTTGATTTGGAATGTGACCTGTGTTAGCATGGGAAATCCTCACTGCATCACTTTCGGTACAGAATCGAGCGAGGTATAATACTTGTCTTTTTTATATATATATATTTTTTTGGTATTTTCACTCGCGTCGTTTTTCCCTTTGGACTTGTAATGAACAGGATTTGGTAGTAGATGAACTAAACTTATCAGAAATCGGCCCCAAATTCGAACATCATACGATGTTCCCTGCTCGAACCAACACAGAATTTGTCCAAGTCTTGTCTCCAAGTCACCTGAAAATGCGTGTTTGGGAGCGTGGCGCAGGTTATTATATTTTTAATCAATTTTTTTCTTAGTCCGACTTTTACTATATTCATATAAACAAATTCAATCTCTGTAATTTAATATTTCAGTTTCAAACTTGGAGTTAATTCAATTGATTTATTCATGCAGGTGCAACGTTAGCCTGTGGAACAGGCGCTTGTGCTGTTGTTGTTGCTGCAGTTCTCGAGGGTCTTGCTGAAAGAGTAAGTTCGAAACTTTTTGCTTCGTATTCAAGAACATAGATTTTCAGACATCCTTAAAGAATCTACATGTCGTGTTTTTGATACCTGTTGTGCTGTTAAAACAGAGTTGCAGAGTGGAATTGCCTGGAGGGCCGTTGGACATAGAGTGGAGAGAAGAAGACAATCACATCTACATGACGGGCCCCGCCCAAATTGTATTTTACGGATCAGTTCCTCTCTGAGGGATTTTATCGAAACCGTTCCTAAATTATATTCCTTATTTCGAGCTACATTGTGAATGAATAACGATTAATATTCTCTCGTTGCGATTTCTAGTTGTCGTGTGTAATGGGGAATACTTTTTTGCTATGTGCTTTATTTGAAATGAGTGAGATACCCGACTCTTTCTCTCCGTTATCTTCTTATGTTGTCAAATCGAGTGGAATCTTCTAGATTATGTGGAATATTCTCAAGTTTGTATTCGATTTATTCAATCTGAGCTCCACGTTTTGAAACAAGATGGTCGTAAGATATATTTGTCAATATCAGATTGTGGTGCATCGGTAACTGTATTTTTTTTTTTTTGCACAAAACGAGTACAACGTAGAGAATATTCCGTATAATCTAGAATTTTTTGTTGAATTTGACACCGCAAGAATGGACGTGTAAGAAGATTCATAGTTGAGACGGGTGATTGAAATTACCCAAACATGAGGGGTATTTTTGTAATTTAACTTTATCTTAAGAGTGACCGTAATTTACCCTAAACTATGTACATGTCAAATAAGATTCAATTATTTTATTTATTTTAAATAAATAAAATAATTTTCCAAAAAAAGAGAGAATAAATAAATTTGAGGGGCCAAGCCAAGATTTTACAAAATCTGCACTCCCCAACGGTAGAATTATCAAAAAAGTTGCAGACGCGCCTCAATTTGAATTTACTCAGAAAAGGCAACACCATAATATTACACTATAGCTGTTCGAAATTCAAAATCATACAATTCTCCCTTCTCACCTAAGAAAAAACCACAACAAAACCCCTCTTCTCCGATCATCAAATTCCAGCTCATCGCAGCAAGTAATTCAGTAAGTATCTCTTTAATCCCTCCTTTTTCTGGCCCCATCCGTCAATTTACACTGCTTTTTCATTTTAATTTTTCCTTTTTTATGGGTTTTAAAGGTGTCGATTGAAAAGGGAAAAGGGGAAGAAAAAAATGGGTTCTTTAACGCCGGATCTGCGGAAGGTGGGTATGGGCATGGCGCCTTCTCCGTCGCCGTTCTACACTCCGCGACCCGAAAGGCGGCGCCCGGATTCAAGAGGCTCCGATTGGAACACGAATCGTTCCGACAAGGATAAAGAAGTCAATGTGCAGGTTCTGCTCCGTTGCAGGTATATTCCGTTTTAAGGGTTTCTATTTTTTTTTTATAGGTCGCCAGTTGTCAGCTGCAGTTTTGGGTTTCTTATTATTTTCTTCAAATTTTTGTAGGCCGTTAAATGATGATGAACAAAGGTTGAATGTGGCCAAGGTAGTCACATGTAATGAAACTCAAAGAGAAGTCACAGTTTTGCAAAGTGTTGCTAGCAAGCAAGTCGATAGGGTTTTCACCTTCGATAAGGTACGTTTTTTCGGGATTCCGCAACTTGCAACTTTTTTCGATACTGCACAAGCTTTGTTTATCACATAAGGAAATATTTTTTCTAAAAATATTTTGAAGGTTTTTGGGCCAAAAGCACAACAACGATCCATATACGATCAAGCTATTTCGCCGATTGTTAGTGAAGTATTAGAGGGCTTCAACTGCACAGTCTTTGCGTACGGGCAGACTGGAACCGGTAAAACTTATACAATGGAGGGGGGCATGAGAAAGAAGGTATACAATTATATAATTTGTCTCCCTATAAATTAATCGATAATGTTTTCGAAATTTATTATGTTAATCGATATTGTGTATGTAGGGTGGTGAATTGCCTGTTGAGGCAGGTATTATACCTAGAGCAGTTCGCCAATTTTTCGACACCCTCGAGGCACAAAATGCCGATTATAGTATGAAAGTGACCTTTTCGGAACTCTATAATGAGGAAATAACCGACCTGTTAGCCGCAGAGGATCAAGTAAAATCTACAGAAGAAAGACAAAAGAAGCCGATTTCTTTGATGGAGGATGGAAAGGGTTCTGTGATAATACGAGGACTCGAAGAGGAAGCTGTGTACAGTGCTAATGAAATTTACAGCCTTTTGGAACGAGGTGCCTCTAGAAGACGCACAGCAGACACTTTGTTAAATAAACGGAGCAGGTATGAAAGTTTTCGATTCAGTATATGCCTCTGTCGTTAAATAATATTGGTATAAATAATAAATAGTTATTTTTTTATTTTTTTTTGTTTCAGTCGCTCGCATTCTATTTTTACGATAACTGTTTACATAAAAGAAGGAACAATTGGAGATGAAGAGCTTATCAAATGTGGCAAGCTTAATCTTGTTGATTTAGCTGGGTCGGAGAATATATACCGTTCGGGGGCTCGAGAGGTAATAATAAACTCCTGTATTCTGAAGAAAAAATTGTAAATAAGAACTCGTGAATAATTGGAGTAATATAACATATCTTTTGAACTTACGAAGTTTTAGTAACTGTAAATTGCAGTTGTTTTTCGTCCATGTTCGAGAAAAAATGATAATTGTAGTCCAATTGTGAATTTTCATCATTGGTCACATCTACAAAGATATCCTCGAATATTTCAGCTTTCGTTATTTATTTATTTATATTAACGTAGAGTTCTCCTACATAAACAATGTTACAGGCTCGTGCAAGAGAAGCAGGAGAGATAAATAAGAGCTTACTAACCTTGGGTCGCGTCATTAATGCCCTGACGGAGCATTCTGCTCATGTACCTTATAGGTTTGAGAAAGTCTCGATTTTTCCCTCGCTAAGAAAGAACTAAGTTCCTGATCTGAAATACGTGTGTCTTAATTTTGTATGCAGGGATAGTAAGCTTACAAGGCTTCTTAGAGATTCATTAGGCGGGAAAACAAAAACTTGCATTATTGCGACGATATCTCCTTCTGCTCATTGTTTGGAAGAAACATTGAGCACGCTCGATTATGCATATCGTGCTAAAAGCATAAGAAACAAACCAGAGGTTATACCAATTTTCTTTGCTTATGCTTTCTCTTGATATCTTCGTAACCATTTCACGCGTAAGCTAAAAGTAAGCTAATGCTTTTTTGAAGGCAAACCAAAAAGTCGCGAAAGCTATGCTGCTTAAGGATTTGTACTTGGAAATAGAGAGAATGAAGCAAGGTTTTTTTTTCGTGATTTTCTTTTCTTCTTTCATATGGCATTAACTAATAATAATTCTATTTCTCATTTTATTTTTTTCTTAATGTCTTTAGATGTTCGAGCAGCAAGGGAAAAGAACGGTGTTTACATTCCGAACGAGAGATTTCTGCACGATGAAGCTGAAAAGAAGGTCAACTTTTCCTCGGACCTGTGTTGGACTCTTTGTTTCGTAGAATAAAATCAATGAATTTAATTGCACAAAATATCGTATCTGGATAGAGATAAAAAATCAGAAAATAGGTTAATTGCCTCCGAAGATTTTGTTTATGTTAATCTCATGGTGATGTGCAAATCTTGCAGGCAAAAAATGAGAAGATCGAGCAATTACAGAGCGATCTTAATGCGAGCGAGAAGGTAATCCATGCTTCTCTCTTTTTTTCTTTCGTTTCCTTTTCTCACTAACTTTTACTGATGGTTTTTATCTAACTTGTTGACATCTCGTTTTTTCTCGCAGCAACTTGAAAAATTCCGTGAGCTTTATCTTAATGAACAAGAAGAGAAACTGAACGTCGAAAGTGAACTTAAAGACTGCAAGGTACTAGATAAGAAAAAATTCCGTTTATTGGACATTTTCTTATCATACACATATGAGTCATGATCATGCATTTTTCTTCAGAAAAATCTAGAAATAACGTGTAGAAGCTTAGAAGATCTACAAGAGAATTACGAAAAAGCCCTTTCATCACTCAAGGAAAAGGACTCTCTCATCTCCAAACTACAATATTCAGAAAATAATCTGATTGATTGTGCGACAAAGTTGCGTGCCAACTTACAAGATGCATCCGACGATATTTCTGCTCTTTTCGGAAAAATAGGTATGCATGTTTTCGACTTTTGAACTGTATTTAACATTTTTTTTTCTATAAACAGTTGCTCAAATTTTCACCGAAAAAATTCTCTCAGATCGTAAAGACAATCTCGAACGAGAAAATCAGTGCATTCTCCTTACATTTGGAGCACAGCTTGACCAAAGTCTGAAAGGCCTTCAAAACATCATCGTGACATCTGTATCACAGCAAGAACAACACATGAAATGCGTCGAAGGGCGTATGAGCACATTTCTCGATAGTAAATATGAAGTAAGACTCTTTTTTTTTTCGCAACTCGATTTTTTTTTTTCAATTGTTTAACTTTGTCAAGAAACTGATATATTTGCTTTGTTAGTCAAATGAGGCCATGGAAGCAAAAACAAAGAAATTGTTAGAGACTTATACTATAGGAACCTTGAGCCTGAAGAAACTTACCGATTCATTGCGTACGAAATCGTATTCTGATATGGATGAAATGACATCTATAATATCTGCCCAAGCAATCTCACTCGAGAACGTACGTTATTACAATTATACTAGAATAAATTTGTCTCTTTTTTTTTTGGATGTAATAAATTTTATCATTGCAGTTCTTGAAAAATGCATCATTGGAAGCAAAGGAAGTCATTTCCGACATTCAGAAATCGCTGAATGAACAACGAGAGCTTTTGGCTTTATCCGCCCAACACCAAGCGGAGGTTGGTTTGCAAGATATACTATTATGTTAATAATAATTTGTTATTCCTGTCTTGTGTATATTTGAACTTAATTTCTTGTAATAAATAAATACATTTTTAGGGACTTAATCGAAGTCTAGTCTCGGCGCAAGTGATATCAAGTGCTGCCATCAATTTTTCAAATGACCTCCACCGACGAGCTTCTGAGCTTACAAAACTGCTCGAACAAAACCAAACGGAAAAATCCCTCAAATTACAGAATTTTGAGAAGATGTTTAAGGTGGGGTTTAAAAGAAAATTTCGATACACCGTAACTTATATTTCATTTAAGAAGTTCATTATCGTAACATTCGTATTCTTTTGAACAGGAAGAGGCTTTCAGAGAAGAGAATATAGCGTTGGAGAAAATAGCAGTGATATTATCAACACTCACAGCTAGAAAAACTGATATGGTAAGATTATCATTTCCTTTCGTTTTTTTTTCTTCGTATTTCAATATTATTTAGGCATATATTAATGGAAATGTACAAATATTCAGGTTTCTAAAGCCGCAAAATGCTTCGAAGACTCTAACATTCAAGAAAGTAAGAGACTGCTGTTGGATTTATCCAATATGAAGCAAGTCTTGGCATCGGAAATGGAAGAGTTGAACGAATATGCAGACAAGGCCAAAGATCACTACGTCAACGAAACCTTCTCGTCAACTGAGTGCAGAGTCGCAATAGAAAATTCCTTACAAGAATGGTAATATATATATTATTTTTTTTCATACGCGACTCGCAAAAATTAACTATACGTTTTTTTGTATGTGAAGTGTTGAAAAGGTCGGTTATTCTGGTCAACAATGGCAAAATGCGCAATTAGGCACTAGCCATCTTGCTACGAAAGGTCTTGGGGATATAAAATCAACTGTGCAGTAAGTTAATTAATTTGGCTCACTCGATAATATCATTAACCTTACTAGTTTATTCTTTATTTACGTCTATTTTTTTCGAGCAGGACAAAACTTCTTGAAAGTAATGCCATACATGAAAACCTTGTTTCCACTTCGTCATCCACGGATGCAGAATTTGACACCCGTGTTAATGATTTAATGAAATCTATCAACGGTAATTGGTCTTTTTACAGTTTTGTTATTTTTTTTTTTTTTAAATTTCCGTCTAAAGTTCCCGTAACTAGACAAATTTTATCCTTGCAGATTCTTTAGCGTTAGACAAGGAAAATAGTAAGGAAATAAACATTACAACTACAACCAGTTTGGATCAACTCAATTCCACACGAGTGAAGCATTCTGAAAATGTATCGGATATCCGAATTAGATCAGAGCAGTGCATCCAAAAAGATTACTTGGTAAGCTTTTTTTTTTTTTTTTTTTTTACGTGCGAATATTCAGACCCTTTTTGAGGTGATGGATGTCTAATGAATTCGGAACTTGATTTTTTATTTTTATTTAAAAAAAATCATCTTAAACAGGTTGAGCAGAAAACCGACGTGACACCTAAGAAGCGAGTAATCACAATTCCGAGCTTGGAGTCAATAGAGGAGATGAAAACTCGAATATTTAACGTCGACGCAAAGAATCACAAATCAAAATGGGAAAGCACCGAGAACAAGATTTCGCCACATCAGCAAAGAACTCCTTTTCAGGATGTGAATGGAGTAACAATATAAGTAAAAACTCATCAACTGGATGAGTGAAAAAAAAATCGAGGAAATCGAATTTCTTGGCATGTTTTCATTTTCCTTTATTAAAAAAATTTATAATGTCTGAACAAAATCAAACTCAATCTGATTTTAAATGAATAATTACATGGTCCCCCCCTAACCCTGCATGCTCTAACTGCAGTAACCATGACAAACTCCAGTTAATTATCATTCTTAAAAATGGTGATCATTTCAGTTAGTTATGTAAACAAACATTATGTCAGAAATCAGTATCTATAATCACACCTATAATCTGATATGCTGTTTATTTTATTTTTTTAATGAAGAAAATTATATAAATGGAAACTGCAGTTCTGTCAAGATTGCATTTTTATTTTCCCACTTGGCTTAGTAAATTAAATTAATTCCAAATATAACTAAATCATAATCTGCATATGCATCTACTCAGCATGGCATAGTATAATAGTGACCACTAGATCTTTCAGGCAAGGAAAACCAATTGAAAAAATGTCAACCATTAGGGTTGATCCAGACCGTACATATATTATTTCATATATTATATGTATAATAATATTATAATATATTAAAAATTGTTATTATTTTGTAATTATTATTCTACTCAATATTGTAGGTAATACTTGAAGTTATTGGTGGTTCAATTTGTTCTTTTCTTTTTGGATTTTAGGTTGAAGAACCAACCAAAAAATGTCAACCTTAATACAGTTAAATCTATAAATTAATACAGCCGAGAGGGGCTTCTAATCTTATTAATTTAACGAATATTTTTTAGGACGTTGTTATCGAGTTGGGACCGATTTTTATTTATTTAAACGAAGGTATTATTAGTTTATTGCATGTGCTATACAGCATAAAATTACACCACAACTATGTGTGGTCCTGTACTTTGTTGTACAAAATCTACATTTTACATTATACACTCAGAAAAATGTGAGGATCATGCTAATAAATCTTTAGAAATAAATTAAGAAAACTGTCATTAATTAATTCTGGATCCCAATCTTAATTTATTTAATACATTTTCATTAAAAAATATAACAAATAACGAGTCCCATGTAACAATTCGGTCGAATTTGAACCCGTTACTCTACGCTTAGGGGTTCACTTAGAACGATCCAAAATCATAATCAATTATTAAATTCAAGATTTGAAGCTGATTTAATTAATTAGCAAATAAATTGTACACTCAACATGTTGTAGGCCTTGAAATTAGGTAAGAGTTGGTGACATTAGCATCTGTTAAATCAAGTTTTCTCATAACAATTAAGTTTCCAAAGCAGCTTATTACTAATTAATTTGCTAATCGGTCCCATCGAGCATAATCACGGGTGGAAAAGCCAAGCTTAATTAAGCTAAAATATTTCGACGAAGAAATATTATCGAATAAATTATGTGCTTCTTCTGATCTCCTTCAGACTTGGAACGATTTATTTCGGCTGAAATCACTGATTACGTGTACATAATTAGCTTATAATCCCATTTCCATAATCGTCTCTTTCGTTAACTTCCGAAACATGTTAAAAGAGAAAACAAAAACGAGTAATCTCTTTACGTCATGGATTAGCTAGCTAATCTATATAATATATAAAAGTTGAATTGCATAGCTAATTGATTGACATTTGGCAATTTCAATTGATGACATGTCATCAATTTCATCCCAAGTGGCGAATTGATTGGTGGAAATAAATCATCAAAAAACATGTCATCATTTTCCAAAATTAGAGGTAATTAAATATATTTATATCCTACCATTTATAAAATGCTCTAAATATATCAACTTTCTTGGAAACCCTAAATAAATTTATTTTTGATTTCATTTTATAATTAATTTAATTTGAATTTACTCAAATTCGAGTTAAAATCGTCCCTTATTATAATTGCATGATTGGTGGCGTTACGAATTTTTTTAATTTTAATTCATATTAATAACGATTATCGTTATTTTCACGTCTTAACGTTTGCTTATACCCTTATATTACTTTAAATAATTTTAATGTCAGTTTGATAATATAACTAAATATTAATTTCTAATATATTTAATATGTGTTTCTTGATGTTTTAGGTACACACGCATAAGGAATTTGATATAAAAGTTGCAAGATTGAATAGAATTTTTTTGATACAAAATAATAGATAATTGCAAAAACATTGATGCAAAATCATAATTAGGATTGTTATTAGTATTAGCATTAGAATTATGATTATAATTAATATTCTTTGAATTAGTTTTAGTATTAATACTAGGATTTAGATTCGGATTAATATAGTATTATAATTAATATTAGGATTATGATTATGATTAATATTAGTATTAGAATTAAAATTAAGATTGTGATTATTGATTCGTACTACAATTAGTGACATGTATTAGTATTATGGTTATGATTAGCATTAGGATTAGGATTATGGCTAGAACTATAATTAGAATCAACATTAGCATAACATTAGTATTATTAGTAGTAAAATTATTAGGATTATAATTAATGTTAGAAATAGGTTTAGGATTAGAATTATAATTAGGATTAGAATCATGATTAGTGTTATGAATAGGATTAGGAATAGGATAAGGATTTGGATAATATTAGTATTACAATTATAATTAGCATTAGCGACATATCCTGATTAACATTAACATTAAAATTAGTATTAGCATTAGAATATGTACATTAACATTAACATTAACAATATTAACATGTTAGTATTAGAAATGGTATTAATATTAGTATTAGTATTAGTATTAATATTATAATTAATAATAGTATTAGTAACAGTATTAGTATTAATATTAGTGTTAATATTAGTTTATTAATATTAATATTAGTCTAAATATCAGTATTAGTATCAGTATCAATATCAATATCAGTATCGATATCATTATCGGTATCGGCATTAGTATCGGCATCCGTATCGGTATCGGCATCCGTATCGGTATCGGTATCGGTATCGGTATCGGTATCAATATCAATATCAATATCAGTATCATTATCAGTATCAGTTTCAGTTTCAGTATTCGTATCCGTATCAGTATCAATATTAGTATCAGTATCAGTATCAACATTTGTATCAATATCAGTATCAGTATGAGTATCAGTATCAATTAAATATCAATATCAATATCGATATTAGTATCACCATCAGTATCAGTATTAGTATCAATATCAATATCAATATTAGTATCAGTATTAGTATGAGTATCAGTATGATTGTGAGTATCAGTATGAGTATCAATATTAGTATGAGTATCAGTATTAGTATGAGTATCAATATTAGTATGAGTATCAGTATTAGTATGAGTATCAGTATGAGTATCAATATTAGTATTAGTATTACTATGAGTATCAGTATGAGTATCGGTATTAATATCAATATCAATATCAATATTAGTATTAGTATTAGTATTAGTATTAATATTAATATTGATATGAGAATCAATATTAGTGTCAATATCAGTATCAATATTAATATTAGTATTAATATAATATTACTACGAGTCAGTATGAGTATAAGTATTAATAGTATCAGTATCCTAATTATTATTGTTATTGGTATTAGTATTAGTCTTAGTATTAATATTAGTATTACTATTAGTAATAATATTATTATCAATATCACTATTAGTATCACTATAAGTATCAGTATTATTATTAGTATTAGTATCAGTAGTAGTCTTATTCTTAGTATTAGTATTAGTATCAATATAACTATCATTATCAATGTAATTATCAGTATTAATATCTATATTAGTATTATTCTTAGTATTAGTATTAGTATCAATATGAATATTAGTATTAATATTAGTATTATTATTAGTATTAGTATTACTATTGGTATGAGTATGAGTATGAGTATGAGTATGAGTATGAGAATTAGTATTAGTATTGGTATAGGTATTATTATTATTAGTATCAGTATTAGTATTAATATTAGTAGTAGTATCGGTATTAGTATTAGTATTAGTATCAGTATTAATATTAGTACCAATATTAGTATTAATATCAGTATTAGTATTAATATTAGTATTAATATTATTATTAGTATTAGTATTAGTATAAGTATTAGTATTAGTATTAGTATTAATATTAATATTAGTATTAGTATTAGTATTAGTATTAGTATTAGTATTAATATTAGTATTAGTATCAATAGAACTATAATTATTAATGTAAGTATCAATATTATTATTATTATTAGTATCAATATGAATATTAGTATTAGTATTAGTATTGGTACGAGTATGAGTATTAGTATTAGTATCAGTTTTATTATTAGTATCAGTATTAGTATTAATATTTTTATTAATATCAGTATTAGTATCGATAATAGTATTAGTATTAGTATTAGTATTAGTATTAGTATTAGTATTAGTATCAGTATCAGTATCAGTATCAGTATCAGTATTAGTATAAGTATTAGTATTAGTATTAGTATTAGTATTAGTATTAGTATGAGTATTAGTATTAGTATTAGTATTAATATTAGTATTAGTATTAGTATTAGTATTAGTATTAGTATTAATATTAGTATTAGTACCAATATTATTATTAGTATCACTATTATTATTAACATTAGTATTAGTATTAGTATTAATATCAATATCACTATAATTGTCAATGAAGTATCAATATTATTATTAGTATTAGTATCAATATTAGTCTTACTCTTAGTATTAGTATTATTATCAATATCAATATTAGTATTAGTATTATTTTATTATTAGTATTAGTATTAGTATTGGTACGAGTATGTGAATTAGTATTAGTATCAGTATTTTTATTAGTATCAATATTAGTATTAATATTTGTATTAGTATCAATATCAGTATCAGTATCAGTATCAATATTGGTATTAGTATTAGTGTTAGTATTAGTATTAGTATTAATATTAGTATTAGTATTAATATTAGTATTAGTATTAGTATTAGTACCAATATTAGTATTAGTATCACTATTAGTATTAACATTAGTATTAGTATTACTATTAGTATTAGTATTACTATTAGTATTAGTATTACTATTAGTATTAGTATTAGGATTAATATGAGTACCAATATTAATCGAATTATTATCACTATTGGTAACAATATTGGTATTAGTATTGGTATCGGTATTGGTATCAACATTGGTATCTGGTAGTGGCGTATACATCATATCTCTTTTGCAATATTTATAAGTTTTATTGTTGTTTGAGTAATGTGCATTACTAATTGAACGCCATTGTTGATAAACTTGCAGATTATTTGAATATCTATTGAGTTACTTCTCTGCTACCGTATTTGTTGTTACCTTAGTTATTTTGCATAAGACTCACATGGTGTAGTAGATTGCAATCCAAGAAATAGAGTTATACCATATGTTTTAAATGATTTCACATAATCTTGATATCGTTTTTTGCGCGCTTCATGTTTTCTTATTTGTAAAATTTAACTTAATTTCATATGTTACAACTCTAAATTAAGAGATAAAATATGTTTTTTATTTCCTTTCATTTTGTTTTACTTGAATTGGTATTGTTATAAAGAGATAGTCGTTTACATAAGTTTATTTTTCTCATTTTGAAATTCACCTCCGTGCAACGCACGGGTGAAATACTAGTTAATCCTATAAATTATAATAACACTTTTCTTTTTGAAAAAAAAAGAGAAATGCGGACAAATTGTTCTTAAACCAGACCGAAACCGAAACCGAAATCGAAAACCCGAAAAAGAGATTTAATTAAACTATGGAATATAATAACATATAAATGCTATTTTTTGAAGATAATGATGATGTACACGATCTCTTGAATGAGAAGTACTTTTAAAGCCATGTTATGGTATGTTTGCCAATCATTGTTACAACTTACAACTAATTTTAATTCTTTGTATTTACCATATAATTTTTTTTTTTAAATTGAATAATTAAACCCAATTTGCAGCTAATTATGAATTCCCTTTTTCAACTTTAAAAGAATATTGAGTAATCATAAATGTATTAACACGACTTTACAATTAAATTAAATACTAGGCTAATGATTTTTTTTTTTTTTTTATGGAAAGTTATTGTGCATGTGGGTGATGCGTGGAATTTTTCCTTCATCCTTTTTTTTCTCAAATTAATAATGGTAATAAAATCATTAAAATTGTTTGGATCAGTCCATTTTACAATAGATTATGGGCTATTACAGATAAGCTCATCATGAGCTACTTATTCATAAAGAGGTACAAATGAAAAAAAAAAAATTAAAAATAAAAGTATAGATAAAGTCCATAGTTGTGTAAAATACTAATATACTCTCATATTTAATATGTTTCAAAATACATCCTTTAAACCAATTTAATTTTAATTTGACTCTAAATTTTATCAATTATTCAATTTGACCCTTAATTCAATTTTGACCGATCGATCTCAGACGTTGACTTTTTTTTTTTTTTTTTTTTTTTTTTTGACGCTTTCGCTTACCTAATATCGATTAAAGTAATGTCATTACTTAGTTGTTATACGTAAAACCTACGAGGACTACGTAATTGACATGATTTAAGGAACATATTTGTAAATAATACTCCATGCTGAATAAATTGAATTTATGATTCAAGAAATATACCTTTTGGTCAATAAAAGCTTTGACCGGGTCTAACCACACGCAGTGTGAACTTATGAATTTTCTACCCAATTTGACCCTTAATTTTGAAGACCATTTCTAACTAATTTACCATCAATTTATTGGTTCATTATATGCTCAAAATATTTTTGTCTTAGTCTTTGCTCATGTGACAAGAATTTCTATAAATTTCTTGTATACAAAATTTATATTTGGTAAAAAAAAAATGATTATTGGGAGTTGAAGTCAATCAGTGAACAACTTTCTTGCCCCTGCCCAGTCAAATACGTCAAATACAATTACATATGAGCCCATTAAAATTTGTTTAAAATACTTCCATTTAACTTATAATTTCATTTAAATTAAAAATGACCCTAATTAATCCATACAAATTAGATGAAAATTTTGTCACGCATTAACAACGGAAGCGCCCTCAATTAATCAGAGAACCAATTCCCAATTTAAGGACATTAAATTTGGAAACACATTTATAAATGAAGATATTTAATGCATTTAATTTTTCCAATTGCCAAAATCAATTTAATACATCCTCGTTCTAATTCTCCCTCACCTAATGTCTAGATGACCATAATACCCCTCAATCATCTCTCTCTCTCTCTCTCTCTCTCTCTCACACACACACACACACACAGAGACACACACAAAAAACACACAAGCTCTTGAGAGTATAAAAAGAAGAGAGAAGTTCCACTTTATTGTTTTTCCGAGGAACGCCTCCCCAAAATTTCATCTGCCTTTGCTCCATCCAATACTATTTTTGCTATTTCCAATCTCTCATCTTACTTTCTTTTTCTTTGTTATTCTCTGCAAACAAACAGCACTACTGAAAAAGGGAAACATCATTCATTCATTCATGTAAGTTTGTATTTGGATTTCATCTCCATTCTTCGTTGACCCAATTCTTAACATGCGCCTTTTACTTTTGCCACTCCTCTGTTTTTCTGCTATTCTGCGCCCCTATGTTCTTCTTCAAACATCCCCTGTTTTTTTTTTTTTTTTTTATACACACACACACATCTATTTATGATTAATTGATAATGAAGATTTGATCTCCATTATAGAAAGAAACAAAAACAAAAAAAAAAAAAAAAAAGAAAAAAAGAAGCAAAATTTGCTACCATCTTTTGATATATTTTCCTAAATTAATTCATCTTCTCCACCCTGTCTTCATCTCTGTAAAGTCTCCACATTACTATATTATAAATTTCTCATCTACCCTTTATTTTTTATTATTTTATTTATTTGGTCCATGAAAGTCTACATATTTGCATGCAACTTCCATATTTTCAAAAAAAATCCTGTTTTGCCCCTGTTTCTTTTTTCCTAGATCCTTCTTCATGCTGCCTCCATTTCTCCTGCAAATTGCAATTGGCTTATTTTTTATTTTATTTTTTTTTTCTAATTACCGTTGAACACTCCATTTATTGCTTATTTATAGTATTAAAAATAAATAAATATATAATTCAGCAGTTTTGACATATTTCAACTCTAGTTATATAATACTTCTTTGTCGACGTCCAATATTTTATTTATTTATTTATTTATTTATTTATTTATTTATTTATTTATTTATTTATTTATTTATTTATTTATTTATTTATTTATTTATTTATTTATTTATTTATTTATATGAATAATTCAAACAGGGATTGACCCCATTGTTATTATATCAGCTTCATTTTTGGGGGCATAAATCAATGAGACAAGAAGCCAAAAACCCTAAGGTAATTAATTACATTAGAAAATACAAAGAGATTATATGTTATTTCTTATTATTTTATTTGTTAAAGAAAATTACAGTAATGCTGATTTGTATATTCTTTTATTTATTTATTTTCTTTTTTGGCTGCAGTCTTCGTGGCCTAAAGTGGTGGCCAGAAAATGGTTGAATATAAAAAATGGCAGAGATGAATTTCTCTCAGATTATAGATCAAATGGTACATTTACATTTTTTATTTATTTAATTATTTAATTTAATTTCAATTTTGAGTTTATAAGATTTGGTAAATTATGAATTTTACGATATCAGCTCTATTACAAAGGAGGAGGAAGAGTTGCTCGGACGACGGACACTATGTAGTCGTACCCGAAGAATTATCGGGTAAATCCGACCTCCAATTTATCTCGATTCGACTCAAATTTTTTTTAGAAATAGTATATTGAATAATAATGTTATTGTAGAATAATAAAAGCTACAATTTGAAAATTAATTCTATTGGTATGCAATTAATACAAATATATTACTCCAATATTTTTTTTTTTTTGGTTGAATTTTGATTACAAATATTTATTGGTTCATTTTACAATTGGTTGGGACAGTTAAATGAAGCTGATGTTTATCTCTTGTGCCACGTGGATGGGGTTAAATTTTGTTTAATTTCAGATGACATTTATACTTCTGTATTTAGCTTTGTAATTAGTCAGTAATTAGAGTACTAATACGATCCTGTAACAGAACAATGGTTGATGCAAACGAGCAACGAAATTGAACGGCCAGGATTCAATCAGCCAGCAACACCCACTACTAGTAGTCTCGATCTCAGGTAAGGTCAAAAAAACCTTCTTGCATATGTCCTGTTGCTCAAATTTGTAATTTCTTTTTTAATTCTAATGGCATCCTTGTAATTAATTTAAAAAAAAAAAAAACTCTACTAACTTTTTGAAATTAAATTATTGCATTAAAAAGTTCAAAATTCATGACGAGTCAACTCTTGAACTAATATAAAGTGAGTACATTTTTTTCTATTCAATTGTTATATTAAATAATTAGTTTTTTCAATTTTAAAATGATAATTCAATTAAAATTAGAAAGTATATATATATAAAATAAGAATCAAAATTAATTGTTTTACAATTATTTTATAGTATGTTCGTGGGAACATGGAACGTAGGAGGCAAATCACCCCACGATGGATTAAACCTAGGAGATTGGTTAAAGACCAAAACACCCTCCCACATTTATGTACTTGGGTAATAGTCTCCTCATCAATTTAAATATTTCATTTTATTGCATTTAATTCAAGAAAAAGAATCTATATTTATTTATTGATTTATTTATTGGGAATGCAACATTATAATCAGGTTCCAGGAGATTGTACCTCTAAATGCAGGCAATGTACTAGGACCCGAAGACTGTGGTCCAGCTTCAAGATGGCTATCGTTAATCGGCGAAGCTCTAAATCGAAACTCGGCTAATTTTACCGCCAAACAGTCCCTTGGTCCGAATGATCAACATCCGAAACCAAGAATCAGCTTCTCGGATCTACTCTCATTCGAAGACGACCTAATCGAACACAAGGGTAATTTCGGAAAATACACGAGCCTAAGATCCAATTCACCATCCAGCCAAAACGGGTCGGGTTCACCTAACCCGCCCGACGAGCCGGAAAAACATAAGTACCGTTTGGTTGGCAGTAAGCAGATGGTGGGTATATTTTTATGCGTGTGGGTACGCGAGGATTTACACGAGCACGTTAGTAGTTTGAAAGTGTCGTGTGTCGGGAGAGGCATCATGGGGTACCTCGGAAATAAGGTATTGTTACTTGTACCCGAAAAATAATAAATCTCTATAGTTTAATCTTCTTGATTTTCTTTAAATAAATATATATATTTTTGTAATTTAATAATAGGGATCAATATCTATAAGCATGATATTGCGTGAAACGGCGTTTTGCTTCGTGTGCACTCACTTAACGTCGGGTGAGAAAGAGGGCGATGCGATGAGAAGAAATTTGGATGTGATCGAGATTTTGAAGAGAACGAGATTCTCTCATTCGTATCGTATTCCGGGGAAATCAATTCCACCGGATAATATTTTGGATCACGAGTAAGTTCAATTTCAAATTGTTTCTTTGTTTAAATTTTTTATTTTTTTGCACACTTTGATTAATAATTGTTTAATATTGATAAATTAAATATTGAACCTCAAATTTTTTTTTTTTTTTTTTTTTTTTTTATAGCAAGATTATATGGCTGGGGGATTTGAATTATCGGCTTGCATCAAGTTCGTGTGGTGACACGTATGAGCTACTCGAAAGGAGTGATTGGCAATCCCTACTAGAGAAAGACGAGGTACGTGCATGAAAATTAAAATATTAATTAAAAATTGCTCTGTAGTATTAATTGTTTATTTATTTATTTTATGAAATTTTATTTTGTATATATAATATGGCAGTTGAGAAAAGAACAAAAAGCTGGTGGAGTGTTCAAAGGGTGGGAAGAAGGTGAAATATATTTTGCACCGACATACAAATACATCACTAATTCCGACCGTTACGTTGTCCAAACGCCGCCGGCATCTAAAGAGAAACGCCGCACTCCGGCCTGGTAAGAATTTTTAATTAGGCGCACTGTTTAAGATAATTAAGCATATATACGACGTCGTTTATGTTCAAATTAAATCAACTTATCAATTAAATATCAATTTTTTTTGTGTTCTCAATAAATAAAATGTGTAGGTGTGACAGAATTCTTTGGAAAGGAGAAGAGTTGAAACAAATGTGCTACGCTAGAGGCGAATCAAAGTTTTCAGATCACAGGCCTGTGTATTCACTCTTCAATGTGCAAGTGAATTTACCTAAATACCCCACGTCCAGTCCCACAATTACAAGAAAGGAGGAATCAGCGGTTTTATCACCGTCAGTCACTAGAACACAGAGCTGTATACAGACCACCCCAAGGTTCTCCGTCACAGGCGGCCATAAGTGACCGACCAATAGTCTGACGCCACCTGTCTGTAATTTATAACGAACCACCGCCACTAATTACCTCCATTAATTTAATATATACTTGGAGCCCCCCGCGCGTGACTTAGAAGCATGTTAAAACCACGAGCGGTTCACGGCGTGCTGTGCGGCGGACACGTGTTTTGGTGGGTAGTGATCATAAGGGATATGAAATAGTAGTGCTATTTAAAATATATTGGAGATATGAAAATGTAATTTTGTCATTTTTTTTTCTTCATTAAATTAAAGTAAATTTAGAGGGAGTAATTATTGAAAAATAATGAATTAATTAGCTATAAATTAAGGAAAATCCTCACAACTGAACTAACTGCCCCTCTTCTATTTTCACACTAAACCTATCATCATCATCTTCTTCTTACAAGTCTAACTACTGACTAAGCCACTGTACATACTACACTAGGGGCAGTGACAGGGATCAATATTAAGGAGAAACATTTAAAAAATAAATAAAAAAAAATGAAAAAATCGGGGAAAAATCGATATACATTGAACGATATAAAAGATCTCAGCCTTGCCCCTGTAATAAAAATTCAAAACCTGGAGTTTCAGCGAGTTGTGCTGCAGGTTTTACGAGCGTGAAATCTGATTGACGAAGAGAATTGCTAATATCGTCGACTGAGAAGGGGATGATGCTACTGCATTATGAAACAACAATAAAAATATTAATCATCATTCGACTTTTTTTTCTTTTTTTGGTGAAGACCGACCGACCGACCGCCCCTATCTCTAATCAACGTACCTCAAAGTGTCATCCAATAAAAATGAAGTATCATCAGCATCAGCATCAGCATCAGTAGCGTCCTCTGTTATAAATACCTTCATGCTAGAAATTACCTATTTACATCGGTGTCAATAATCCGAGTATAAATTGTGGTGAAAATTGTCGACTGTGAATTACTAAAGCAAAAAGGGGAACAAGAAAATGTTTCTTACATCTGGAGATACGCCTTGTGTATTGAAGTCTTCATCCCAATAAAGTGTGCAAATTCTATGTAGTTGTTGAGGGCTTAGTATCTGTCGAAATATTATATCTCACAAATGAAATTCCGAGAGCAAAACGCAAAAGGAAATAAAAAAAAGAATAAAGTGCCAAAGTGGGAGCAATATAAGGAGGGCAAACATACAGGGCACAGGTCAGTAGTTAGATCTTCGTAGGTTATTCGTGATTTTTGGTGTATGACCTGCATAAGGCGCAAGATAGTCAGTCTAAAATATTGCATGATTACTTAAGCGTGTTCGAAGTGATTTTAGTGAAAGAAGAAGAAGAATATACCAGAAATCCTACAGCCTGCCGTACACGTGTTAATTCATCCCATGATGAGCCTGCGTACTATATACGAGAAGCAAAAAAGTGTAACTAAATTTGTACGCTTGTGCTATAAATATATATGCATGAATAATAATTTCACCACCACCTATATTTAAGCATTATCTATACCTCTTGTTCCTGAGTACACCAGAGTTCTAGTTCATCTAGCCCTGCTTTTATGGATTCCCCATGGCTAAAAGTACAGCATTCTCTATGGAGGAGGAGGCTGCACCAAAAAAAAAAAAAAATGAAGACTTAAGAATATCTGGTGGAAATACGTACGTAATGAAGGTAGGTAGGTAGGTAGGTATATGATATACCTATTGAAGAGCTGAATGTTGATGTAAGAGAAAATCTGAGTGAATATGTTTTGTACCAGGACAGGAGGAACCTGGAATAAATACAACTTGTGTAAGATCAAGTGTAGGAATCATCATAGGGAGCAATAATAGCGTAATTAGTTATACATACAAAATTATTTTTCAGAGTAGTTAGAAGCCCGTTTAGGCTCTCGATGATGCTTTGCCAATGATTAGTGTTGACGGATTCCGAGTTTTCACTTGACAACTTGGGTGCCTGCGTGTTATATATATATACAAATTCATTCAGGATGAAGAATATCAGAATTCATCGGTATATAATGATATCACAATTTTATAATCAGGCTTTCTCATTTTATTTTGTAAATACCAGAAAAAGAAAGAAAAAAATAAAGACGTACCTGGATAGACGAAGAAGAAGAAAGGAGAGATAATAAGTCCTTCTTAGAGTTATCCCTAACGATTCCGTAAATCTTCTCAACATAAGCAGTTAGCTGTTGCTTGAAAAGTGAAGCAGGATACTTGGCCTCCACCTTTCGTATTGAGAAAGAACGGGATGATCGAAAACTCTGGATGAAAAAAAAATTAAGATTAATATAATCACAAAAATGCATCTTCTCCTGATAATTCTGTAAAATGGAGTTTACTGTAATAAAATAAATAGGATTTTCACCATCCATCCAAAAAACGAAGATTGGGGAGGTTTTCCAGGAGTTGAAATTGTATCTGTTAAAGTTTGCTCAAGTAAATAGAGCAGTGTGGACGTATTCGAAAGCCAGTAAGACATGTAATCGTTGTTTGCCTCTTCCTGCAACATAACAATATTGATATAGAACATGAATGAAATCATCGAGAAACTAAGCCATTCGAGTGGTTTTTTATTTTTGTTACTATTTTCTTTTAATAGTTAGTTAAATCTAGCACATGAAATCAGAGAAAACGGAAAATGCTAAGAGAAAAGTTACGTACCACCTCTATTGCTGAACCTATTTTCTGAATAAGCCGATCAAAAACATTAGTTTTCTCAGTTGTAAAGGATCCCCAGTTAACGAGGCATTTGTAAATGGTGAATGCGGCAACCGGTTTTCCTTCACTAAATCCAAGATCTTCTGTTATGCACTTAAGTAAAACATCTGTACTCTCCTGGATGGATGGATGGATGGATACCCAAAATATTAGTCCACATACATGACAGCGAAAAATCAATAAATAAGGCAGAAAGAGCAGGCGAGAAAAAGTTTAGAACTAGAAGAGAAAAACATACACGCTGTCTTTGTATATTCGATTTGCTCAGATTTTTACTAGATTCAGAGCCATATGCTTTATTAGGTCTTACACTTTGTGGTTCCTGCAAAAAGAAAGAGCATCTAAAAGTGATCAAGCTGATATATAGTATATGTGTGTGTGTGTGTGTGTGTGTATTTATATATAGAATTGCAATAGACAAAATGGAATGGCACACTTACATGATCACCATTCTCCAAAGGCTGCATAATAAGGAAAGCAAATTGATAAGAATCAAATGTAAACGAGTTAGGGAACTACGACTAAGATATTGTATCTAACCTAACCTGAGTGGGTTGAGATATTCGTCCAGACATTTTCCGCGAGGGAATATTTGTCAAAGACTGCTTTCGCATCTGGTCCTGAGTTTCCTCCATATCCGATATTTTCTCTTCAAGCCTAATACAGAAGCCAAAGGAATAACTTCATAAAATTGATCTTCATTAGCAACGGAAAACCAAAGAAAATAGAAATAAGTTGATGCTTGAAATGAAATAAAGGGATTTTTTGATAGATGAGAATCTCTAGAAGAACAACAACCTCTGCATTTCAGTTTTCAGTTGAATTATCTTTGACTCTGCGTCCAAAGCTTGCTTTAATCGATCCTCACTAAGCTTGTTCGATTCTTCGATCCCCTTTTCCAGAGAATTTACTAAAGACTGTTTCCAATTTAGCATTATCAATTAGATTAGATGCTGCATCAACCAAGAAATTAACTTAAAAAATAAATCACTCACCTTCAGCTTTTCATTTTCATCGGTTAGCCTATCAACCAGTTCACTGTCAATAACAACAGGGACCTCTTGAACTTGAACTTGCTCGTTTGTTGTTTTCTTCGCATCTTCAATTCCCTTAACCAGCTGTTTTTTAGTTTCTTCAAACTGCATTTGCATTTCATCCAAAGCAGATTGTAGTTTTGCATTTTCCCGATTTTTAGCTTCCTCAATGTCCGCCTAAAAGAAACACATTAAATGAATAACATCGTGTAACTTTCCACGTAATAATAATAATAGGTATTGATAAAGGCATATTACTCGAATCTGTTTCTCCAACTCCAGTTCCAAAGTTAATTCTTCAACTTGTTTTTCCAGCTTGATTTTCGCTTCTTGCAGCGCTCCCGTTTCCTTTGCAGCCTGACAAAAAGTTCAACTGTTGTCTTAACATAACAGACTAACATCTCTAATTAAAAAAAAGAAACATAAAATAATCTGATTTAAGGACTCACCATTTTAAGCATTCGTAGTTGTTTGCGAGCCAATCTTCCTCTCCAAGCACACTGAGTAGCAATTGTTGCTGCCTTCAACCACAAGTAACGAGAGCAGGCCAAGAATCCTCGAAAATGACTCTGTAACAAATAAATAATAGAGCCAATCACTTTACATTTCTTTCTAAATTTTTTGAAAATTTAGAAAGATTAGAAATTTCAGTTACCTGGATGAGGACAGCTGCTTTAGTTTGCTTTCTAAATAGGAGTTCAGTTCGAGCAGCCATCCCTCTCATACCTGCTTGAATGAGAATTGCAGAAGCGGACAAAAGTGCATAAGCTTTTCTAGCAAGAAATCTCTGTGCTTCTTTCTGGATGGTCAAAGCAGCAGCATCTCTCCTCCGGTGCCAATATTTATGGCGAGCAACTTGCCCTGTGGATATTTATATTTCTCATCTTTTATATTTTTTATTTTTTAACATTTTTATAAGAAAGAGAAAGAGGAGAAAAGCAAAATCAAAAGTACCTCTACAGAAAGCTTGGACTTGTACAGCTGACATGCGTAACGAGATGAAACTTTTGCGTGCCAAATATGAACGAACTTTTCTCTGGATTACACATGCAGATCTTCCAAGAATCCTCGTCCGATGAGAATCTAGTTCTGCCATCTGACCAGCTCTCAGAAACACTTTTGTTTTCCCAATCTGTATTTCCATAATAAAAATACGAGAAAAAAAATCAGTCACAAACTTGTTTACCTTGCATCAGAATAATGGCCATGAGAAAATAACTAGTGTTGTACAATACCTGATAACCTTTTAGGCCAGAGTTCTCCAAAATTTTTCGACAAACAGCAATCTCATCATAACTAGCAAGAAATATTAAAGGATGAAAAAATCAGTCAAATCCAAAGTAACCGTAAGATTTTAAGTTTATAGGAGATAGTGTAAAGGGAATTATTTATGGGATTTGGATGAACAAACACATCTGATTCGCAGATTTACCTTCCATTTAAGACACTAGGCTCAATGATCTTGAAACGGTTAATGAATTCATCAAACGTTTTCCGAGTGGGATATCCAGCACAACTTATCCTGATTGCCTCCATAACCCCCTGGAAACAGATTTTTTTGGTAAAATATTAAAATGCTCAAGAAAATTCCGTTTGAGAAAAAAGAAACTATGATAATAAATTTGTAAAATAACTGACCCCACAACGAAGTTGCTGGAGTACATTAGAGTTCTCAAATATAGCCGGCTTTAGAAGATTATTAGGCTTAACGCAACGAATATAGTGTGGCTCTGTTGCACTAAGCGTCTCAAGCAACGATTGCAGTTGTTGCTGTGTTGTGTTACACAAAATTAAGGATTAAAGACGATGACAGAGATTTAAACAATATAGTATCCAATCTTGAAAAATAAGCGAGAACCTTAAATTGAGAACCAATAGAAGAGAATTTTGATGATTTAGAAGATTCCTCGGGTAAAGGTGGGAAAAGGCCAGAGACGAAGGAGCAACTTGAAGCACTAAGGAGAGCCTGATGTTCAGCTACCACATAGTCCTTGTTCTTGTCCAGAAACAGTTCTGTCTGGTAAGTCACCTGCAATAAGAGTGCATTAAGCAGCAATTAATAATAATAATAACAAGATATACTGTAATTAATTTAACATTTATTTATGTTTATTACATCTCCTGCATAATGGCCGATGGTGAAGTCACTTCGTGACAACTTGGGCTTGGTAAAACGCTTGTGGTCTCTAAATGTCTGGTACAGCTTCTCAGCAAACGTCTCGTATGTAGATCTTGGAAACATGCTACAAGAGAGAGGTAAATTAGCAATTACAGGAAATATTTTTCTAATACAATAACTAGATTTAAAGAGACGCATACCAAGCCTCGTCGAGAAGAGCAATAATGCCACCAGGTTTCTGAGAGTGACAAATTCCATCGTTAATTCATGAGAAAATAAGACACGTTAACTTATAATTAATAAGAGCTCTGGTATGAGAAACGTTTTGAAATTTTATGAGACTGAGAAACAGGTTATAGTCGAACCTTTTCGATAAGATCAAGAATATCTTGATTATCGACAAACTCTATGTAACTCCAATCAATTTCTTCTCGTGTATATTCCTCTTGTTCCATCTTGAAAACATGCTGTCAACCAATAGCTAATGTTACTTGTTCAAAATTCTGCTTTACTTATCCTTAATGTGTATGTCAACCTTCTAGAAAGAATTATTAAGCGAGTATAGACCATAATATCGTTCGTACGCACACCTGATTAAAATGTTGCTGCAGTTTCTCGTTAGTCAAATTTATACAAAATTGTTCAAAGCTGCAAGACAAGTACGACAAATAAGCGTCAAAAGAAGCATCCACCGTCAGAGTTTAGCCGAGTAAACGATCATGTAGCACAATTGTAAAGCTTTCAAGTAAAATATTTTACAAAGCAATTAGATCATATGATTAAGTCAAAGCCCTTGTTAAGCATTTGTAAACGATGAAGATTAAGCATACCAGTTAAGCACCTGTTTGTCTTGAAACTCTCGAAGCCATAAATATCCAGCACCCCGATTAAGAATTTCGAATCGGGATCTTGTCCAATGGAGCGGTTAATCTTGTTCACCAGCCTGACTCAGAATGCAATTACAGGCTGAGAAAGTTTGCACTAGTGCCGAATAAATAAACTAAATGTCGCAAAAAGAAAAAAAAAACGAATAATGTTACTACTTACCAATCAAACAACCTCGAGTAGACAATTTTAGCTAAAGTATCTCTACTAATAGCTGCAGCTTCCGGATCCAGGCTTCTTGTTATGGTCTCATCACGTGTAACCATTACCCGTTTGCACAAAGAATCTTCCAGAGATTCCTCATTGCACCTAAATGAACACAATTTTTTTTTTTTTATCTTTTTTCCCGACAACATCAGTAGAGATTGAGCAAAACGGAAAAGGTACTTTACTTACATTAGGAGATCAGCTGCCGTTTTCAAATGGAATTGAGACTGATCATCCTTTGGTTGTGAAGCATCACTTTCACTTACTTTTGCAAACTCAATATTACCCAAGTGAAGAACTGCCGCGACAACTCGGAAAATTGCATCCTGCAAAAATGGAGATTTTATTTTGCTATTATAATTCTTAAGTCCACAAATATTTAAGAGAAACAATAAAATAAAATATCGATCGATACCTGCTCATCGGAACTGATCCCGACAATATCCATGGCCCTCCTTGTAGAAAGATATTCTTTGGTTTCATCAACTCCATCCAATTCATAGCAATTCGACTGATTTAAATAACGAAACATCCTAGGATTCCCCAATTTGTATTTTTCAGTATCCTCTTTAGGTGCAGCACAGAGCATATAAAAGCAATGGTAGTTTCTTTCAGGATCCGACACCTGGCAAACACGCGACCTTTCGAGCAAATAAGTTCTGATTGCAGCACCAGTGATTCTACCGTTATTATTAAACTGAATCTCCACAAATTTGCCGAATCGGCTGCCATAAAAGAGAGCAAGTTTATCTTTACAACCATCGTAATTCATAATTCACAACCACAACGCAAAAAATGTTAAATCAATCAGACCAACCTTGAATTGTTATTTCTCACTGTCTTTGCATTGCCAAATGCTTCCAATACAGGATTCGACTGCCAAAAGAAAATAAAAAATAAAAAGGCTGAGAAACAACAACTTAAAACGAAGCTTCTTTATTGACCCTTTTTTATTCGATTTTAGATGCGAACCTCGAGTACTTGCTGCTCAACTGTTCTTCCCTCAGCAGCAACTCTGCCTCCCATATGTGCTAGAAACTGCATGAGCATCTTAGTGCTTTCCGTTTTACCAGCTCCACTCTCTCCACTCACCAATATTGCCTGGCTTATTCCCTCGTTAATCATCTGCCTGCATTACATGCACAAGGGCCCAGAAAAATATATTTAAAAAAAAAAGAAAAAGAAAAAGAGTAGTAGGGGTTTCAATCGTGAAGAACACAAAGTATTGTTACCGATAAGCAGCATCTGCAATAGCAAAGGGATGGGGGGCAAGATCCCCAAGAGCCACCCCTTTGTACTGTCCCATCATATCATTACTGTAAAGATGAGGTAGCCTTTGAAAGGGGTTCACCGCTATCAAAATGTTACCTGTATACGTCTGCCGGAAAAAGAAAAGAAAAAAAAAAAAAGAGAACGATCACATTCATTTATTATAGCTTCATAAAATTGTATATCCTCCAATGAAACAACACTAACATATATTTCGTTCACATCGTATCTACATCTCAAGTTGAACAGCACGCCTGGCTCATGCAGATAAGCAAGCTTTGTCATATCATCCACGCCACATGATGGAGCATCGAGATCTTTTGGGTGCACATTTGCGACAGCGGCTACTGCCTGCAAGGAAAAAAGCAATGAATCAGAACTGATCATTGTTTACGATTTTTTTCAAACATAAAATACTTACGATTTTTCCTGATGTGCACTCTACTTTAATTTCTTCACCGTCAACTTCAATCACGACCCCATCCAACCAAGCTTCCTCAGAGTCCTCTATCCACACATGAGATCCAACTGCTATACTGGACGAAACAGTCTGAACGAACAAGTTGACTTGCTATTAGTCAACATCTTAAACAGAAATTCCGGATAGCCAATTTGATTCACAAATACAATAAAACAGAATACATCAAGTCTTTAGCAATGAAGCTTTGATTCTATTTAAAAGAATATCACCGATGAAACACGTTTCAAGAAACTCTAATTGGAGGTATGCTTAGCAATTGATGACGAGACTTAGCCAAATACCAAACAAACGAAAAATGAGACACACTTTTACGATCTAGTCCTGTTTTACATGCCTGAATACATGAGAAACAAGTAAAAAAAATTAGAAAAAATATTTCAAAAGGTCGAACATCGAAATTTAGCTGACGTAATTAGCTTACCATCCACAAAATGGAAAAATTTCCGTGTCAATGGTAAGCTAATTACATCAGCTCTAAGCTCTCCAATTCAAATTTAAACAATCATTTTGACTCTGAGCAACTCCAAACAGCTCAACAATTCAAATTTAGCACATTATCAGTGACAATAGCCAAAACATTTACTAAAAATTTGCCTTGAACAATGTAACTAAACACAAAACACCAATAAGAAACAAAATGAAAATTCCAAATAAAAAATAAAAATTTCATACCATTTTGGCGATTAAGGGCAGTCAGACCCCAAATTATTTATTCTCAAACGGCCAATGTGTATGAACCCATCAAAGATTTCTTCCAACCATGCACAAATATGTATAACCAGCGACATGTATTTGCGTGTATCCAACGAATACACGCTAATACCCCCCAATATATCGAATTTCCTTTATATTCCCTTTTCCTCGATGAACAATATCAGACTATAAATACTATTATACGAAAATGAGGGTTCAAAATCGCACGGAAACCCCGTCCCTGATGAATGTAATTGTGGCTGCCAACCCTAATATAAATCTCTCTCTCTGTATGTATGTTTGTGTGTGTGTGTATGCGTGTACGTATAATTAAGGTTACAAGGGCAGAAGAACCAAAAATCCCTCCCTCTGCAACTATTTATCCTTGCCCTAAGGAATGTAATATCAAATTCCTCTGTCTCTCTCTCTCTATCTCTATCTCTCTCTCTCTCCTCTGTGAAGCTTTCTCTTTCTATGATTCTCCCATTGTTGTATTGATTTCCTGTTTTCTTCGTGTTCTCGAAACGTCAATATGCAGAGCAACCATAACAGAATGCGCAAAGGCTGATATTTGTCATATGCCCATAATGCCCCTGGATAATTGTCTAATGCACATTCGGCATTCTGGGGAATTTTTACTAACTCAATTCACTCCTAAATAAACCCCTCATTTTTCTATAATTATACCTGACCCTGAAATTTGTAGATTTCTTACATTGACATCCTTTTGTTGGGACTGGGTGTAAGAAATTTACAAACTTCAGAGGTCTATATGTAATTTCTCAAAACTAAGAGGTCTTTTGTAATTACACTTTACATCAGGGAGGTGGTTGTAATTTACCCAAAGCTTTATTTTTTGGGGGAACTATACTAAAATTCCTAAACTACAAAAATGGTTTAATGCAATTCATACCACTGTATTATTATCGAATTGCTAAGAAACTACTCCATGTTATTTTATTGTTAAAAACCCCGCTACGGTCCAATTTTTTTAGCATACAACCTCCCAAACAGATGACTAAAATTGCGAAAAGAAATTAAATTATAGGGTATATTTCGCCAATAAAATAACATAGAGTAGGTTTTTAGCAATTTGATATAATACAGGGGTACCAATTGCAATAAACTCGGAAGTAAAGTTGTTTTGGGCCTCTGGCCTATCTGGACATATCACTCGGCGTTCAATAAAGTGTTTGTGGGCTACTATAATTTCTGGTCCTAGTGTACACAATTAAAAGCCCATAAAATCAGAATCATAAATCAATTTTTATTAATCAACACACCTAAAATTCAAATTAATGCAAAAAAATCCCCAATTTTATTAATTAGCCCAATCAAATTCAAATTAATGCAATTTTTTTTTTTAATTTTCCTATTAACTGATTTTGTTAAAAAAAAATCCAAAAAAAATAAAAAAATCGGAGGCGCTGCCCCCGAACCTCCGAAAATTTAAGTTCACCCAGCAACAAATTCCTCGACTCGCCACTCCGCACATGTACATTCATCTAAAACAAGTAGCAAATAAATTTCCGAATATTCGTTTGGAAAAATAGTGGAATATTTGTTTAGAGTTTCACTACAATACCAAAAATTTGTTCCACAAATTAAAGTACATACGCAACAATATTTATATATAAATGGGGGTCCATAATTTTTTTGTTCTGTTTTATTTGTTAGATTTACAACAACAACCAAAAAAAGTTTCATAGTTTCATTTTCGTCCCAAAAATTCACGGTCACCTTCTTCAACAGCTTTTCCGTTGGGCACAATACTCGTAACAACTTCCAAATTTGAATTTGACCCATTCCCAATATTATTTTCACTCAAAAGCGTGCTTTGCTTTATAGGCATTATTTCTTGATCTTCACCCAATGGCGATTTATAGTCTTTTGCTTTACCCCACACAACAAAATAAAGCCCCAAAACTATCACAATTGCTCCAACAATCCTACAAAACAAAAACAACAACATTAAGTTATTGAAATTAATTTAATTTAATTTCCAAGTAATTGTAATTTATTTAGTAATTACCTTCCTAAAAACATTTGCTCGGCTAGGATAAAAGAACTCATGATAGCAACCATAACCATACTTAGAGGGCTAAACGCAGTCACGAAAACCGGACCCCGTTCTTTCATTACGACTCCTTGGACATAGTACGCGATCCCCGAACAAAATATACCCTGTAATTAAAAAAAATCCCTCTTTTAGCTACGAGCAAACGAATTTATTACTTGAAAATATTATATGCGATTTTTGTTCTTACACTATAAGCAGCCGCGAGAAATTTAGTGTCCCATTTAATCGCCCAAGCCGACGAATTCCCCTTCTCCATCACTAGTGCGAGTGCGGCTCCCTCCGCGGTTCCTAACAAGCATATCCACGCGGTGAGCGACAATTCCGCGGGATACGTCTTTAGTGTGATTGCCTACAAAATCCACACCAAAAATGAATTAATTACTAATTTCATTATACAATTTTTTTTTTTAATTTCTGAATTATTAGGAAGTTTGTACAAATTAATTAATTTTATTTTACCTGCAAAATCATGAAGCAAGCCCAAGCTAAGCATCCGATTGTGATCATGATGGCACCTTTGATCGTATGATGGAGGCTTACTTCTCCGTGGTGATGCGCGTGGTCGATTCCGGATCTCGTCCACGGTAGGTTAATATGAGGGCCTTGTACTAAGGTCATTATCATGGCTCCCGCGACGGTAGCAAGTGTGCCGATTATTTTGGCTTGGCTACGAATGCTCATTACTTTAACCTTCTCGAGCCTGAAGAAGCATGCGATAACGAACGTTAAGGCGGGAAGAATGTTGGCCATTGCAGCTGCAAACGTCGCCGTTGTGTACTTCATCCCCAAGAAGTAGAGGTTTTGATCTATCACTGGCCTGTAAATTAATCAAAACTCAATCCCTTTTTTTAGGGTAAATTACACCTACACCCCCCCGAGGTATGTTAAAATAATTTTACGGTCCCTGCGGTAATTGTAATTACAGACACACCCCTGAAACAATTACTCGAGTCACGATTACATGTCATGTGGACCGATATGCATTATATTTGTTTTCCGCAAGGCCGTTAATGCTAGATGAAAATTTATAAATTCTTATACCGTTAGAACCCTAACGGAATAAGTAATCCAATGCATTATTCCGTTAGGGTTTCTTATAACAATGTTTCGGGGGGTCATTTGTAATTACCGATACCACATGGACCTTAAAGTTATGTTAACATACTTCAGGGGTGTAGATGTAATTTTCCCTTTTTTATGATACAATTTATTTTTGCATAATTGTTTTTTAAATGTAAAAATTGATTATAGATAATATTATATATGGAACTTACTCCAAGAGACTCATAAGCATAATCTTGACAAATATAGATGTAGTCATCTTCGGCCTTATTTTCCTGCAAAAACAACATTATTTAGTTTTAGTTTTGCAAGAAATTATATTGTTTCTGAGAGAGAGAGAGAGAGAGAATGAGTACGTGTCGAGTGCGAACGCAAAAGGGGCGATGACGATGGTGGCAACGGCGTGTCGATAGACAACAAACACGTAATTACTCATCCCTTCGTTAAGTGCAGCTTTAGAAATGATATCCATGCCAGCTAGCCCTGCTTGCAGAAACACTACAGCCAAAAAGGGTTTTGCCTTTTGAAACATAACTTGCATGCTTTCTTTCATTCTTCCTGTTTTTACGTACTTAGTCTTTTATATATATATATATATATTTATATTTTGTATGTATATATATATATATATTAGTCTAAGTTGTAGTGTGTGTGTGTGTGTGTGTGTATGATGTGGGAGAAAAAACATGAGAGTTCATTTGGCTTATATATATATATGAGGAGTAGAGGTTGTGTGGTGGAGAGAAACACTCTACATGCATATTGCTTTTTGGCCCTTTGAATAAATTAAATATGCCTTTTTTTTTCTTTTTTCCTTTTTTTCTGCTCAATCTTTTTCTTTTCTGTTTCAATCGGTAGGGGCGAATTTATTTGTGACGTCGATAAATGTTTCTACTGTAAATAATGTGACCGAGGTGGTGTATATATCGTGCATTTGAATTGAAAGATTCGAAATTTTAATTACGAGACGAATTTCAAGAAGGGTTTTCGAAATTACTCCGTTTTAATTAAGTAAATTTTAAATTCAGGATAATAATAACCTATAATTACTATAAAAGAGTCGAAAAAAATTAAATGAAATGAATTTGTTATTAGCTCTAAATTATTTAATTGAGATGTGCAGTTACTTAAGCTAGTTCTTACACTTTGTGCTAACCTTGAATAAAATCTACATTTGTTTATTGAACTTGCCAACCAAAAATAATTTATTACGCTCAAATTAAAATGTGGAATTGTTTAATCAACTTTATGTCAAACTTATTCCATACATTAAAAAAGTTCTTAAGAGAATTATATAAGATTTGAGAACAAAAGTAGATGGAGATTCCTTTTATTTTCCCCTATGAAAGGGCATTCTATTAGACAATCCACAAAAGATGCATAAATTCTATTTTATTTTTTTTTAAATTATTTTAGTAATGAATGAACCTGCAGCCAATCATATAGCTGCACATGATAAGCCTAGACCCTCGTATAATAACTTGCAAATCATACGAGATAAGTAAACTACATACACTAAACTAATCTGTGTGATAAACTTGACCTAACAACCGTTGGCAGATGAATTTGAATTTAGGTCAATTAATACAAGTTCACTTGCTTCAGCTGGACGTATTTTAAAATTTAATGATACTCGTAGAGGTTTTTTTATGTGATTAATTGGATTCCTCTAATGTATATTGTGATTGGTTTATTAATCATGTGTTGCCTCCTTTCCATAAACATTTTATATAATTAAATCGAGGAGAATTAAATCATTTCAAAGATTTAAGTCAAATATTAATTCATATGGACCCTGGTCAAAGGCAAATATGACACTTGAGTCCCCTATTATTTATTTATTTATTTATTTTATTTTATATATATGGTGATAAAATTTAATTTATTTTATGCTATCTGAATTGGCATTCCACCGAATATACATATCTTACTTTAAAAATTGATATGTGCTTTGGAATCTGACTGTTTTGCCCATTCAAAATTAAATTTTGAGAATTTAAATTTTAAAATATAGTGTGTAGGCCATGTATAGAAACTGTACCTCATGTCATCTCACTATTTATTTTGTTGCCAACATTTGGGTAAATATTTGTTTCAGATTAGGACTCCACTAATTTATTTATGGGTAAATCACAAAAATGCCCATGACAATAGCACTTAATTAAAAGCGGGATATACAACTTTTTTATCTTTCAAATGAATCCAGTTCATTCAAATTTATTTGCAAATAAGGAAAACATTTTATATATACCAAAATTACCCCCAATTCATTGAAACCCAATTCAACTCCAATTTCATGATTTAAACCATAATTTAGCTCAATCTCATCAATTAACCAATTTTAACACTAATTTCAGTTTTGACCCCAATTTTGACCCGCCACCACCGGAGACCGCCGGTCGCCACCGTTGACCGGCATTGACTTTTTTTTTTTTTTTTTGAAAAACTTTTTTTCCCTAAATTTTTTTTCCGGCCTGTCAACTGCCGTTGACCGCCGGGTCTCCGGCGTTGACTTTTTTTTTTTTTTTTTTTTTTTTTTTCTTAAAAAAAATATTTTAATTAATATTACTGTCTTGGCTGTTAAATTACTATATCTGACAGGTATTTAACTGTTGGAGACAGTAATTTAATTGTTAATTGACTTTTTTTTTTCTTCAAAAATATTTTAATTAATATTACTGTCTTTGCTCCTAAATTACTGTCTCCAGCAGTTATTTAACTGTCGGAGACAGTAATTTAACTCTTAATTGACTCTTTTTTTTTAAATATTTTAATTAATATTACTGTATTCATTGCTAAATTACTATCTTCAGTAGTTATTTAACTGTCGGAGACCGTAATTTAACTGTTAATTGACTTTTTTATTCTTAAAAAAATATTTTTAATTAATATTACTGTATTCGTTGCTAAATTACTGTCTCTTATTTAACTGTCGGAGACAGTAACTAACTGTTAATTAACTTTTTTTTTTGAAATTTTTTTCTTAAAAAAAAATTATTTTAATTAATATTACTGCCGTGGCTCCTAAATTACTGTCTCCAACAGTAATTTAACTATCTTAGACAATAATATTAATAATATTACTGTTCGGGAAAATAATATTCATAATATTACTGTCTCAAACAGTAATATTACTGTTGAGACAGTAATTTAGTAGCCAAGACAGTAATATTAATTAAAATATTTTTTTCTAAGAAAAAAAATTCGAAAAAAAAAGTCAACGCCGTAGACCGGCGGTCAAAAAAAATTTCAGGAAAAAAAAAGGTTTTCCAAAAAAAAAAAAAAAGTCAACGCCGGAATTTGGTCGGAAAAAAAAATTTCGGAAAAAAAATTATTTTCTGAAAAAAAAAATTAGGGGGTTAATGTGATATATTTGTTTAAATCCGGGGTCAATGTGTAATATTAAGGAAGTTAGAGCATAATGGATAGAATTGATAAGAATTATATTATGGAGGGTATTTTAGACTAAAGACATGGGGATGAGTTTAATCGAGAAACTGTTTTTTTTGTGAACCAAAATGCATTTAAGTCACATGCGATGGGCCTTTTTGCCGTTCGCCCTTTATTTATTTTATTTTTAATGTCGAGAATTCAGTTTGGCGAATTTATTTTCTATTAAATAAAAAATTAATAATAATAATAAAAATCTTGATTTTTTTTCAAGAAATGGTTATGCTTGTATAATGGGATTTAACTAAAATAGATATTTGTTAATTAGTTGAAGATATATTGAGTCGCGTGTCAATTGTCGATTAGATTTGTTTAGAATCTATCGAAAATCTATAATCGTACGGTAAATGTTACGTCTCATGATCTATCTGCGTGTGTCTTTAACACGTGTATAGTGAAATCTTACCAACTCGTTTAAAATTCATCAAGTGTTTGCACATAACAAACTATAGGTCGAAGTCGACTCGTTTTTCTAAAGAATTATCGGTGAACTCGAACTTGAGGTCAAACGTTTATCGAACCGACTCAACTCATATGTACACTCCAAGATTTTGATAATGGTATGTGCAATCATATGGTTTAGTGTGGGATTGGTGGAGTCAAATCAATAGTTTAATTTATATATTTTTTTTAAATATATAAATAATGACTAAAATTGATAAAGTATATACAAAAGTTGTCCATTTCGTTATCCGTGTAAATTACCTCATGATAAAGTATATATATAATTTGTAAAAGTTGTCCAATCTTTGCTCCTTTGCTGCAATTATGTCCATAATTAAAACCCTCCCTTTAATTGGTTGAGGATTGGCTGATTTGCAATTGCTGTAATTCAATTTGATGCCTTTATTACATCATGTTGGAGTATTTCAATTAAAAATATATATTTTATTATAATATATAATATTAGCTATGGAAAGATAGCGCAAATGGAGTTCGAGCTTCAACCTGCTTATTTCGTGATCTATCATCAAAGTGCAGCCGTAGTTGCAACACATCATGTCATAATACTTCACATTGTCCTCAAAAATACTTTGTTCAATACGAATAATACTATATATTCTCCTCTTTATATATCAAAATTTCCCCCTCGTTCAAAATACTACGTTACTATCGTAAAAAGAGGCAAGCAAAAGATCATTCTATCAAGATCAATACAAGAACACGACTTTATCGGGTTGGTTTTCAGCATCTTCTCTTTTTTTAGTTTGTACCGTGTCGTGATAAAATACCACTATAGTCGCATTATTGAGAAGCACTTTTTTTCTCAATAATTGTTTCTTTGCTCTTTTAATTCTTTATAGAATGCAAATATATTACTCTCCCCCTTTTTATTTTATGCCTCTTTTAAGAAAGTTGCACACAGATTAAGAATCCTATTAACTAAGCATCTATTTAATTAGAAAATTTAAAGATTATCCTCCATAAATACATAAGTAAACTATTAAATGATAAAATTGGTACACCAATATTAATTATGCTTCGAAACTCTAAAGTCACAGATAAGATGATAAGCAAATTTATGACTAAAGAGACACTTAAAAAGAAAAAACAACGTAACCAAGAAAATACTAATATGGTATAGTGCAAACGTGCTTGGGTAGCGAAATCGATGTTTTTGCATTATCAAAAAGAAAAAGGGCACACAAAAACCTACTAATTGTTTTGTGACACCCACTTTGCAAAAGGTAACAAAGCTACCTTTCTTTGAGATTTGCATTCTCTTCTAATATTATTTTGACTCTTCAAAAAAATTTATATTCAATAGTGCTTCGTTCGTTTTGGGATTCCTTTGGACCACTCCCTTCAATCGGGATTTGTATATTCTTCACGGATCATGTAATTTTAATTATATACACATTCCGATCATATAATTTTTATACAAATAAACCTTTTAAGTGGTGTAAATGAGCAGAGCTTGATAACGAGTTTGTGCGCATGTTGGATATTCCATTAAGAAGGGATTGAATTTGCTTTCAGTTGTTTTAAAATCGAACTTGTGGATTGAAAATGAACTCCCTAGATCCATTTTGTAATAAATAATTTACAATAATTTCGTTAAAACCATATGAATTTATGATATGGATATTAATATAAAAAAAAATAATAAATAAACAAGAAGCGTCCCGAATCCATTTATAACTTTAAAATCGGGATTTATTCCGAAATAGTGTCGTCCGAGTTCAGGCCAACCTCACTACTCCTGTCGTTCTCGTATATACTTTTCTTTTTCTTTTTTTTTTCCAAATGTTCGAATCTACATTTATTTATTTATCCGGTTGGATTTTCACTTGATTTTGACAGATAAATAAGTGAGCCACGTCAGCATATTCCAGTGGTGCGAGTACCGTGTGCCTTCCACACAGTCTGATTCTATGAGGGCGTCATATATCATCGCTGTGGCGGCAAAAGAAAGAAGGCAAACACTATCACAGACAAAACATTTTGGACCGAAATAATTACACATTCAAAAGTTAAATAAATTCAAGACGCAAAAGTTAATTACAAAAATTCGAAAAACAAATTGTCGGGCCCTTTATATAAAGTTGATAACAATAATTGGTATAGCACTGCATTCTGCACTGCAATTAGCCAATTACCCTTTGGAAAAAAAAAATTATTAAAAAAAAAAAACTTTTTTTTTTCCTTATTCAAACTTTTCGAGTTCATGTTATGTAACAGCAAAAATGAGAAACAAATAAAATTAATTCATTTAATAAAGATCTGCCAATAAAAAAAAACACAATTGTGTAGCATCTAAAAAGAAATGGGAGCAATAGCAATAATACAAGCAACGCCAATATTGTCATAATAATGTGTCAATATGTGTCAAATTAAGGGATGTATTATATGGGCATCCTATATTGATCACATAATAATAATAATAATAATAGCTTTGCTCAAGAACCACAGCAAGCCGATTTTTGGGCAGCTTGAGCAGCTCCAGCTGCCTGGTCTGGTTGGGTAATCCTTATTGTCTGAGGCTGCATTCATACAAACAATCACACATTCATCAGTATCGATATATATATCGCAGTTATATATATACACATATATATTTGTATATAATATACTTAGTACCTCAGCCTTTGAATCGGTTTCAGCGAGTCTTTGCTTAATGTCCCTAGCAATTGAGAAGAAAACCTCCTCCACATTCATGTTTGTTTTAGCACTCTGTTTTGACATGGTGATATTTTAGATGATTGGTTCGATATAAAATTTCAATACAAGCGATATGGTAATACTTACAGTCTCGAAAAATTTGATCCCGTATTCATCAGCAAGTGCTTGACCCTTGGAGGTAGGGACGGCCTACGGAAGTAAAATTAGTGGACAAATGAGCAGGATTAGACAGAATTATGCACAGTAATAGACAATAAATGACGTGTCAGTTCCTGATTCATCATACTTTTTTGGTCACATGTGATTCTAATTGTTACCATTTTCGAGATTTATTAAATGGGAACAGATTTGATTGATTTGAAATACGTGCCTGCTTAATGTCGAGTTAATTGAGGGTCATAGATGGTAACTAAAGATAAAGCCACCAACCAGCACATGGACAAAACTATATGCATGCCAACAGAGAGAGAGCATTACCCTTTTGCTTTCATCCATGTCAGCCTTGTTTCCCACCAATATCTTGTTCACATTGTCCGATGCATGCTGTTCGATGTTTCTGATCCAATTCCTAATGTCTGAGAAAAACAATGGAGTCAATTTTGACAACATAGAGAAATATTGTAGCATAAGGAAAACATGAATGAATCATCGTGAGAGAGAAAATGAATCCCCCACTAGCGAATACAACAGTAAAATAGGAAATGTCGGGGATGAAGAGTGGTTACTGTTGAAAGATGACTCATCAGTGACATCATACACCAGCAATATACCCATTGCTCCACGGTAGTAAGCTGCAAAAAAAAAAAAGAATTTGTTCAGGCAAAAGGCTCTAAGAATTCAAAAGAGAAAAAGATGATTCGGAAATCTTATTGACTACAACAAATTCATAGAAAGTATTTAATAAAAGGCATACTATAAATCCTAAAAAGTACTTGTCCTGTATAATTTGTATCGTTCAAAATGTTATAGAGCCTCAGTCTATACAGGATTTCATAGTAAATTTCATAGGATTTCCTGAGCTGATAAGGTCCTTAAAACTTCTCATAAAGATATTTCAGAGCCTTGTGCGTCTTCCATATACGGTGTCAATTTTAGGAAAAGAGCTTGCAATATCACAAAAAAGATGTTAGGATATTATAAGCTCCTTCAACTAGAAAAGAAAAGATAAGGAGATTTGGAAAATATTTATTACATCGTAAGAAACTTCTTTATCTTTGATTACATTAGCAATAAATCTTATTTTACTGACGATGTTCTAAAAGCTTATTTGAAAATAAGATCTAGAATCTTAAAGCACCAAACTATAGGCTTACCATAAGTTTCTTGACCCTGCTATATAATTTAGGGGATCTCCCAGAAGGTGGGTATTGCCTTCAATAACCCATGAAATTTGTTTGCCTATTCATAGTTTACATAAACAGGGGCCACCCACAGCCAACTAGAGAGAAGAAACAAATGATTTTAACGAGGATCCAGTCGAGGGAAGGAAAATCAATTCAAAGTAATCTGCTGTACACGGCTAATTTTTAATTTTGTACGTTTGTTTATTGATGAGCAAACCAGAGATAATGCATGTATGTATTGTGTCTTACCATAATTCACCAAAATGTGCATATAGTAACTACTCCTTCCCTTACTACCACAACTTCACCCAAAAATTATCATTTTCTTTTAGTGAAGTAAAGCTGCTGCAATTGAAATATTTAAATATAAAGAATAAGTGAGTTGCCAGGTGCCACTGCATTTAATGCAATATTTTGAGATTTCTCTTCATTTGCCACTTTTTTCAACTCATTCTCCCTTTTACATTTACAAAATGAATCTAATTTATTATTTGCATAAAATAAATACTGGCATGCGTTGAGCAAGTAGACAAGTATTTAGTATATGTTTCACAAGTGCACTAATCTTTTTTATTAATATGTGAAAAATGAAAATAAATTCTTAGTGTTTGAAGCATCACATTCTTTAAGTAACATGAGATTCAAATTTTCTAGAAACTGCTCATTAACTGGTGACAGAAGTACCTGATAACTACTGATAATCTCAAAGGAATCCTGTGTGACTTCTTATGAAGCTGATAACATGGATTTCAGGTACCCTTGGCTAAGGGATTCAGGTGAGTGGGAACTACGACTTTATAATCTCAAATTGGGGAAGAAAAAAAAAAAGGCTAGCCGCCATCCATTCCTAAAGTTACTTCCCCCACCAACTGTTAACTCAAATTTCATTACACCAGCCACCTCTTGCAGATTTCCAACATCATATGGTCGTCATGGACAACCACAAAGCAATGAGCAAGAAGAAGAAAATGGTGTAGGAGAAATTAAGGGAAGGAGTATGCAGAAAACATCAAGGGAGCAAATTACTTTTTTTCTCTTCTTCTAAAATAAAATAAACATTTATGGAGACATGAAAATAAGTAAAAAAGAAGAAAGAAAATACAATTATTTTCATCTCATCTCTGATTAATAAAGCTATATTATCATGGCCTTAGTGCTTGGGATAGTTCAAGAAAATTTTGACTTGTTGTACAGTGACTGAGAACTATGAATCTGCACTCTATCCTATCCAAAAGTATAAAACAATTACCAGTGCCATTTAATTCTCTGTAAAACTGCACATCTTTATAAGTCAGCCTTAAAAACTTCTAATCATAAAATTTTTCTCATCAAATCGTACTCCTAAGCAAAATACCATGGAAAAAATAAACTGCCTAGATCATACAGACCCATGATTCAAAACTTGCTACTCAAAACTTGCTACTCATATACATGGGAACAAACAATGCAGAAATATGCTGCAACACGTGCAGAAGAAACAAGTTGAAACTGAAACGAAGTTACAGTTTAGCTTCTCTCTATAGGAGGGAGAGAAAAAGAAAAAAAAAAGGGAGCAAAGTCCAGCATCACTCAAACACATACCAGTTGTGATAGTTCGAAATCGCTCTTGTCCAGCAGTATCCCATATTTGCAGTTTGATCCTTTTCGCATCAAGCTCTATAGTTCTTATCTTGAAATCAATCCTGTTGAAAAGACAGAAGCAAATAAGGTGGAGGGAAGTTTACAAAACTGAACTGCAAGACATCTAGAGTTGACATAAACCTACCCAATGGTGGTAATAAAGCTGGTAGTGAAAGAACCATCGGAAAAACGTAAGAGAAGGCAACTCTTACCCACACCTGAAAAACCATGAAAATAATGAACACTAAAACCCAAACCGTTTCAAATAACAATTTCAAACAGTATATTCAGGATGACTAAACTAACTGCCCCGAGTATTTGTAAAATGTATCGACAAAAGGAATACCCAACCAATTAAAGATAATCACATTATAGAGTTCCAACAATTTCTTGTGAAATACCATTCTGCTGCTTGGATCAAATATCTACCACCTAAGGACCATGAAATGTCCAATTGACAACCAGTTATGCCAATGCAGTATTATATGGGCCAGTATCCCCGATTAGGCAGGTTCACTCATTTCCGAGTCCACAAAATCATACATACAAGATTATAGTCAGTAGCTCCATCAAGTCAATTTGAAAGAAATTATCATATGCACAAACTAATATCAAATGTGATGTCATGTGGATCATCGGTAACTTATACTGCATAACATTCAACTATGCATGAATATCTTACATTTCTTGACTCCAACATTTCTCATATTTCATTCAGAACAATTACAACGAAGAGCCAACTGAACTGATATTCTCCACTACGTAGGAATCTAGAACGCATAAAAATCTTATTATCCATTAACAACTATGAGAATGAGACACCGCTCCATTTTTCCTACCACATTACCAAAGCAGAGATATAAACTTATCTGACAGCACATATATGCAAAAATATTTAAATAGCGCTACCATTTTTGCCAGTAAATCATATATACCTTTTAATATTTATTCACACAAAAACCCCATCAAATGATCAAGAGCACAATCACAAATAATTAAAATGAGAGGTGCCGAAACAAACAAAAAAAAAAAAAATCGCCACAAATCCAGCTAACACAGTAAAAATTGCAAAAACCAATTCGCACATTTAATATCCAAAATACAGAAAAGCTCAAAAAAAAAAAAGGGAAATTCAGAAGAAAAAAAATGGTGAGAAAAAAATTACCCACCGCTATCACCGATCAAGAGAAGCTTGATGAGATAATCATAATCGGCTCGAGCTCTAGCAGGTGGAGCGGCCATCTGATTCCGAAACTGTTTCTCTCACAAATTCCTCAAAAAATAAACCCTAGCAACAAAAATCGACGCTTATTTATTTATCTCAGAAAAAAATCGCAACGATCAAATGAAAACCAGATAATCCAAAATTTCAAAAGGATCACAAGTTAGTGGAGAAATTTAGATGGGTAATGAAACTAATTACCAGATCGGAGGAAAGAGAGAAGAGATGGATCTATAAATGAGGAATGAGGAAAAAGAGGAGGAGGGAAGCAGCAGCGGTCGGTCGTTGAATATTTGTAATTATTATATAATTATAATAATCATAATAATAAAAACTATCATTTTCATTTTTATTTTTTTTTTATTTTGAAAAATTCAATGATTGAAATAGAATTGGTATTTAACTATTTATTCATTTGTGCTTGTTGTTGGGAGGGGAATTGGTCATCAATTTATTTTACTGGACTGATTAAAAGAATTTGGGCATCTTTTTTCTTTTTATATGGGTTGGATACTATTTGGACAGCCTGGATCAAGCCCATTCCCGCTGGATTGACATATTCTTCTATAATCTGTATAATTGTATATATTTTTTAATTTCGAGTTTTTTGTTTTAATGAATTATTTAATTTGGATGTTGAAAAAAATCAAAATTAATTAGAATGATAATTAATATTCTCTTATTCAATATTTAAAGTTTTTTTCCTTTTTTGGAAGATTTAAATATTGATAAAAAAGGCATTAAACTATTATTATTTATTTAGATTTATGTATTTCATGTTGATCATTTTACATTCAGAATAAATAATATATTTAGTGAATTTTTTCATATAGTATGATATGTGATACTTGATTTAGGGTGAAAAAGTAGAGGTGGCATAAATATATTCATTAAGTCGGACTCTGACAAGTGACGACTAATGCTACTTGCAATGTTGGATACAATGAAGTTTTTCGGTGAACCAACCGGCCGTTGAGTTACCATAATTTATATTCATCCATCAAATATTTGTCAGGCCAAGGAATAAGGGCCCTGGAGGCGAGAGATTTCGCCTATTGGTACAAGTTTTTGCAGTGAATATGAAGATACATTTACAAAAATGTTTTATTATTCAATAGCAAAAAAATTATATTATTTTTTAGTATCACGTTTATTAGCGTTGTATGCTAATTTTATTGTCGACTCCAATGAATATATTTTTTTAATGAAGGTAATTTAATATAAATTGTATTTATTTCCTACACTTTTAGTTGAATTGTTTTTCAGTACTGTGTGATTGCATATGAACAAACAAAAATGTGTTGGTTACTCGCAAAGTATTAGACGATTTATAGGCTGTTGTAAATCCACGTGCTATAAAATACCATGTTAATACCTAAATTTATCGGGCATTGGACGATATAGTTGCTATTAAAAGTTTTCGTTCAATTATTTTATAAAACGTATTTTTATTTTTTTTTAAATTGTCTTGTGATTTTTGAAGTGGGAAGATGCATCACATGAAATGAGGCCCAACAAATAAACGGGCTATAGTATAAAATGACCCAATGTGATAGATTATCCGGATCCAATAAGAATATCTTGTGGTGTCTTAATATCTTTGTTCTTTTTTCAAGATAAGGAATATCAACGTTGAGTAGATTCAGCAGTATATCCCATTGAATTCTCCCCTCTTTTATTTCTAAAAAATATTTAAATAAGAATTTGATAGAGTTTTCTATTTTAAATACTATTTTATTTTCCATTTTAAAATTATAGATGAACACTAAATGTAGGATAATTGTGCATGTTTAAACATTCGATGCCTCGAAAATTATGAATTCAATTGATACACTACGTAATCAAATTTTCACGAGTTTAACGATTTCATCCCGTTGACGAGTCTAATCTGCTCACTCCTAATTAATATCCATACAACTTTCCGTTAGTCCTAACAAAAAATACGATTTGTGTGATGTAACATTAAAAATGCAATATGGTAAGAGAATATTTTTTGTGCATATATTGATAAATGATAATGACTACACACATTCCACCCAATTAAATCGCTCAAGCATGAACCTCACGGCAGTTAGAGAGTTTCACCTCCGGCTAAGCAAACTATGAACCGGGCCCCACCACAGCCTAACCAATCACCCAATCAAAGAACGACACGTCATACTCCATTTAAAAAAAAGGAATTTTTCTTTTTCTTTGGTATTTTACGCTTTTTTTCCTTTGAATATGCCCCCGTCTTTAAATGGCAAAGCGCACGAAGCAGAGAGCGGGAACGCATATATCCACCTCCACTAGTAGCTCGGACTGAAAGCTTCCCTTCACTACTCCTTTCTCTCTCTAGGGTTTCTCTCTCTCTCTAACACGCCCATTTCATCTATAAATATTCTCGCTTGCCTTCATTGTTACGCTCTGTATACTATTCGAGATCTGCCTTTTTCTTTCCATCTTCTCACCGACGCTTCCTTTGGTTGAGTTTACGGTACGCTTCAATTTTTTTTTTTGCTTGCTGAGACAAGCTTCGTCTTACTTTTTGAGATTCGGTTGCATTTATTGCTATTTTTCTGCTTTATAGGCTCTTTTGTTTCGTCATTTTTGTATGTTGTGCATGACTGTATTACAACATGGATACGAATTTTGATGCATGTACGGTTATGTATATTTTAATAAGTTGAAGCTCTGTTCCATTCATGTTGATTTTTTTGAAGTTCTGTGCATTTTTGTGCTTTTGCTGTGCAATTGTTTTCTGATTTGGTGTTGTTACTCGTTTGCTAGACTTAAATGTTAAAATAGGCTGTTGGCATGATATTGTACCATTTATTGGGAGATATTGAATCACACCTGTGCATGATGAAGATCCTGGATCTGTGTATTTATGGAGGCGGTTTAGATTTTTTGATGCTTATTTCCAGCTAATTTATGTCGTCCTATGAACTGGTTATTGTTTAATTGCAATTACACTCTGTTGGATGTTTTTCTTATGATCGTGGTGTTTTTGAGTTTTGAGTTCATCAATGATTTCAGTAGGTAGGTTTTATCATGTTTGGGCAGTAATTATTGATGGAATTTGTAGCAGTGTCTTGGCAGATGAGAACATAAGATTTCGGATTTTGTATTGTTTTTCTTGTTAAAATACGGTCTATGTGATTTAGAACTTCATCTGTGTTAATGTGAAGCTGTTCTGTGGACCGTAGTTTTTTCTTTTTTTTGGATGTCTTGAAAACAGAGGATTTTATGTACCTGTAGTTCAGATACGATGTATTCTTCTTCTGGAGACATCTATTTAAGACAATTAGAAGGGCATATAGTGGCAATTGAAATGAATCGATCGAATCTTTAGCAAGGCTTCAATGAGGACGCACTTTTACCTAATTTGATTCTGTTGAATAAGCAACCTTTTCCTTTTTTACATTCTGCTGGCAAAATTGTTTGATTCATTACAATTTGGGTACCCTATCAGCTGGATTAGGCTGCCAAAGCACACATTAATACTGGATGTTAGAGTCAATAGCTTATTTCTAGATATGTCTAATAGGATCACTACGTGCCTGATCGTTCGATAACAAACTGTTTGAATGGTTAATTTTCGGAGCTGTAATAAAATCTCAGGTCTGACATTATTTCCTTCCTATAATAGAAGAATATTGCCAGATAATTATCTTCGTCTACTAATATGAGAAAATCTTATCTTAATCAATGCTCTGATATTTATTTAACCTGCAGTAATGGCACCACCAAATGAGACAAACAGATCCCCTGATGCCCCGAAGCCAGCACGTTTGCCACTCAATGAAAGGATACTCTCTTCCCTGACTAGGAAAGCTGTCGCTGCTCATCCTTGGCATGATCTTGAGATAGGCATATATCTAAATTCTCGACAATCAAGTTCAAATCTCAATTTAATTTTTGTTAAATTTATTTATATTTTTTCTTCTTATTGCTAATGCAGGACCTGGAGCACCGATAATTTTCAACTGCGTAAGGATATTGAATTTTATTTAACCTTTTTCTTTCTAATACTATTGTGATAAAATTGGAGAAGATTTCAGATGTTAAATGGAATACTAACAGTTGAAAATCTGTTGATTATTTTGTACTGTTACGAAAGTATATGAAATCAAATGGAAATGGAGGTTTTGAGTAAAGAAGATTGTCTTGAACAATCATCTCAACAAAATGAACCTGTTTTGTTTTAGGACATCACAACATGACTCAAAGAGTTTCTTCGATTATTCTTTCCCAGTTCGTGATTCACCAACTTTTCAGTACGAGAAATATGCTGGTCCTCTTGAATAAAATTGCGACTGGTCGTTAATTGCATGGCTGTATATCAACTTTGTCATTTTCTCCTCATTTAGTTTCATTTCCATTCATCCTTTCATCTTTCAAAAGTTGAATTTGCATTGTTTTCTGCAGTGCCATCTAATTTTGCTAGTAACTAATCTCAATTGGTCTGATCTCTAAATAATGATTTCTTCCGATATTATCATTCCCTTTTATCTACTAATATTCTTGTTATCCATTGCACTACAATGTTATTGGACTTTTTTGCCTGTTACTTATATACTCTTTTGGTATCTCTACGAAACTCGTTCAATTTGGTACATCAAATTGGTATTAGTTAAAAGTTACGACTCAATGCAGCCATATGAGAGTATCGTGTATTCCGTGTCGACAATATATGGACAAGTTGCTTTCTGCTGTCATGTTTTTTCCTGTTCGGGATTATACAGTTTTATTATCTTTTCTCCTTTATCATTTGATATCTATTTGACATTATTTGTGAAGCTTCTCAGATCATCTTGTGTAATCCCTGCAGGTGGTTGAGATAAGCAAGGGAAGTAAGGTGAAATATGAACTTGACAAAAAAACTGGTCTAATTAAGGTACTTAGCTTTTGACTTGTTGTATGGCAAGTTATTTCGTTTAATCATGAACTATGAAGTAACAAAACTTCTTTTTGCCTGCAGGTTGATCGTGTACTGTACTCATCAGTTGTGTACCCCCATAACTATGGCTTCGTCCCTCGTACTCTGTGCGAAGACAATGACCCGCTTGATGTATTGGTCATCATGCAGGTATTACGAATCCAGTATTTCCTCGCAAATAGTCTGAGATATTAAATGTTGTGCATGCATAATCTTCAGTAGACATTTAACTTGTGATGAAATGCACACCAAATGTAGCGATTTTCAAACGAACAACGCACTACACAGGTTTTTCGCGGAAAATGTTCTAGAAGACATGCATTATTCATAGGATCTAAAAGAAATCACCAGTAACATATTGCCATCTACGTTTTTTCCGGATCATTGGATCTTGCATGTTGTGCCTAACTCAAGTTTTTATACGCACGTGAATCTCATACTAGTGGTAGTAAATTAGAAGATGGCTCTAATTTGGTATAGAAAATCATGGCCAGTTAGTTTTGGCAATATGAATCTTTTTGGAAACAACACTTACTTTCTGAAATTGTTTGCTGTCGATTAACCATCTCCATAAATATATACAGGAACCAGTTCTTCCAGGCTGCTTTCTCAGGGCCAAAGCAATAGGTCTCATGCCCATGATAGATCAGGTACATTACACACACCATATATCACATTTACCTTACAATTTAGGCACACCAAAAAAAGGAAAAAACGAAGATCGTTGACTTTTTTTTTTTTTGCGACAGGGAGAGAAAGATGACAAGATAATTGCTGTCTGCGCTGATGATCCTGAATATCGACACTACACTGATATTAAAGAGCTTCCACCCCATCGATTGGCTGAAATCCGCCGTTTTTTCGAAGACTGTATCCTTTTCAAATAACCATAAATCTTAATTCTTGAAAAACATTACTTGAATTTTTGTTCTGTGGTTTTTGGTCCATGTGATTTTTTTTGTCTCTTGTGACCTTAACGATTTTAAACCAGACAAGAAAAACGAGAACAAGGATGTTGCAGTTGATGAATTTCTTCCAGCCACGAAAGCCTACGAAGCAGTCCAGTCTTCAATGTAAGTGGCTTTCTTTCTCCCCTTCAAATAACTCGGAAATTATTTTACTAAAAACTTGCGTAAACAGCAAAAAGCTATATATGTTTTATGTTCTTCTCTGGTGCAGGAACCTGTACGCAGACTACACAGTCGAGAATCTAAGGCGGTAGTTCTGTACGTTCCAAACAAAGAGTGGTGCGCGCGTTCTGAGTTTTGCCCTGAAATAACACTTCATATATATACTATAATAATTGTTTCTATACAGTTTTACGATGATGACAAATAACGACTACCACTATACGATGGTGGATTGATTGATTATACTGCTATTCAATGAAAAGTGGTGTACTTAAACTCCAATATATATATAATATATATTTGCTGTAATAGAACTGATTGGTTGCCTAAGCTTTTACATTCTCCTTTTAGGACATATGTAACTTACAACCCCTCATTTTTTATCATCTTTCATCATGTTTCTATATTTGAACTGTTCTTTTGTTGTTTATTGTCATATTTTCTGCAGCATATGCATATCTCATCGTTACAAAATTCCTAAATAAAAATGTCAAAAAAAATTTAAACTTTTAAAATTTGCACGAATTTTATTAAATAGATCTTTTTTGTTTTTGATAGAAAAAAATTATATTATTAAATAGATCAAACATGTAGTTTTATTTTATAATATATTATCCAATAATATAATTGTAGAAAGTAGAAACTCAGACCGGTTCAATCAATCTCCCAAAAGTCAAAAGCCGACCCCGAGCCTTATTCTCCGCTTGGAAATTCCAACTCATATCATCAGTTTAAATAATAATATATACACACTTGATATATATATTAACATTGATTATATGCTAACATCATATATTTTTTTTAACATACTTTTGAACTATGTGAATTCGTGGGACAAATTATAATTTATAGATTCGCAAAAATAAAATAAAAAAATAATAATAATAACATAGCAAAATTCGTGTAAATATCTCTTCATTCGGCTTTATCCTCCATCACAATCTTCCCTCATTATTTCACCTTAATTTACGCATTCCCCCTGAAGCTAAAACCCCTGCCAAAACCCTCACAAACCCTTTTGAGGTGTTTCCCTCACAATCCAACAACAATGAACACCAACGGCGGTTCCTCCTTCAGCTCCTCCTCCGCCGCCACCCCTAACTTCGACAACCTCCTCCTCCAATCCCTCATGTCTCGCCTCCAGCTCCGGCCTCCCAACCTCCACGCGCCGCCGCCGCCCTCCTTCGCCGCCGATAAAACGCTCGAGGAACTCCTCTTCTCCGACCTGCTCGTCAACCTATCGGAATCCGATTCCGATTCCGAAGGCGGCGAGAGCTCCTCCACCTCTTCCAAAACTCAGCTCGCCAGAGAAGAGTCCAAGCTCGAAAAGGAGATCATCCGTACGGTCCTCAGCGGCGAAATCGAAAAACTGAAACCGAATTCCGGCCAGGCTACTTCGATCGGTGAGCACCATGTCTGCGTAGGGTTTCAAGAGGAGACGGGGTCGGATTATCGGGTGTGGGAGTGGCATGGGCATATTATGCTGTTTGATGAGGAGAATGGATATACAGCTGAGTATACTTACGGTAACTACTTTGAGAGAGTCGGTGCATCAAAGAGGAAAATGAAAACCGAAGAATCTACGAAAAAGGAGACTGAAGAAGAAGATGATGATGATGATGATGATGATGAAAAAGAGGCGGAGGCGGAGAAGGTGGGGAATTTGGGGTTGAAAGATCTGATTGAAAGCGGAGATTCGGTCAACGGACGGATTCTTCATCGCAACATAAACCCTAATTCTGGATCGCCAAGGTTTGTCTAAATACCAATTGATTGCTATTAGTATGTATATACTATGTGTTTTTTTTCTTTTTCGTATGTGTTGTATTTGCTGAAATGTTATGAGGTCTGATGCTATCTGATTCGGCTATGTTTTAAAATATCTCGTTCGAATGCTAATGAAATCTATGTGCTGCAATCTTGTTGCTATCTTAAGTACTTGTGCTGTAATAAGGACCTATTTTTTTCATGTGAGTGATCTGCGCTATCGAATGCGCTATCGAATGCTGGTGTTTGTAATTGTTTCCAATTGAAGGTGGGATTCTACAGAAACCGTGAAATGGAAGTAAAAAAAGATGGTTAGTGAGTATTATATAAGAAACGACGTAGAATATTCAATAGGAAACGTTTCGTGTTTATCATATTTCTGGAAAACATGAAAGTGTAACTCTAGGCTTGTGGCTCTCTTCATTTGTATCTATCGTATAACCTCTTGATTGTTGTCTTTGAGAGTCAACTACTAGGCTGCCCTCTTTCTTACCGTAGAATTGTCTCTCTTGCAATTCCTAGGACCAAGTGACCGTTAAGAATCGAGGAGATTTGGGCAGACGGACATCAGTTACTGTGGCAAAGGAAATAGAATTAAAAACAATGTAGTGTTTCATCTCAGGCTAATTGCTTATCTCAATTTTTTAATATCTCTCTAAATATGAGAAGATTAAGAACTGCTGCCAGCGGAGTAGTAGAAAGGATTAGCTACGAGTGGGTCAAAGCCAAATATTGCGTCTTAATTGCTCGACTTTTGAATGTTCGGTTGTGGTTTATGTAAAGTAGTGGATGCATATAAGTATGCATAAGAATGATCACGCCAGCGGCAGTGTAAGGTTATGCATAAAATTTTATTGAATTTAATCTGCATATATATCAAGTTGTTGCTTTTAACGTTATTGCGAAGTCGTTTATTCTTGTCTTGCTTTGCCTTGAGAACAATTACTATATGTTGGATGCATCAGTCGCATTTCTTTCTGTTTATCCACAGAATTTTACCGACGACTTCTTGTGATACTTTCTCTGAACATAATATAGATCCATGCCATCAAATATTTAAAGAAATAAAATGTCTATAACCGTGAAACGGTTTACTCATGATTAATTCATACGAGTTGCTATTGCACTGGAGTCATGAACGAATTGTCCTTAACTAAAATGAAATGCATTTAGATTTCTAAGTTTTTTCTTTTCTTCTCTTGATGTGTGCTAACATGGAAGGTTACAATGGCAGGTTCTAGATGGGACGATTCTCGAAATCAGAATAAAGAACGTTGTGTGGGATGAAGATGAAAGCACACCACCATAGCCAAACTTTTTGTGCTTTGCTTGAGCTGTTTGCTCAATTTGATCCTTGTATTTTATTTTATTTTTTTCATACAATATTTCGATTGAAAATCTATTATATTTTCACAATCTAAATTGATCTTAACAAGAGCCACTATTCACCTTTAATAAACAACACATGTATCCTTAGATTTTGTTTTTATGAAAATACTACGAACTGGTGAATTTTGTCACCGCCGTAGTTCCCGCAGAGATGGCGTGTTTAGCCAGCTAACCGGGCAGAACCAGCCTTCCGGCAGTGTGAATATCGCGAGAAGTAATTGTCGGCTTCTTATTGTACCGAGCCAGCTTGTCGAAGATGTAGATGATCAAACTGTTCATAATCCCCATGGATTAGCTCGAGATCCCTCAAAACCTGTGGAATTTTGGCCCAATAGCTAGTTTGGGCTGGTTCTTCACTTTCTTGGGTTTTCACTGCCGCAAATTTAGCCCAATACTAACATTTAATTCACTGATCAACAATATTTTGAATTATCTTTAACCTAATTCAGATTTTATTTTTTTTAAATTAATTTTCTTTTGGGGGTAGAATTGATATTAGGTTTACAATTATCGTTTTATTCTATTATTAGTATGATTTCAATTCAGTATGAATACCCCTAATAACAGTAACCATGGGGTTGAAACAAAGTAGAAAATTAGTGAACAGCCAAACAAGTTTCAGAAAGAAAAGCAATCATCTAAACAACGATCCTCCCCTAAAGATTAAAGTACAAATCATCATCCCAATTATAAACATCTCTCTCTCTCTCTCTCTACAGGCCAACAAGGAAATTAACCTAACAAATCCATTAAACCCAACACTAAACAAGCAACATTAAAACTAAGCCTTCTTAGGAGATTTGGTGGCCTTGGACGGAGATTTAGACGCCGCCTTCTCCACCTCCTTCTCCGACTTCTTAGGTAGAAGAATTGGGTTGATGTTCGGTAAAACTCCGCCGTGAGCAATCGTCACTCCGGCCAGAAGTTTTCCCAGCTCCTCGTCGTTTCTCACAGCTAGCAACAAATGCCTCGGAATTATTCTGCTCTTCTTGTTGTCCCTCGCTGCATTTCCTGCCAATTCCAATACCTAACCACACAATTTTCGAAATTTAAAAAAAAATTAACGCAATAGATCTGAGAGAAATTAATTGATTTAATAATGCAAAATGAAGGATACCTCAGCAGCGAGGTACTCTAACACGGCAGCCATGTAAATCGGTGCACCGGATCCGACCCGCTGAGAGTAACGTCCCTTCTTCAGATACCGGCCGATCCTCCCGACCGGAAACTGCAGACCGGCTTTGACGGATCGGGAAACCGATTTCTTCTTCGGACCGCCGCCCTTCCTTCCAGCGGCTCCCTTCTTCAATTTACCACCGGCTTCCATTTTTTTTTTTTTTCTGCTACAAAAGTAAATGACTGAAATACAAAAGAAGAGGAGGATTTGAGATAGGGAAGGGAGAAGAGTTGCAGTAATGGTTATATAGTTGAGCGGTGGTGGTTTGGGTTTAAGTAACAGTGGGACTCGGGGTTGAGATGAAAATGAGGGGGGAGTTGTGGAGCGTTGGATTGTTTTTTATCGACGGTTGAGGAAAAATTAATGACGATCCGCGTGCTTAAAATTGGACTAATCAGGGGTGGCTATTACAGCATACCGATAGTTAAGGCGCGTGTAGCCAGGGACGTTTGCTTTAGGGACTTATTTTTTACAGTTGAAGAATTGCTATTTGTAGTTCAAACCTAATGCTATTTGTTTCTGAACGCTAGACACCCAAATCGGAACCGAATATTTATTTATTTTTAGTATATAGTAATTGATAATTTTATTGTAAAAGTTAAATAACATATTATATAGTTTATACATGTAGTAATATGTCAAAATTCGGTATTCGTTTGCACCGAATTACAGATTTTTTTTGGAAATAAATATTAAATTTTGGTTGATTATTTAAAGAAAATATTTTTTGGCAAAATATGTTATTAATTAGATATATTAATGTAGTTGATTATAATATTTCTTATGGACTCGGCCACATGCAGCTAATGTATATATATATATACTTCACTTCGACCCGTCACTGAGATCGGCCCATTAAATAGAATTAGAGATCCATTGATATGAAAATGAAACAGATAACAGATGTAATGAACACTGTTGATTTTGAATTCTGATATTTATTTTATCATAAGAATCACCACTAACAAATGAATACATTGAATACAGTAGAACCTCGATTAAATAATAACTTCGATTAAATAATAAATTCTTTCGGTCCCAACTTGGAGAAAACATGTTAAATTATTAAGTCGATAATTTAATAAAAATTAATAGAATTTTCCTAATCCCGACTGTATTAATTTATAGAAGTTAAATGTATAACCATCTGCTCTCTGACTACTAGTTACCCACAGATAAAAGCAAGATCTCTTTCAAGCAAGTTTATTGCACATTTTCAACTAAGAAAACACACAGACAAACCTATTCTTCAATCAAACTCCACTTAATTTGTGCATCAAATTAGTAAACATGCTTATAAAATACATACAATTTTTTTTCTCTATAATTCAGAGTAATATCTGGTTAATCTACTTAATCAATTTCTAATAGATTTTAACCGGACTAAATCGAATCCTCGAGCTGGACCAGTTTTTCAATAATCCACTGTAATTTGGAACTCATGAGAGGTGATACAATCGTAACAAACGATTTACTATAATTTGCAGCAGAGCTATAATGGTGATGTAAACATATTCTCTACATACGAACAGAAACATTATTCCAAATTACACAACCCAAACTCTACAAATCGAACGACTTCATCCAATTCAACTATATATCCGAACAAAAGAACAGTACATACTAAGCTTTCTTAGGGGATTTAGTCGCCTTTGATGGCGATTTTGCAGCATTTTCATTTTCGCCCACCTTTTCGTTCTTCTTGGGCAGAAGAACCGGATTGATGTTCGGCAAAACTCCTCCATACGCAATCGTAACTCCGGCAAGGAGTTTTCCGAGTTCCTCGTCGTTCCTCACAGCAAGCAGAAAATGCCTTGGAGTAATCCTGTTCTTCTTGTTGTCTCTTGCTGCATTTCCAGCCAATTCCAATACCTAACCACAATTTCAACAAAATTTGATCATTCTTTTTTTTTTTTTTTTTTTTTTTGGTGGTGTATCGGATCGCATTGAATGAATTGAATGCTGGACAGATCTAACAACTAAATATCGTCGAAAATAACTTCAATTTTGATCGATTGATCAATTAAAACCCTAATTATGAATTGGAAACCCTAAATCAATAAAACGAAAAAAAATCGAGTAAATTCACGCGCTCGAACATGAAATCTAAACAAATTCCACCACCAATTGAAAAGAAATAGGGCATGATTCAACAGTTGGATTGAAAATGAGAGGAATCCGAGGAAAATACCTCAGCAGCAAGGTACTCAAGCACAGCAGCCAAGTACACAGGCGCACCGGAGCCCACGCGCTCAGAGTAGCGTCCTTTCTTCAGATAACGGCCGATTCTGCCGACGGGGAACTGTAGACCGGCTTTCGTGGACCGGGAAACCGATTTCTTCTTCGGACCGCCGGCCTTCCTTCCCGCAGCTCCTTTCTTCGCTTTCACACCGCCAGCTTCCATTTCTCTCTGCTACGATAAAGGAACGACGAAGAGCTAAAGAAGAAGATTGTGAGATTGAAAATGGAAAGAGAGGTACAACTGAACGTGTACAAAGCTTGCCGGGGGTGATTAACAGAAAAGTGGATTTGGATGAAAAGATGTAGAACGTTGGATCATATTTTATCGACGGTCGAAATGGGGCTTGTTCAAGATCCGCGTGATTTCAATTGGTCCAATCAGAGCTGAACGCGTGGGAGTGTGACTAAATCCGTAAATTGTTTTTATTTTATTTTTATTTCTGTTTGGAATGTGGTTGTACTAGAGATCGTATTATCTATTATCTAATGAAATATTTAAAATAATTTTCAACTGATTCATAACACTTGTTCAAATATTCAACATAAATACATAATGAAGTAACCTATTTTGTATTAAAAAAAAAATATGAACGTGATGAAGTAAACTAGTTAAAATTGATAAATAAACGCGACTACGGTTGTCGTTTTAAAATGAGAATATTGAAGTGTAAGTATTATTGTTTTATAAAATCTAATTATCAAAGTTGATTTATATTTTATTTTTCGTATCAGAAAGAAAAATTGAATTTATTTACTTGATTCACTAGGTAAGTAAATAAAATAGTTTCGGATATATTTATTTGGCATTAATTTGTGTGATTTAAAAAAAACATTCAATTTAGTCATTTATCAAAAATTCCATTTATTATTCCAATTATTTTTTGGTAAATGATATTACTATTAATATTAATATTAACATTAGATATTAACACTACAAATACTAGTATTTGTATTGATATTCATATTAATAATAGTATTAGTACTACGTATTCGTATTAAAATTAATGGGTGTAAACTGTAATTCACAAGGTCCATTATATGAAATCTAGTGGACCAATTTGTACGGGTAATCAAGAAATAATAAAAGTCCAATGGGCCGAGTTTACGAGTATTTAATAAAGGAGGACTATCTAAGTCAAGGAGAGATAAGGTTTAAAATTTTCATTTAATCGAACGGTCACGATTTCACGGTGACCCAACTTTGTCTGCGTTGACCAAAAGATATTTTGTCTTAATATTAATTTTAATATATCTCCAAGTTGTACTGAATCATTATATGACATGTTTGCCCCTACAGGTGCCACATGGCTTGGCTAGAATTATTTCTCCACCAAATCACATTTTTTGAAATTGAAAAAAATATCCATAAATCGTAAATTTTGATTTTGGTATGTAACTAAAAAGGTCACGTTTGATTGCATTTAATTTAAAGCAATTAGTTCTTGATTTTCGACATTCATATTTCAAAGATCGGCACTGAAAACAAAAACAAAATGGTTACCAATGGAGGTTAATTCGCAAATAATGGATAAAATTATCGATCTAAAAATATTTTATAATTTGTTAAAATTTTTAAAGAATTTTAAAAATTAAATAAATATATTTATTAATATTTCGGTGTTTGATATGATACGACATAACGTGACATTAATACCGCAAATCATACTGAATTTTCGATCCGGTATTTGGTACTTACCGAGTTTTCGATTCAATAGTTTTACTGGACGAGTGAACACCCCTACATATACCCATCTTTTATTTCTTCTTTCTAAGAGAAATTGAATTATATAATGTATTAAATGTATAGTTATATTTTTCAATATCTTTTACTGTTTTTCAAGAGGTGAGCTTTTTAATTAAGTGAAAAAAAACAATAAACAAATTTATTTCCACGTGGCATTACATAAAGAAATGTATTTCCACAGTGGCAATTGTAAAGCGGGATAGATTAGTAATTTCAGTGAGAAGCAAAATACACGTATATCTTTTTTTGTGCTTTTCTATTTATATTTTTTTAGTCAAAATAAATATGAAAATACTTCAATATCCGATAATATATCTTCTTCACCTCCTCCGTATATCCCACGAGTCTAACGCTTTTCCTAGGGTTTCATCTTCCGATGCCGATCACTCCGCTATTTCCCGATTTACATGGCGATCTAATCTGCATTTTCTGAAGAATCATATTTTTTTATACTTGTATTTCTCTGCTCGCCTTCTTCCTGCGCTCTGTGCATATTTTCGATTCTGCTGAAGAAAAATTCGAATCAAAATTGGAGATTTGTGAATCGAAGAGCATCGAACGATGCATTCGGTGCCTTCTCCCGATCTACTTCTACCCACGCGCTCGTACGCCACCTCCTTCCATGGCGGCTCGTCTTCTCATCGTCTGAAACATCTGCAGAAAAGTGATCGGCGTGGTAATCTTAGTAGTTAACGTTTTGCCATTTTAGTTTTTGTTAGGATCGATTTTGGTTCATCGACGTTTTTTACGCACTATTTTGTCAATTTGCGATTCGTTCACGTATTTTACTGATAAGTTTGGGTGAGGAGATAAATCTGCTAGGAAATTGAGATATTTTTGATTTGCTGTTGGTTGGATATCGTTTCGAGTGTATTGTAACTAACGAGGATTTGTGTGGAGTGCGCTTGGATCAATACAGGTACTTTCTTCAGCCAATTATGTTTATTTTTGCATTTTTAATATTTTTAATTTTACCGGATGATATCCATATTTTTTTATAGATCCGCTGTTTCTAAATTTGATGATATTTCATTGTATCGTTTTGTTTATTTGTAGTGTATTGACTTTTATATGCTCATCTTGTAAACTTCGGTCAAACTTATTGGGGTCAGGATATGAAACAATGGAATCAGATGAATATATATATCGTGTTTGAGTATTTATGTAGCTTGATAATGTTTTATATGTTTTGTTTCTTTATGTAATTATATTTGCATTTGTGTCCTGAGCTAACGTATGATGAAAATGAAGAAGGATGTGTCAACGAGTCTAAATGGTGCAAATGAATGTAGTTATCCAACATAGAATATTAAGTACCGTGTGTGTGCAATATTGTGTCAAATTTGTTGCCTCTTACCAGTTATAATTTTACCATGCCTGTTGCATATTTATAACTGACAAATTTCGATTTTGCAGCTCTTCTCTTCAGTTGTTTTTGTTGTAGATGGAAGTATATGCTCCTTGTAATTCGTCGGCTTGTCTAGAAATAAGCAGCAACTGTGGATCTTCAATAGGTCCACACAATCTAATTCCGGATGACAAAGGTCTTTCCATGGTTGACCTTAAAACTAGTTTGAATGAAGTTCTGAATATCGAAGACGTTAAAAAATCAACGAGTGGATTTAACATATCTTCTGAGGAAATTGAAATAGGGAATACGGGGGAAGAACATGAATCCACAGAACTGGACAAAAGTGCATCTGCTAATTCAGCTCAGGAGAAATACTTTAGCAAGTGTGCTACATTTCCGGTTCGTGGTGGGCCCAAATCCTCCGGAGATGCATTTGTGGGTGAGAAAGGAAAGCAGAGCAATGATTTAACTACTGAAGTCTCTGAAGTAAATAGCCCTGCTATACCTTGCAATGGGTGCCATTCACGCTCAATGTCGCTACCTGTAAGTTTTTAATATGATCTCTCTTGACAACCTTCTTTTCAGTGTGTGTTCATTATTGTACAAGATCTACTGTGTGAAATAGATCGTATTTAGTAACATCGTCTGCTGGATTTTTGTCAGGCTAGTTATAATAGTGTACTGACATTTGTTTAGTTGGCATAACTGGAATTACAGTGACGCTATTTGATCATGTAAATTCCGGGAAAGTAGGCTTTCATCTTCTGCCTTCAATCTTGAGAGGTATGTGTATTTGTGTGTGAGAGGTCCGGAGCAAAACCATGTGCCTCTTAAGAGATTTTTCTGGATATATAAAAATTTGATAACTAAAGTTATAACTTAACATTAAATAATGAGAGGTTATGTGCTTACATGTAAACTATTTTTTCTCTGTTTCTCCAACTTGTGAGAAATTCAGTTTTGACGAGTCAAGGCACTAGAAACTTTCATCTGGATTGTGCTGGCTGTAACAGCTTTGTCTATCTTTTGAGCTTTTGAAGTGTCACTTTTACTAGTGAGATTACTGTTCCTCCTTGCTTACCTTCATCGCCCCTCTTAGTATAGTAGGTGGTGAATCATTGCATTCTCAATTAGACTGTTTCTCAATGCATGGATATTCATTATGTAAAGGTCTGAAACTATAATGTTAACAATACCACTCTTTTCTGCTCGTTGCTATTGTCTCTCAGATTCTTTCAGCCATGAAAGGTAGCCGTGAAAAGCAAGGTACAACACCAACTAAGAAGCTGTCTGTAACGTGGGCCCCGGATGTGTACGATCCAGTTCCGACTTCAGTGTCGCATTTTCCATCAAATAAGAATCAGCGCAGAAAGTCTGGAAAGTACAAACAGAAGGGTAAATCTTCACGAGGGAGCAGCAAAGGCAAAGACAAGAAGCAAGGTCGGAAAAATGGAGGGAGTTCCTCCTCCACTAATAAGCTGAAGCCTTTCCACGAAGAGAGTGGGGTCAGTTTTGTCGAGACTCAGGCTGTAGATTTTCATGTTGGGAATCCGGATCAGTTCTGTGGGAATAGTTTTATGAAGAACTCTATGGCGGAGTTGCGCTTTCCGGTTGCTGAGGCTACTTGAATGAATGGCTTTTGTTTCCCTACTTGGTGTAAATAAATAATAAGAGGTGAGATCTTGTTGACCCGTGAGACTTTCAAGAGATTGTGGAAAATGTTTTGTTACCTTTTGTTTGAGCATGGATCAAGATGATTTTATGTGTTGTTTAAATTTCCTGTATTTTAGTTCATTGGATTTATAAGTCGGTCTTATTGCTCTCATTTCATTGTTATTGTCTTTTTTTTTTGGTTATTATTGTCTTGTTACCATTTACATCGGCGACAAGAATTTTATTTGCCCGCACTGCTAGTGCTAGTCATATGTCAAAATCTAGTTGGAACTTGGCTTGAACCTTAGATTACTTGAATCTCTTATATAGATTAATTGAGCTTAATTTTCTGGCCTGTAATTTCAACTTGCTGTGCATCAGTGAATCAGTCGAGTATATGTTGGCGCAATGATCCATTAGAGAAATAAAATACGTACAACTGAGTTGGATCATGAAGAATTTAACTTAAAGAGTCTCTGATTAATCTTCACATAACTTATGATGTGTCTCGTGTTAATCTTCACACAACTTACGTTGTGTTTCGGATTAATCTTCTCATAACTGACGTTGTGTCTAGGATTAATCTTCACATAACTTATGTTGTGTACTCGGCATTTATCTTCACATAATCGTAACTCAGGTCACAACCCCATGCCTGTCCACTCCCTGGGCCATCACCTGTTGAGAATTGGTGAAAAGTAGCAGATTCAACAAATCGAAGGAAAAAAAAAAGTCTGAACCAAAATCGGCATTGACCATATAATGAGTTGTGATAGATAGGTTACTGATAAAGCAAACACATTTCTCCATTGATCCTCTGATTTTATTTATTTGTAATCTTTATCTTTGTGACGACATGGGTTGTGATTTGTGAAGATTGAACGTGCTATATAAACGCATTGCACATCAAATCAAAACCATATTACTCAAACTCACCAATGGATATCTGAATTAAGACTGTCCCATGTACCTCCCCAGTCGTTCTGAGGTAATCACTAGCAGCAGCCCTGCAACATTTTCCTGTTTATTAGTAACAAAATAGAAGGGGGATAATAAATGAGGGTTTATTGCAATTAACCCCCCTCTATTATATCGAATTGCTAAAAACTACCCTATGTTATTTATTGGCAAAAATCCCCCGTGGAACAATTCACTTCCGCCAAACCAATTATCAGAACATTTTTAATTGAATTATAAACTTCTAGCCTCCAAGTACAAAAACAGTACACGTGGCAGTTTATGGTGGTCTGAAAGATTGGGAGAAAGTATCCATTGATATTTGACGTTCACTGTACCTATCAAATGGGAGTGGTTGGCCATTCTCCATTAATAGAGTATCACCGAGTGATATTCGAAGTTTATTTGGATTGAAAGGAATTCCTGCATAGCCCGCAGCACAAGCTATCCGCCCCCAATTTGGATCCCTGCCATATACTGCAGCCTAATACATAGATATGGAAATTCAAAGTTAAGCGACTCGGAAATGGTGAAAATTATGGTACACATTTCAGTATATATTTGTCTCGTACCTTGGTTAATGAAGAAGATGCCACTGATCGTGCAACCTTTGCTGCTTCGGCTTCAGACCCTGCACCAGATACTTTTACCTGCAGCGCGTATCCAAATAAATAATAAGGGCAGCTAATTACAAACTTATTTCAGCTAAATAATTATTTATATAAAAGTTATAAAACAGTATATCAGACACTTTTCCCACGAAAGTGGTAAAATTTTCAAGATGCACAAGGTAAATAGTTCGTACAATAGGAAAAAGTAGTACGAATAAAATATCATAATTCAATTGCAAAAGAGGCACACCTCAATCAAGCATGTTGCTCCTTCACCATCAGAAGCTATTGATTTCGCAAGACCTTGCATTACCTGATAGAAAATGTAACAAATAGCATGTTATGCACATTCGCCCCGCATGTTAGTGCCGTAAGCAATCATCCCAGACAAGCCAAGGATCCATATTGACACTATTTTTTCTTGATACTGTGGTGCCATGACAGTTAACTAAGAAATATCAAACTCAATCTAAGAGATAGTAGTTCAACATGAACAATAAAAACAAGAACTTATTGCAAACGAGTACAAGAGAAATAATTCACAATACGTATATACTTACAACATCGAGACATGCTTGCAGATGTTCTGCATCAGAACTATTTAAGGAAGAAATCTTGTTTGCCCCTGAAAGACCACTAGCCAAAGCAATGACACAGTCATTAGTACTTGTATCTCCATCTACCTGCCAAAAAAAAAACTCACCAAATAGGATTAGGGTCCACAACATTTTTATTCAGTCAATCGCTCATCAAGTTAGTATTTACGTATTCGGATCTCTGTGGACAAATTTATACATGTTTACTTGTGCCAGCCATGTGCACATGATAGGTGCATGTACTGCCAAAGAATTGATGGGAACTTTTCAACTCTAGTCAGATAAATCTGTCACAAAATTATAGTTCAAAGTTTGGCACTTACAGTAATTTGATTAAAACTACGGTTTACAGCAACTCGCACCATTTTCCGCCACACATCACTTGTAACGAAGGCATCTGTTGTTATAACCTGTAAAAGTTAAATAGTAAATATGTACTATTTAAGCTAATTTCTGGAGAAAAAACAGAAGGAAATAATATGAACCTACCCCGAGCATTGTTGCCATATTAGGATGGATCATTCCAGAACCCTTTGCCATACCACCAACTCTTACTCGCATTCCTCCAACCTGAATTTAGTACATACATTGATAAAAATGAGAGAACCAAAATTTATAATAGTGAGGACCCTTTCTCACTCATTTGGTGAAAATGTGTAAACTATTCACAGTTGGATGCCCACATCCACGTGGCTGAATCTTCAGTTGTTACTTATTATCCCGGGGGGGGGGGGGGGGGGGCAAAACCAGGGATGACAAAAAAAAGGGCCCCCCCCCTTATTCCCTTGGAACACTTTTTCTTAAAAAAACAGGGGGAGTTATTGTTACACCACCAAAGTTCCCCCCGCAAATCCCGAAACAATTTTCCACATTTTTAAAAACAGAAATAAAGAGGAAGATTAAACGACCAAAGCTTAAATATAGTCATTCCTTTTCCCTGTTTAAAAACCCGCTGGAAACGACAAAGAAATCAAGAGTTCAAAATCATCAGCAGACTGGGGTGGGGGTTATAAATCCATTTTGAAACATTACCCCTGAACAGTTGATGATAGCCGATCTACTAAATCTGGAAGTGAATTGAGAAGAGCCTCCTGCATGTGACAAGTAAAAGCATTTCTTGTGTAAAAAATGACAGATTAACATTTAGAACCCATTTGCCAGGTTCATTTCGTCAGACCTTGAAGAAAATACAACCACATACATTAGATAAGCACAACTGTAATAGATATTAATCATTAGGAATTTACCTTCTTGATACGTTTGCCAATCACACCAGTGGATTCAATCAAAACTTGGTCTGGATATAGTTGCAGCAGCTGCATTCGTTATAAAATTAGATACTGAAATCTATTTCAGTTAAAGATATAGAAGATCACTGAAAAACGGATACCTGAGCAAGGGCATTAGAACATTCTATGACATCTTGGTATCCTGCATCACCCTATTAACCATTTTACCAGATCTTAGCTTCGTCAGAAAAAAAAATTGTGAATATTGTAATAAAGGACCAGTGGCGATGAAAGCAATTCAAGTACTGCATAGCAGCATAAAGAAAAAAAGGCATGGGATGGACTCATAGGCCAACGGCCATCTAATTTGTGTCTTAAGAAAGCATAATTATTTTTCATTTATTTTCTATTATTTGAAGTAAATAACACCTATTTTCTAATGAATAGCAAATAGATTTAAGAAAGGTACCGTCGCTGCATTTGCTTGACCAGCATTTATTAGTACTGCACGAGCCTGAAATGTTACAGAAAATATATCAGTTAACTCATCTGAAAATACTTCCCTTTCTTCCTAATGTGTCTTTTTTCTGCTCTTTTTTTGGGGCGGGGTGGGACATAGGGGAAAGTTGAAGATTAGACAGAAAAAAAGTTTCTGGAAAAAAACTTAAACGAGCAATTTTCCTACATGACAGGCTTACAAGTTGAGAACCATGAAAAGTAGTTCAATTTAAGATGGAGACCCATTTAAGTAAATTCTAAGAGTAACAGAGAGATAATCAATTAATGTTAACTAAACAAACATCTCGTGGGATTTTATATGCAACAACCAATTGTAAAAATCATCTCATCTATTTAGCTCCACTTTATGCTACTGAGCTGAAGTTCTTGCACTATGAGCAACGTATACAAGCAGCATAGATAGGCTTTCTCTGTGGCATACCGTTGTGGACTTCTCCAGTGCTTCTTTACAATATAACACGGGTGCAGCTGCAACCACATTAGTTGTAAATGTTCCTACAAAACAAGGTAATTCACCAGCCTTCAGAAAATTTTATTTATGAGGCATAAGTTGGTAATATATCTCGAGTTCCCACTAGGAAGAAGGTTTTTTCGTTGTAAGGCTTATGAGGCAGTTACTCAAGTGATGCACGCTAAACTTTCGAATAAGTAGACCAACCTGCAGATATGGCATCAACATCACAAGTGACTAGAGCAATATCAGGCTTCTCTCCTACTGCACGCAGTCCACCATACATTCCAGCAGCTTTGAAACCCTTTGCAGCTGTAACTCCACCTGGAATCTACAAAATTTGAAGTCCAAATAAGTCTCGAACAAACCAAGGCTGAATTTAGTGCCACAGAAACAGAAAGTACCATTTCTTATTATGCTTACAAGAGTAAGATTTCAATCTTCACATCCTAAGCATGAAGATTGATCTATTTCCCCTAATTTCGAGACTTGTGGAATCCATCTAACATTATTATATCAAATCAGGCAAAACAAATATGCTCTTCATCGAATCTAAGTGTATTTGGTCCCAGATGGAGACACTCCTAAAAAAATCAAGTACACCGTGTCTTCAAAATTAAGGTGAATTAAAGAAACTCCATTATCTGATGAATCAATCCAATTATAATTCAAGAAAAAGTATTAAAAGCAAATTCAACATGATAAAACCCTATCCATACTTGCATGGAGCAGACGAACCTTAGTCTTCCTTTTTGCATTTTTCTCGAGCTCACAGAACAAAAAATACTACAAATTGATAAATTACTAACACAGCAACCAAAGAAATAGACACTTTAACAAGGATGCCCGTGCACATACAGAACACATCATACAAGTTGATACGCATACTCGTATACCGGATACCCACACCTACACAAATGCTTAACGAAACAAATGTATACTCACTCAAAAAAAAAATCAAATTAAATCAACATATGTAATTCTGCACTGTGTTACTAACCTGATGCCACGGCCCTTCGGGCAGTAGAATCGGAGCTGCTGGTATGTAAGTTGACACATCTGTAACAACAGATAACGAGGCAAACACTCTGCTTGAATTCATTCTCATATAACTCGGAGGGCAAAATACCTACACGGTAAAATAGATTTTCAATTACTATATATTATTGCATTTCTCCCGAATTGGCAAAACATCAATTGAATGCAGTTAAATTAATGCATCAGCGGCTAACTAAATCCGCTAATACGGAAAAAAAAGGGAAAATTTATATTGCCTTCACTAAAAACGTAGAGTTCAGTAGTACTACTTCTCCAATTCGATAATCAATTTGATTGAACTGAAGGAATACAAACCTTGGAATCAACGCGTTTAGAGAATTTGATGCAGAATTGATGAGGAACAACCAGAGCCATTGTTGAAGACCACTTGAAGAATCAGCAGCTTAAATGCAGTGAAAAGTTGATTAACGAATTAATTAGGGTTTTGCAACTTACTGAATAAAAAGTTGCGGATATTCGCTTTTACTTTCGTCTGTGTACTGTAGTTTGTGCTGATTTTGTTTCCTTCTCACATGTGGGGTAAAGTTATCTAATTAAATGCAGATATATTCTTTTTTCATCAAGAAATAATAATAATTAGTGACGGTAAATTAAATGGAAATATATATATATATATATATATATATATATATATATATATATATATATATATATATATATATATATATATATATATATGTATATATATATATATTTTGTTTTGTTTTAATGTGTTTGGTACAATATTTCCAGTACGTATTTTGGTTAACTAATTACTATCATAATCGACGTGTAGCTAAATACGTACTGGAATTTCTATTATTATAATAAGTTACGTAAATGTTAAAATTTATAAAGATTGAATAAATATAATATATATTAAATTCGTGTGCAGTTGTATATTACAGTCGTATACATAATACAAATGTTTTCATATCACGGGATGCATATAATTTCTCCAAAACTAATATGCACCTTCCCAAAGCAATCGGAAAAAAAAAATTTAATTAAAAAAAAATCGAAAGAAAATGATATAATGATGAAAGTCAACGACCAGTCCAACCAACGGTCTTGTTTGAAGTGAAGCCAGGCTCAGTAGACTGAATATTATCTTGCCGAGGAGGTAGTCGAGGCTGAGCCTCCCTCGGGTTGGCGGGGTCCACAAAAATAACCCAACCATCGAGGTATTTGGCATTCATTCCCTCTCGAGCCTTCTCTGCTTCTTCAACTGATTCGTATGTAACAAAAGCAAACCCCTTTGATCTTCCAGAACCTCTATCCACAATCACTTTTGCTGGATTCCCGAAAACAAGACATGAGTTATTAAATTGAATTGTGGACATTTTACGCAATAGATTAAATAAATAAAGGTCGGACCCTCTTACCCTCAAGAAGCCTGCCGAATGGAGCAAACGCCTTGTAAAGATTTTCATCTGACGTGTTTCTGTTGAGACCTGTCGTAAAAATGGAGGAGCCTTTCGTTAATTTTTACAACAGGATCTTGAAAATACAATGTCGAAAGCAAGATTAACAACTATCACCACCTAATCGAGATGCCCCCTAAGAATATAATAACTCGTGAAAAGTAGTGTTTTATCGGGTTATTTTCTTCTTCTGCAGGTTCCATTTCGGTTCCATTTCGTTTTCTTCCACTACAATCTATTGTTTTTTTCTTTTTAAATCTCAACTTACTACAATCAAGAAGATCACAAGTTCAAAATGACACACACACACACACACACACACACACACACACACACACACACACACACACACACACATATATAAACTACTAAGCAAACGAATAGTGCTATCAGATGAGACAGGATACTAATGTTTACCAAAACTTCCGAAGAAATTATTCTCTGTTACATTGAGACCCTATTGCATCTACCACTTTCTATCTTCCTGATTCCTGATGTTATAAAGCTGGGAAGCAGAATCAATTTTATTTTCAAAGTTATATTATATACTAAATGCAGAAGTTCAAATCTTACAAACTCCTTTCAAAATCAAACAATGGCCTACTGAAAAAATTGGGGGCAAAAAATGAAAAATCCCCATTATAACCACATCTAAATAGTTACAACTGTGAGCTGTTCATTGTAGTTGTCCAATTAGACAGAATTCTTTTCTACTACTTATGTTTTCCATTTATGCCCCCTTGCAAAAGCACAATCCCACACTTGAAAATTGAAAGTATTACAGATATCTCTACTTGCAATCATGATGAACAACTCTGCTAAGCAAAGACGGCTGTACTTGTAAAGTTTAAATAAAAAATTAAAATGATAACATGATTACAAACATTTCATGGTTAAATCAAATTAAACAAAAGAGACAAACTTGATTGGGCATTTCTTCTCAGAAACAAAAATGGCAGATTATTAACAAATGAAAAAGAAAAAAATCAACGAAATTAAAATCCAAAACCAACAGAATGAATTTATCGGCATACCGCTAATGAAGAGCTTCGGAGCTGTGAGAGTTGTAACAGTAGAATTCAGTCGAATCGAAGCGAATTGCGAGCGTACAGTTAACGAAGGCGTTGATGATCCGTTCAGGATGCGGCGAAAAATAGAGGCGAACGCCATTTGAGTTCCAATTTCTCTCAGAGGGAAATATAAAATTTCAGATTTTATAAACCCTACCTAAAACCCCCGGATGAACTGATATATGACTGAATATAGAAAGGGGAATATGATTTTTATATTTTAGGGTAAATTACACCCACACCCCTGAGATATGCTTAAATAATTTTAAGGTCCCTATGGTATCGATAATTACAATCACCCCTGAAACGTAGTTAGAAACTCTAACGGGATAATGCATTGGATACATTATTCCGATAGGGTTCTAATGGACTATTATTTTTAGCTAGTGGTGGAGATAACATAGAGTTATGAGGAGTTATAGGGTGACGTGCCTTCCCCAATATTTCTTAAATCACCCATAACTTTTTGTTGTCTCCACCACTTACTGAAACCAATAGTCCGCTAGAACTCTATCGTAGTAACGTATCCAATGCATTATCCCATTTGAGTTTATAACTACGTTTCAAGGGGGTGAGTGTAATTATCGATACTACAGGGACCTTATAGTTATTTAAGCATACCTCAGGGGTGTGGGTGTAATTTACCCTATATTTTATTATTATTTAAGAAATATTTTATGGGCTCCCTTATATGGGCTAGCTCTGAACGACCCAGTTCGGGCCCGTATCATGGGCTGGTTTGCGTCTACATCTGAGATCCACTATGGCTGTTTATTTGATTATTGTTGATGATTGATCTATAGGGTAAATTATGGTCAACCCCTGAGATAAGGTCAAATTACGAAAAATCAATCGTATTTGGGCAGTTAAAATCATCCCCTAGATTCTGAATTTTTCTATAGTTTCACTCTTGTGGTGTCAAAATTAGTGGAATCTTCTAAATTATGTGGAATCTTCTCCAGTTTGTACTCGTTTTACTCCATTCGAGCTCCACATTTTGAAACAAGATAATCGTAAGATGTATCTCTCGGATTGTAAATATCAGATTGTGGTGCATCAAATACTGCATTTTTGCAAAAAACGAAAATAAATTAGAAAACATTTCACGAAATCTAAAAAAATCTGTTGAATTTGATACGGAGGCAGAGGACACGATCGAAACTCGAGCGGCTTGCTCCGCCACCGCCACCACCGCCGCCGGGTTTTCTTCCCATAGCCGGTGGTTACTGGATCTGCAATTATCACTACTAAGGTTCCGTTTTCTCTCTGTCAGTCAAACGCCGGCCCTGGCCTATAAGCTTGGGAAGTAACGGCTTCGGGCGCCACTTTTTAGTGGGCCTCAAAACAAAATATTATAATTACCATTTGTTTTTTCATAAATATATTTTATATTTTATATATATCAAATAATCAAAGCATATATATGGATTACCAAATCAACCACGAGTATCCAGGCACATGTATAAGTTATATGCAACAAATATGTAAAAAAAATTCATTGTCTACTTTTTTTTAATCTTGTTTCTAAATTTTTCCGATAACTTACAAAGATCGATTATTGTTTTCGGATTGGCTTCACTGAAGGTAAATTTATCTATCACTTATGTTTCATAAAAATAAAATAAAATTACTTGATTTTCATCTCAATAATTTTCTAATCAAATTATCTTCTAACATTTGGCTGGAACTCAAAATGTATATATCTTATAAACTCCCAAACATTTTATAATTGAAGAACTAGAAGAGAAACAAAAAAAACGTTCACTAAGTTAATTATAAGGTCCATAATCGAATTATAAGTGATTAGCAAAAGATCTTAAGTGGTGTCCATGAATCCGCCTAAACTCAACCGGCAAAACCGAAATACCCCGTATCCATATTTACCAGTGTCAAAATTCCAATTCAAGCCCTTCGTGTAATAAAATGACGAAAAACGGACCATGGTTTTATTCTTGCCAGCATTTCCTCTATATCAGAGTTTTTGTTTCGTCACCAAGATATTCAATTCCGATATCTCTCTCTTTTTTTTTTTTCTTTCCGCCGGACTGCATATTGGCGTTGATCACTGATAAAAGATGCACATGGCAACACAGTGAAGCTCTCTATTTGGTGACAATCTTGCAGCAAAAACTGAGACCGAATTGTTCTGTAAAATCTCATCATGATCAGTCAGCTAACTGTTGTACCTCCTTTTCTAACAATGAAGTACCCTTGAACATCGTCAACTGCATATCCCTCGTATACTTTAGCATCTGCTCATGAAAAAAAAAGGTAATTTCTCAGCATATAACATATGATATATATCACGGCCATTATATGATATATGATACGTAAAAAAAGAAATTTCATATTCATCTTGCATGGGCAATTCTTGAATTGAATTTTGTGGGCTTCCCTAATTTACTGCAGTTTTAGGAAAACATGACAGCCCTATTTTTCCACATAACTTTACATGGATGCAAACGAAAGGACTATGGGTTTTTTGTAAAGGCCAAATAATTTGTAATAGATTCGAAGGGGAACTTACTTGCTCGTTGTTGGTCTTTCTGAAGCCTAACTTCTTTGTCCACATGGGTTCAGCATCTTCAGCAGCAGGGAGTACCAGCTGTTTCACATTCATTGATAACAGAAGCCTCTCAATGCATGAGAACAGTGCTTGAAAATAGCCCTACATATATAAGCAGTTGAAAGGAATATATCAATTAGGCTCATCATCGATTTTCAGAAACAGAAGAAAATTGTAACAAAATGTAATCACATAATTGAGAGTGGTTACTCACTTTTCCTTGATTTTCTCTAGAAGTGGCAACTAAAGGAAGTTCAGCAACCTCATGACCAAAAATCCTGAGAAGGGCAGCAGATACAACAACGTCTCTGCATATATATGATGTTTAAACATTCGGTTTTAATAGTAAAATTAATGATGAAATAACAAAGTACTAGAGAATATAGAAACACGAATGGCTAATGTGAGCGACTTACTTCACAATTAAAACCACACAATACATTCCACTAAATTCTTGCCCGGATATGTTCCTTCTGCAAAAAAGTTAGAAATAATTATAGCAGAATGAAGAAAGTGAAATGCAACACTAGCATATTCATCCAAACACGTAAATATAATCAGTACATTAATCACTAACATTTAAGCAATAGTTAACAAATATGAACTAATTGAACTTACCCATACACCATTACAGGGATGAGATCTCGACCAGATTTGGCAACAATAGGGTCGAAACACTCCTGCAGGATAAAGTAAAATCAGGAAAGCCCGTTAAAATGACAACTACAATCTCTTATGAAGAAGACAGTTCAGGTAACTACAAGGTGCCAACCATTTCGTATGACTAATGCATAGACGATGAATGAAAGGGCGTATGTATTTTGATACAGCATATATCGTAAAAAAAGAATTCCAAACACCGTATAGAGTACACGTACAACGATATTCTAGCAATGTGACCGATAGAAGATCAGAAGTTTCAAGAAGACCTCTTTTATTATGGTTTTATAATAGCACATATAAATAATAATCTCGTAGGATGACATATATTTCATACTAATATCCTGGTATTCAATTTTATGTGATTATACCTACTCTGAGATAAAATAAATCAGAAATAGCTGGAAAATAAAAAGGAAAATCAATGTCATGACCCTTCTTGCTGGGTTATATAAATCAGAGCTCTTGGTGTTAACTTTAATTCAAGCCTCTTGGATTAGTTGATCGTGGGGCATTGTTCAACTTTGAGTTGAACCTGGTAGCCAAACAGAAGTAGGAAAACATGATCCAACGACCACTTTAACAAGTTTTGCAAGATTAAAGTAATTGTGTTTAGGACATTGCAAGAAATTATGTTTCAGTGATTTTTTCTTCATCAAACATAAGTCGTAAACATGCAGAGAGTTGACACTCATGACACCCTGAGATATCAGCGGAAAACCGAAAGCTACTCAAGTGTGACACTGTGGTGACTGAAGGAAATATATGTATTTCACATCAAACCACTTCAAACGCATAAAGTACAAAAGCACAAGATACTCCAACAAGTTCGAGAAAAAGAGCGTACACGAAAGATTGCTGCAGCTCGGGAGAGTAATAACAAATGTTCAGGAAATCGACTTTTTCCACTTAAAATGTGCCACCGGATCTCATTGTGGGACTCTTCATCCAGTCCTATTGCTGCAAGCTTCCTATGTAGTGCATCGGACACTGGAGCTGGTATTACCTCAGGTCCACTTGAAGTCAAGTTTTGAAGAGCGGAAAAAATCTTATTGCAATCATGACAACAAAACCATTTTTCCTTGGGGAGTTCCTGTTGAAATGAAGTAATTATTAGTTAATAGAAAATGGCAATTATTTCTGTTTTCCAGATAGCATAAATATCTTTGACTTACTTTCAGATCACACATCCCAGATTCACGCAGACAACCAACATGATACTCCTTCTCGCACTAGAAAAAAATGTACAATTACTCTTCAACAATACAATTGATTTTTAAGAATGGCGCATAAAGAAAAAAGGATGAAGAAAATGAGAAATTGTCCAAAAGATGCAAGTAGGTGAAGCAATACTTGATCACAAAGTATCACAGTCCGATCATCAAATTCAGCAGCACTGAAGTCCTGTGACCTATAGAAAATTAAAAAAATCACAATCAGCATATCAGAGAGACACAAGACCTGCAGGTACACTTGAAATGTGTATGATCAAAGATGCCACTACCTGTGACCGATCATTTATCTTTGCAGCTAACGATATAGAGTAAACATATGGACCTAAGTAAAGCTAGAATAAATTTAACAAGGTCCTAGATTCTTATATCAAGCAACACTAAAACAAGAAATGCAGAAAGTTAAGAGGTTGCAAAGATTGCTCATAAATCATTTGATAAAGACTCCTCTGAAAATGTAAAGGATAAAAGAACCAAAAACGGATGTGGTTACGGTAAGGACTCAATCTAATTGGTTAAGCGGGTTGGATGCATTAGAAAGAATCCAGATAAACTAAAAGAACAACGACAGACCTGCAGAAGACACAACCGCCAGGCTCGAGTTCTGGTGCTTTAACAACTCTTGTCAGCCTAACCATAATAGGCCTCGTCTCCCCAGAAACTTTCCTACCAGAACCAACTTTGTCTTTGCAGCACGAACAGTACCAATCATCTGGAGGAAGACACTCCAAACCTAAGCAAGCTGCAATAAGTTCAACATAAATCCATCAGAATAAGGGGTGTAACCTGCAAGCATGTGTAAGGTCCGAAAAACCAACTACATAATTTAGTTCATTTACATGCAAAAATCGCCAATATAACTTCTATAAAGAATAATTCAATGAAGATATTTCTACGTCTTATTAAATTAACACGCTCATAGGGCCAGGAAGAACATGTATTGCAATTTCTATAGCAAACACATAAATTATATGCTTTTTAACAAACATAATTTCAAAATCACACTATAAGGTGGAATGCTTTGCTGAAGCCAACTATATGGAAACAACTAAGACGACACTAAATTACATGACGTGGAGAAAACATAAAATGACGTTAAAAAACTACCCGCGTGAAAGGCTTGAGGACATCCATTACACAAAATAAGTTCCCCTCCAACTCCACATACAGCACACATATCATCACTGCCACTGGTGGCAAGATTTTGACCGCTTGCCAACATCAAGGCTATGTCATGAAGTGTCAAGCCATTGGATGTATAAATATTACGATAGCTGCAAAAGACAGATAATTATGTTACTCAAGAATCCACCCAAAAAAAAACTTAATTTGGCCATGTTCAAAAGCTACCCACGGTTGTCGTTTTGCTGCCCATCCAGCATGAGACTCAAACTGGGAAGGACTAATCTGTTCAAAAAAGAAATACATGGCATGAATCAAAAGAAATTTTTTGAGGCGGGGAGTTCTGCAATTAGAGCAATTTATGAAGCTGAACGTATAATCTATCAATCAGTGTACTCACCTCCATGTGACAACAAGTACAGAGTATTCCATTCCCATGCTTGTAACCGCCAAGAATCCTCTGGATCGAAACAAGAGTTAACAAAATAGCCACAATGGCAACCAATAAACAAAGGGCGCATTAAAGTGCATAGATTGAAATACAACCTTTCCTTTGGAATAATAAGCCAAGTCGGTCCCATCAGGCAGTCCATTTGGCAAGAACAGTAATTTGTGTAAATCATTGTCCCTGTAAACATCTTAACCTCATTAGAGGCGGATTGGTATACAAAGATGGAAAAGAATGAGTGAAAAGAAACTGAGAATAAACAAAACAATAGCGACAAGCTTGCCTTTTTTTGGTGCCACCTTCAGATGATTTATTTTTATCCCCAAATGAGCTAGAAACATGGTGTCTTGGCCTGGAAAAGAAGTGCATGTTGAGCAACTCAGACAACAATGAATTTTCAAGAGAGAAAAGGAAGGAAACAAACTTCTTGGTCAGACGCTTCCGCTCAACTGGTGCTTCCACATAGGCTTGCTGATTGAAGGGAGTCTGAGAATAATGACATGAAACAGGATAAAGACTATCTTCCTCGGGCTGATAAGGATAACTGAAAGTACATGATAAAAGGTTGAGTGAGAAGATCGACCATAATCAAGAATCCACCAAAGTCAACAGCTAACAAATCAAAAGTTCATACACCAGCAAATCTACAATGTTGTAAGTTACCAAGAACAATCTACTTGACTACTACTTAGTGCACCAAAAAGGTTCTGAATAATATTTATAAATCCTAGAAATGCAATTGAAACAACCATGCCTTTAACCTAAACAATAGATTTTTTCACGAATTAGATCGAAAATAAAATAATTTTTATTAGGTTTTTAGGTCAACACTGAAGTGTAAAAGTAATTTCAATTCACCACACATACTAGTCTCTAGAGAGAAAGAAAAAAAAAACATTTCAAGATTGCTCGAATAGAAAATGCCAAGAAGGATACCATGTTTAATTTTTTTTTTTTTAACTAAATGATAAAACACACAAAACCATGTTAAAAAATTGTTGATGTGGACATCACAAGACTAAAAAATGAGTCGTCCACTATCTGGAAGTGAAAACTATATCAGTGGAAAATAGCAATCTATTATAATTTGCAAGAGACTGAAAGATGTAAAAAGTTAAACATAGAAGACTGATAGTCCATTTAACCGTTAACAAATCAACCAACTTAGGCAATCTCTCACAGTTTATACGCATCTGTAGATTAAAGCAAAATAGCACCTGGAGGTGGAATAATACATGCCAAAATGATCGCTTCGGTAAACACTATCTGCATAAGCTACATCATTGCCAGATTGGAGACTTGCTGCAATAATTTGAGATCATGTGAGAATTTAGTAAATACCCTACATAGCTGCCCAATCGTACAATCAAAATAGTTTGGCAACAGCACAAAGAAACAATTGACTCATGAGTCATGACCCTAAAAGTCAACTATTGACTTTCATTCCGTTACAGATCTAAATACAATTCAGTGGTGGTATCGAAGTTACCTTTCCAGACTTTGAAATACTCCTCATTCACTGAAGAACCAGCCAAAGCTTTTATTACGTCATCTAGTGTGCTGAGGGGCGTAGTCTTCAGTTCTTGAATTATGCTATAAATAGGTTTCCCATTCTCCAAATATATATGATTGTTTGGATGCCTAGTCTTGGCACCAGCATGGAGTTCGAACTCATAGGCACTAACCACCTGCTTATACCATGGATACATATCATCACAAAACAAACACAAACCTCTATGCAAACAGTCTAACTAGTAGTTGCTTTTTGCGACTTACTCTACAAAAGTTGCAAGCGGAACAACCACACAAGTAACCAAAGTCTCTGATGATTCCTGGAAGCTCTACCTGCAGATCATTAGAACAAAAACTAAGGGTCAAACTAGCAAGACTACAATCATCTACATTTGTATCAGTAACAAAGCAAAAATTACAAGGTATAACTTACCAATCCAGATATTGAAATGTAGTTCACTCTGGCTCCTTCCAAAATTCTAGTAGATAAAAGCTTTTTAACATTTGTAGGATAATTACCAGGAATTATCTTGTTAGACATCGTTACTTCCCTGTCTGGAATGTGCGACAAAGGACTGCTCGTGCAATGAAACTCGCTCCCATCTATTCTTAGATTCATTTCTTGATCATGATTCTGAAAGCTGTTGTTAGTTAAAGGTTGACAATCAGAAACAGACAAGTTGTTATCGTAATAATCCCCTTGAAAATCATCAGCAGTTTCGGGCTTAATAACAGATCTTCCGCTATCATAATCCGTCTTACATTTAGTAAACTTAAATGTAATCTTCCTAATACCCGTGGTGCTAACATGCTTGGGAATTTCAAGCACAACAGATGTTGTGGATACTGGTTCCATTTTCTGATTTCTATTATGCTCTGCTTCGTGGAAACTTGGATCGATCACTGAATTTCGAGAACAAACTGACGTAGTATCTCCATAACCACAAGGATCATTGCCCACCACATCTAGTATTTGACTGCTAATTGTCAAACTGGAAGTAGCATGCTTTGGGGACTGATTTGGATTCGAAACTTCAGAATATATATCATCATTGGAAGCTTCTTTGGCTTTATTCGTAGGACAAAGCTCCCTCCCGTATTCATCTTGCACCTCGTTTCCACCATCAATTAGCTCCAAGTTGCCATTATTCCGAGCACACGGTTCTATTTCACTGTCATTCATTACTTTCCCAGGTTCTAAGTTGGCATCATTTGGTGGATGATTCGGTAACTTTTCCATACAATGTTCATCCACACTTCTGATTTCCTGACTTTCCGCAACAACCTCTAGCTCTGTACTTCTCGAAACTTCCTTTGAATGAGACCAAACGCAAGCTTCTGACTCAGCAGAGTTTGGAACTTCCTTCAATTGAATATCAGTGCAAGGATTTGATTCGGTAGGGTTTAATTCTGCGTCATTCGAAACTTCCTTCGTCTGACATTCAGCAGAACAGTCTAACTCGATGTTCTCCACGGCCACGTCATTTTCCTGCACCACAATGCCTACTGCAGAACCGTTATAAACTTCTACTCCATCGTTGCATGAATTCGCTTCATCACTAACGCCAGTAAAATGCCGACCAATTTCCGATTCAATCTTCAATTGACTGTCGATTTCCATCACATCGATACCCTCGTCCAAAACAGCCACCGAAACTACACAATTGCTTTCTCCCATCCCAATAAACCCCTACTCACATACACGTTCAATAATAAGCCATATGACTCCAATTCTACACCACAACATTCAGATATGAAAAACAGAAAGAACTCAACCCCAAAAAAAAATTCAGCACTCAGATACCCCAATTGTTCTCTCAACAATTACCCAAAAAGAAACTTCTGAAATAATATTCAGCGGGAAAAAAAATACACGCATGAATTTCAATTGCTTCACGCAATTTAATAACGAGGAAAAAAATAAATAAAACCTCTACTCAATCCAATAACTAACCTCCCAAAACTTCTCCCCTAAAAGTATAACAGAATTGAAATTAGGGCTTAATATCCGTTTAAACGACCTCCTCAACCAAGAACGAATTCGAATACACTTCTCCCCGGGATAATTAAAAAAAAATCAAATGGATCTGAGTAAATGTATCGTTTAATTATTTATTAATTAATTTATTATTTGTTCATATGAGTATTTCTTGTCTATTAAGTCTGAGTCTTTCAGATTAGGAAGTAACGAGAAGAAAGTGGGGAGGAATGTGGATAGGGGTGAAGTTGATGGGCCGGATCTTTATATACCTGTATAATTCTCGAGTGGGGCCCGGTCCAGGTTCTTATGTTGTTGGGCCACGTGGCGGGGTTGAGCTGTAAATCTTCGTGGACGCATTTGAATGACGGAGGGATCGAACCCTTGTCTCTCTGATATGATTTGTTTTCAGATTTTTTTGGTTAATAAATTATTTTATCTCATATTTGACTAATTATTTAAAATACATTTGAATATTTTATGATATTTTATTTTTGATGATATTGTTTGTGTTGGAAGAAAAGTTTTGGATAATAATTTTGATAAGGCGGAATGGTATATTGTGTTCGAGTGTTCGTGACAGTTTTCAATTTGTTAAGAAACTTTTTAAGTTGGACTCTAACGTATTTTTGACCATACTAATTACTTAAGAATTAAACATTTACATCGTTAAATTCCGTTTGTATTAAGAGACTATAATTATTCATTTTACAATGCGACTATAGTTTTGTTGGGTATCCGCCCGGAGAAGACAAACCACACAAAATCAAAATACTCATATTTTATTAGAAACAATTAAAATATAATATAATATATTTAATCAACAGAATCAATAAATAATTAAATTAATAACAACAATTTATAATGGCATTAATCAGCAACAAACGACGACAGCATCACTCAACAATCAGCAAAACCAACAATCAGATCATAATATTTTAAGAATAAAATATTAATGCTCAATTAACCTAGAATAAAACGTGATTTAATTAATGCAGAAAAATAAATAAGGGTAAGAGACAAAACCGAGCAATTCACACAGAATTGCAAACGAAAGTTCCTCCGACGGCTGCTTCGGCGGTCGTCGATTATCCGGCTCAGTCCTCAATCTCCGAGTCCTCGTCCAAGATCCAAGTGGGGCCTCCAACACTCACGGCAGCCACACACACGTACACACACAGTGTATTCCAACGAACAAAACGAAGAAAAACGAAACCCAAATTCACACCCTAATCTCACCAGTTTATCCCTAAAGAAGTAAGCTCGAATTCATTGAAAGAATCGAGCTTTGCTTCTCAAAAAAGGTTTCTCTCTTTTCACTCTATTTTTTCCCTCTCAAATACACAAAGTATTTTTCTCGACTCTATTTTTCTGTCTCTATTTTTCACGCCTTTTTTCCGTCTCTCACGTCTCACACAGGAAAAGAAAAGGGTGCACTTATACACCCAAATCATCTACCAAATTCACTAAGAATTAGGTAACAAATCACCAAGATTTGTTGAGAGAAAAAAGGAGCAGATTAGAAAACAAATTTGCTGGGAAAACCAAAACACCGATATAAGAAAAAAGAGGTGAAGAGAGAGAGAAAGGGAAAACCTAGTGAGATTGGGCTGACTTTTAATTTTGGGCCCAAATTTTGTGGGTTGCTCGTAAGTGGGTTGCAAGGTGGGATTTTAATGGGCCATTCACAAAGAATTCATTTGGGCCACATACTCTACAAATCTCCACCTGGCCCAAATGGATCATCGGGACCCTTTTAGGAGAAACGAAATCATCATTGCCGTATGACACTACCTGCACTCAAAACACAAAGTTAGTACAAGTTTAAAAAACAAAACACAAAGTAATGCAAAAACAAGCAAAACACAAAGTAATGCAAAAACAAGCAAAACACAAAGTAATGCAAATAACAAGCAAAACACAAAGTAATGCAAATAACAAGCAAAACACAAAGTAATGCAAATATTCTAACACATTAGAATACATCACCACCGTCGGATATCATATTGGCTTGATCTCTATGTTGGTTTTTCTTAGGCTTGGGACAATCACTAATAAAATGACTATGGTCACCGCAATTAAAGCACCTTCTATTATTAGGATTAGCCTTCGACTTACTCCAATCTCCACCCTTTTTCTTAGTTTGATCAATTTGACTAGAAGAAGCCTTGTTGTTTTGAAAACGATTAGACTGACTTCCTTTAATAAAATTAACCTCACTAAATGATTTATCCCTATTAATTCCCAATTCAAGCTCTTTGCTTTTTAAAGCATTGATCACAGTATCTAAAGTAATCTTATCTCTACCATACTTAATAGCAGACTTAACATCATTATAAATATCAGGAATAGCATTCAAGAGCACAATAGGGGTATATTCATCAATGTTCTTATCACCAGTTAATTTAATATCTTGAACTAACTTGGTAAAAACATCCATATTAGCATCAATATTTTTGCGAGAGTCCAATTTAAATCCAAAAAACTTTTCAAGCAAAAACATTTTATTGGGCAAAGAATTTTCAACATAAAGTTCTTCCAATTTATCCCATAAGCTTCTAGCAGAATCATGCTTTCCTACTTTTCTAATCACAGAGTCACTTAGATTCAAGATAATAGCAGAATAAGCAAGATCATCAAGTTCTTCACGTTTAGCAACAGTTATAAAAACTTCCTCACTTAGAGAAATCGCTTTAAAACATTTTTGATGGATCAAAATACCTTTCATTTTTTGTTGCCAAATAGAAAAATCACCCTTTCCATCGAAAGGAGCTAAAGATAACATAGACATAGATCCCATATTCAAGTATCACAAAGATAGCAAAATCACCAAGATTAAATATCAGCAGGATCAACACACAAGAGAATCACAAAGATTCAATAAACTTTAGCAAAATCGAATCACAAAGATTCACAATTTTTCAAAAAATCACACAGATAATAGAATCACAAAGATTCACAATTTCAAAGCAAAATCGAATCACAAAGATTCTAATTTTTCAAATATCACAAAGATAAAGAATCACAAAGATTCCAATTTTTCAAATATCACAAAGATAAAGAATCACAAAGATTCCAATTTTTCAAATATCACAAAGATAAAGAATCACACAGATTCACACAAAATATTAGCGGAAGCAATAAACAAAGAATCACCAAGATTCACCAATAACAGGTATAATTATCACAAAGAATCAATCAACTCACCAAGAGTAGAAATTTATACCTGAGCGAAACCCCTGGACCAGGGTTTCGTACGCCGCTCCGGACGGACCCTTAACAAAGCTCTGATACCACTGTTGGGTATCCGCCCGGAGAAGACAAACCACACAAAATCAAAATACTCATATTTTATTAGAAACAATTAAAATATAATATAATATATTTAATCAACAGAATCAATAAATAATTAAATTAATAACAACAATTTATAATGGCATTAATCAGCAACAAACGACGACAGCATCACTCAACAATCAGCAAAACCAACAATCAGATCATAATATTTTAAGAATAAAATATTAATGCTCAATTAACCTAGAATAAAACGTGATTTAATTAATGCAGAAAAATAAATAAGGGTAAGAGACAAAACCGAGCAATTCACACAGAATTGCAAACGAAAGTTCCTCCGACGGCTGCTTCGGCGGTCGTCGATTATCCGGCTCAGTCCTCAATCTCCGAGTCCTCGTCCAAGATCCAAGTGGGGCCTCCAACACTCACGGCAGCCACACACACGTACACACACAGTGTATTCCAACGAACAAAACGAAGAAAAACGAAACCCAAATTCACACCCTAATCTCACCAGTTTATCCCTAAAGAAGTAAGCTCGAATTCATTGAAAGAATCGAGCTTTGCTTCTCAAAAAAGGTTTCTCTCTTTTCACTCTATTTTTTCCCTCTCAAATACACAAAGTATTTTTCTCGACTCTATTTTTCTGTCTCTATTTTTCACGCCTTTTTTCCGTCTCTCACGTCTCACACAGGAAAAGAAAAGGGTGCACTTATACACCCAAATCATCTACCAAATTCACTAAGAATTAGGTAACAAATCACCAAGATTTGTTGAGAGAAAAAAGGAGCAGATTAGAAAACAAATCTGCTGGGAAAACCAAAACACCGATATAAGAAAAAAGAGGTGAAGAGAGAGAGAAAGGGAAAACCTAGTGAGATTGGGCTGACTTTTAATTTTGGGCCCAAATTTTGTGGGTTGCTCGTAAGTGGGTTGCAAGGTGGGATTTTAATGGGCCATTCACAAAGAATTCATTTGGGCCACATACTCTACAAGTTTTTATCTTATTTTACATGAATATTTTTTTCTTTTTCGGTTGTGAAGGTTTACAAAAAAAATTATTTGAAGCACATTCGACTTTGTAACATATGTAATTGTTCGATATAAGCCTGACACCAACCTAAAACTCAAAAAATTACATGGGCAGAGCTTGAGTTTAATTTGTACCAATTAGACCATATAATAATATATGAGTTTGAAACTACAGTAACACCGTCCGATGGTATGTAAACTTGATTCAAACCAAACTCGATTCACATGGCTCGATCGATAGTAACATGGTCCAATGGTATGGAAACTTGAATAAAACCAAACTCTATTCACATGCCAATGGTATGTAAACTTGAATAAAACCAAACTCGATTCACATGGCTCGATCTACAGTCTTAGCTACAAGTTTATTAGTGATTTGAATGTTTCAATGAAAATGCTTAGTTATATAGATAAGTTGCACGAATTTATGAATGCAGTTCAATTATGATTATGGTGTTGATTTAATGTTGATTTGATGGTCTGATGGGTGGAAAAATATGTTCAATATACTATTAGTTAAGTGGAATTTTTCAATAAAAGTGGTTATTTATGGATACGCTGCATGAATTTAAGAATGTAGTTGCAATTATAATTAAAATTGGAGCAAGACTCAATCTTCTACTCTCCGTATTTGGTCTTCTGTATTCTTTATATTTCTCTCTCAAAATCTTCTTATTTATTAAATCATATTACTTTTGTATATTGATTTTATATATTTTCTATATACTGCAGCATACTTAAAAGGCCTTAACCATGGCAATGTTGACTTCCTTTAAAAGGCCTTAACCATGGCAATGTTGATCCTTGGAAGCAACGAATATTGATTGGGGTTGGTGTACCAACTCATTACAAACCTGACCATTGTAAAACTATTTTGAAAGCTAGTCGAGATGCGGACACGAAGAACGTAAAAATCGTATTGATTTTTCATTTGATTTTTCATTTGCGCGCCAGAACTTGCACCACCTCATTGATGAGGAGTCAAAAAAAAGACTAGAAACTTTAAGGCTCATCCATTCGATGAGCCGACTCGATAAAAGCTCGAATGAGCTCGACGAGCCTAATTATGGTTGTTTCACAATGAACGAGTATTAGATGATTACAAATGAAGTTTCTACCCCTATTTATACTAGGCCACCTTCTTAATGAAGGTTGGAGATCTATTTGATCTAACGACTAGAAGTTGTTCACTAGAACACTCGTATTACTACAAAATATCTACAAATGGAGGGTTGTAGAAAGTTTTCTAGAATCCTCTAAGACTATAAGTTGTTCACTAGAACACTCCAAAGTATTACTACAAAATATCTACAAATGGAGGGTTGTAGAAAGTTTTCTAGAATCCTACAAGAATCTCTACTTGCTCGCGAGCTTCTTATTTATTTATTTAAATAAATATATATATATATATATATTTATATATATATATATATATATATATATATATATATATATATATATATATATATATATATATATATATATATATATATATATATATTAAAAAATATGTTTTTGTAATCGTATAAATAATTTATACTGATAAAATAATAAAATAAAGTAACAGTAATATAAAAATTAGGAAAAAAAAAATGACTTGAGCTTGAGCTCAATAAATCTACTTGAGCTTGAGGTTGAGCCTAGAACATGAAAGTTCGATGAGCTCGAGCTCGTAAAATTGGACACAAGCTTGAGCTTGAACCTTAAAATTTTGGCGAGATTGGCTTGTTCACACCCCTAATTTATAATTGTGTTCAAGTGTTTACTTGTTGAACATAATTTACTAGTCACTTTAATTAAATTTTTAGTTTATTACTCTTATTTACTCGATCTGCTCTCTTCACAATACTTTGTGCATGTGCAACATTTATTATTGCGTCCAATTTACTCGATATTCAGGGGTCAATAATAATAATAATAATAATAATAATAATAATAATAATAATAATAATAATAATAATAATAATAATAATAATAATAATAATAATAATAATAATAATAATAATAATAATAACATATCCAACTTTAATAGAATAAAAGTAAAAAAATTACATATTTTGAAACATTAATTGCTTCGAAGTTAAACAAAATAGAAAATTAGGTAAAATACTTGGAGATATGAACCCGCCTTTTCAGCCGACTCGAGCATAGTCCTTCGTAATTAAACCGATCCAAATCAAACCGGTCCAGATCGGGTAGCTGCGTAATCAAACCGGTCCAAATCAGGCGCGCACAGAAAACCCCTGATGTACCTGTAGAGCCAGGACAATGCCGCCGCAGTAGCGACGGCGAAACCGAGAAACGATAGAAAACCGGTGGCGGCGATGAGGACGAGAACGCCGAGAGGGATCCATATGTGGTTGGAGATGAGAATCAACAGCGGCAAGAAAATCGGGCCGAGAACAGCGGCGGCGATAAGAAGGAACATAATGGCGCCGACGCAGGCGGAGATTGTAAGCACGGCGGCGAAACCGATGCTCTGTGTTGGTTTTGGTGCGTGTTCTTTCAATTTTTGCATGGAGGAGCTGACTGTCAGCGCTGCCGCCGCCGATGCGGCGGATTGGCTACTCGATAAAATTTTCCGATCGGGCATATTTTTTAGTGAGTTGGCGCGCGGAGTTGATCAAGGTGGTGGGTGGGTGATTTAGACGCGCGCGTGTATATGTGGCGGTTGTTTTCATGCATGGGAACACGTGGACATGGTCGTGGTATGCACGTGTGGAGACTGGAGATTAATTAGCTATATTATTAACCTTTAATTAATCGCCAACTAATTCCGGAAATTAGAGGCACTAATTAATTTATGGGTATACCGTATATGATTTATTTATTTATTCGGAATAAATACTCATTTTATTTAGTTTATATTTATATTATTGACAATATGTTTATGTTTATCGATGATGAAACAATAAATAATACAATTGTTCTCCTAAAGTAATAAATCATTCACAATTTTCTAATAAACGAAACCAAGAGCCCATTAATCCCAAATATACGAACGGGCCCAAAAAAATTGGGCTGCTTCAAAAAAATGTTGGCCCAAAGGATTGATCTTGTATAGCGACCTTACACATATACATACATACATATATGCATCGGAATATTGACGTTATAAGTGTACTTTTTTCGGCACGTGTTTGTGTACGTGTCTTATGATACATATATGACGCGTCGATGGGGTGGTTGGTTTTATTTGTAATAATGATTTACCGATTTACTAATAGATATCGAAGGATAACTAATTTCAATTACTCGGTGTAAACACGCCGCGCCTGACAAATTTTCCGAGCTCGATCGTGTCGATCTTGACAAATGTGGGCATTTTTTACACGCATTTACATGAATGCATGTGATTGTACGCAATCGAACGACATCTGGTTTACCGGGATTTTAAAAATAATTAAATATATAAATAACATCAAGAAGTAGATTGTTAGAATTTCAATCAAGATTCACAAAATTTAAGCAATTTATTGCCACAAAATCCAATGTGAACGGATAATCCATTGACTTTTGACTATTAACTTTTGACTTTTAACTTTAACTTTGCCTATATAAAACCCAACCAACCATACTTCCAATCTCCACACTTAGCAAATTTAATTCCATACCATTTTCTTTGATTGACACAAATTCATTGCACCGAGCAACAATGTCCCAAAAACCCAACCGCCACCAGCGGCGGCCGTCGCAGGGTGTTTTCGTGATACCGGAGGATATCTCCGCTCCTCTCCCGGATGGCATTGTTCCGCCGCCTACGGCAACCACTCAAGCTCATCCACCACCGCAAGTGAAAAGTAGTGGAGGCGGAGGTGGAGGCGCTCACTTGCCACCGCAACCACCGGCTAAGACGGCGGAGGAAACTCTGGCGACGACTTCCGGTCGTTCTAGGAAAGGATAAAACTCCATAGATCTATCTAGTGCATAATATATGTAATAAAATACATGTGTATGATCTGTTTGGAATATATGTTTTCTCTAGTTAAGTAGATCTTTGCTGGAGAAACAAATATATAAAGTAATATAATGCTTAATTATCATGTGGTTAATTAAGTTTATCGTTAAATTCGACGTTTATTTCAGTTATTTCTTGATTCTTTCATTATTCTGCTTCATGATAAGTGTCACTTTAAAGTTTCAATGTAGCACAAATTATTCTTCTCCAGCTTTATCCCAATGTTAATAACATATTAATGAAGTAGTAATAAATAGAAGTTGAAAAAAAAAAGGGTAATTTTGACATTTTTCTTCTGGTATGAAGACTATTTAATAATTTTCTTATCTTAATCGGCATGATAACCTTAGACGTCACTTAAAAAATAAGTGGGAGAGTATTATAAACCGCTATGTAATCTAACATTAATAAAAATATAATATCTTGCACAACCAACAAACTAGATGTATATTCTAGCTATTTTATAAACACTTGAACACAATTATAATTAGTGGTGTGGACGAGTCTAGCTCGCCAAAATTTTCAGGCTCAAGCTCAAACTTGTGTCCAATTTTATGAGTTCGAGCTCATCGAGCTTTCAGGTTCTAGGCTCAACCTCAAGCTTAAATGGATTTATTGAGCTCGAGCTCAACTCAGCTCATCTTTTTTTTTTCTTTTAGTTTTTCTTTCTACTGTTGATATCAGTATTACTTCATACGACTACAAATATATATATATATATATATATATATATATATTTATGTATATTATTTAAATAAATAAAAAGCTCGCCAGCCAGCGAGATGTCGAACAACTATAATCAAGCTCGTCCAAAGCTCAAGCTCGAGCTTTTATTAAGTCGGCTTATCGAATTGACGTGCCGGCTCAACTCATTTACCACCCCTAAATATAATTACCAAATAATTTGCTAAATACAAGAATCGTATAATTACGATATAATTATGATCGATTTAATCTCGTCGATATTTAAAAAGGAGGCCTTAAAGTTTCTCAAATTGATTTTTAATTTATTTATTTCATTAAATGAAAATAAAAAAAATCAAACACGTTGACAAGAAAAAAGAATGGACGCAACAATAATTTTAATCGGATTTGAAAAACTAAATTTAACAACATCTCGAACATTGTAGAACGCGACGCTAAAAGTCCAAAATACCCTCTAAAACCCAGATCATCCAAAAGCAAAGCACAATCCTTCCATTTCCTCTCTCTACTACACTACTGCAGTTATGAGCGGGAAGAGAGAATGTCCGGCGATCGAAATCGATCTCGGAACCACATACTGCTGCGTCGCCGTCTGGCAAAACGGCCGAGTTGAAATCATACCAAATGAGGTGGGTAACCGAACCACGCCGTCGTATGTTGGTGTCACAAACAGTGAAAGGCTTATCGGCAATGCTGCTGAGAACCAGGTTGTGGTAAACCCTACCAACACCATTTTTGGTAAGACCGATGCTTACTTTTTTATATATATTTCCAATCGCCTTTCACTATGTATCTCGCTTGAGTCGATTCTTTCAATTTCCGACGGATGATTGTTAAATGTATGTCGTAGATGCTAAATTTTATTTGGTGTGTGTGTTGTGTGTATAATTTTTGGTATTATCTCAATCTAATGTTAATTTCTCTCAAATTTGCATTTCTTTCACTTTTTTGGTTTGGTTTTTCTTTTCTTTTTCTTCCGGTATGCATATGTGACTGGTTTTTGTTGTTTTTGAATCAGGTGGCGAATCGTTTGAGGACTGGAAATATGGAGCAAGTCAAAAATAAGAAGCTAACATAGCTACATAAAGCAAAAACTATAGTATAAGAGTAGAAAATATTCGTAATAGAATTCATAACACTTACCTTTTTTTTTCTTTCTTATGAGTGTATTTTTTTCTTGGGTAAATAGCACTTAACCCCCTTGTGGTTTGAATATTTTGCACAAGACCTCCTTATGGTATGAATTTATTCACATAACCCCCTTGTGGTTTTGACATTTTGCACATGATCCCCTTATTGTATGAAATTAGGCACATAACTCCCTTGTGGTTTTGAAATTTTACACATGACCTCTTATGGTATGAAATTAACACATAACCCCCTTGAATAAAAAATTGGAAAAGACTAAAAACTACCCCTATCAAGCAAAAGTTATTGTTTTAATTTAAAAATAATTATTCTATAAAATGAAAAGCTTAATGTATTTTTTTTCTAAAATGAGAAATATAATATATTATTGTGTTATTTCTATTTTACTGCACATATATTTTTTTTAATTTAATTTTCATTTCAACTTCAGAGAAATGTTTTTTTAGATTTTTCCAAAAGAATAAAAAAATAAAGACTTTGTTTCTTAAAAAAATTAAAGTTCGATAACAACTGTAATATAATATATTATATAGAAAATAGTAATATAATAATCATAATTAATGGTAATGTTAAAGATTTTCAAATTAATTTTTAAAATCGAATAATTATCAATCGTACAATAACTAGTATTTTATACCTTTTGTGCTGTAAAATTAAACAAAACACAATAATTTATTATATTTCTCAATTTACAAAAAAATACATTAAACTTTTCATTTATTATATTATATTATCTGTGCCATCAATCAGGAGAGAGAAAGTAGCAGTAGTTAACTCAGGCATGTAAACCGGAGGACAACGATGGAGGTGGAGTTCAGAATGGGGCCGGTAAAAACGACGAAGAGCAAAAAGACGAAAACGCCCCTCGGCCAAGAGGTGAGAGGCCGAATCCAAGATTGAGTAATCCCACTAAGCACATCCATGGCGAGCAAGTAGCTGCTGGATGGCCCTCTTGGCTCTCTGCTGTTGCAGGAGAGGCAATCAATGGGTGGACCCCACGTCGAGCCGATTCATTCGAAAAGATCGATAAGGCAAGAATTAATTAGTTCATATATTTTTTTAATGCCCTTATGTTAGTATGTCCTAATTCTTTCTTGTGCTTATTTTGTTATTTATGGTTAGATTGGACAAGGTACATATAGTAACGTGTATAAAGCTAGAGATACGATAACGGGAAACATTGTTGCACTAAAGAAGGTTAGATTCGATAACTTGGAACCTAAAAGTGTGAGGTTTATGGCTAGAGAGATATTGATTTTACGCCGACTGGATCACCCAAATTTTGTGAAATTGCAAGGATTGGTCACTTCAAGAATGTCGTGAATCAGTTTCTAAAGTTTTTAATCTGATTGATAACGATAGGTAAAATGCTACATGAATCAGTTATTGTCTGGCCTCGAGCACTGTAACGATCGGCATGTGTTGCATCGTGATATTAAAGAGTTGAATCTGCTTATTAATGATGGAGGGGTTCTTAAGATTGCCGATTTCGGATTGGCTTCGACTTTTGACCCTAATAACAAACACCCTATGACTAGTCGTGTGGTTACACTTTGGTATAGGCCACCTGAGTTGCTTTTTGGTGCGACTGAGTATGGTGTAGGTGTTGACTTGTGGAGCGGCGGATGCATTTTAGTTGAGCTATTTGCAGGAAAAACCATCATGACTGGGAGAACAGAGGTAACAAAATTTAGTGGCATCTTTTTCGTTTTCTTTTCTTTCTTTTTTTTTTCGTATCATGTGTGGATTAGTGAGTAGCTCCGTTAATTTTCTATGTACGTTCTGCATGAGACAGAATTCTTCGATTTTTCGCTACTGCATCATGGTGCAATTGCTTAGCTTCACATGCCGACATGCATGATTATATTGATTGCTTCTTTACGTGTATTTTTTTTGGGTAAAAAAACAATTAGTGGTTAAATTTCAGACCCTTTTGTGACCATCTATTAACTGATTCACAGTTATTTCGAGTAGTTACTCGCACCGTATTTTTTGGTATCTTTTCATTTGATCGCCTGTGTAAAAAGGGTTTTTATTGTATGGAAAACGATCAGGTCGTTCATTGGATTAGTGCTTCTCTTTCCTTTCTCACGTGGATTAGTGTGTGAGCTTCTTTAATGAAAATTGATGGGACAGTGCTGTAAATATAGAGTTCTACCGAGTTCCATCGAATAAAGTAAGTTGTGCAAAAAAAAAAAAAAAAAAAAAAAAAAAAAAAAAAAAACGAAAAACGATTGATTGGTTGTAGCAGCCTATGTATGCGCTGCACAAACATAAGTTCTTTGGTTTTTTTATTTTGACTACTGCAGTATGGTGCAATTGTTTTCTTGGGTAAATTTGGGGTTTCGTTATGGTATAGAGGAAATCTTGAAGTTACCTTAGGGTATTTTGTATAGCCACTGCCTTTTATTTTGTTTCGTTTTGCAATTTCTTAGCTTTACATGCATACTTATAATGTTACGAATGGTGTTTAGGTGGAGCAGCTGCACAGATTTTCAAGCTATGCGGTTCTCCGCCGGAAGAATAATGGAAAAAATGGAAGCTTCCTCATGCAACCATATTCAAATCCCAACAATCATATAAAAGATGCATAAAATAGACTCTTAAAGATTTTCCGTCCTCGTCTTTGCCTTTAATCGATACTTTACTTGCAATCGATCCAAGTGATCGTTTAACTGCGCACTAAATAGTGAAGTAAACTCTCAATTATTATTGTTCATTATTATTATTTTTTTTTTATGGGATTATGGTTTATTTAATTTTTTTTATTACAGTTCTTCACAACTAAGTCTTATGCTTGTGATCCATCTAGCCGTCCGAAATATCCACCGAGTAAGGAGATGGATGCTAAGCACCGTGATGAAGAAGCTCGAAGGTTTGGAGAATAATTGTTTTACCTACATTGCCTGGAAAATTATGCAGTCTTATGAGAAATCAATTGTATAATTGGAAAAAAGAAAAGAAAATTGATTGTAACCACTAACAAGCCAAGTTAAGTGCTCAATTTTCCATAAATACGGGCCGGTTCGAAGAATTATTGCACTAACCAAACATTTATTAAATAAGATCTAATTATTTAATTAATTATTTGAATTGTAGGTTACGAGCTGCTGGTAAAACTCAGACCGATGCTGTGAAGAAAACACGAACACTCCTGTTTCATGGATTCGGACCTTCTGTGGCTTTTATAGGTATATCTTCCAACTTTATTTTGCTGACCAACAATGGTCGGATAAAGTGCGCTGAGCTTGTTGTGGTTCATTATTAATGGAAATTTTTGTACCTCTTGGTTATATGCGTTCTCTTTTGCCAACAATTTTTTGGCGTTTTTGGTTACGATCAAATTTTGAGTTATATGCCAGTTCCATTTGTTCTCATCTTTCTTTGTTATGATGGAAACTTTTTGCCTCTTGCTTATCAGTGTCAATGTTTTTTTTTTCAATTGTGCTGGTTTCTTTAGGCTTTCTTGTATAGTCGAATACTCGTCATTATTGTGGGCCCCTTTTTTTACCAATGTTCTTCTCAGGGTTGTTCAATGTACACCTTAATTGTAACAGTACAGGGTGTTATTTTTTTAGCATTGTTGCTTCAAAATGCGATGGTTAAAATATTGCATATCTTCTTTGCATCTGAAATTTTCTTAAATAAATTTGTGCCTCTAAGTTTTCGTCTACCTGTGGCACGTTGAATCTCCTTGTTTGGGTGTTACAAATCCGTGCCTCTAAGTTTTCCATCACGTCGTCTGCGGTCATTCATTCATCTCTCTCTCTCTCTCTCAAATTTACAATTTTACTGATGTACAATTAAATTCATTGGGCACCCACACCGCGCCTTGTGCGGTGCATCACCAACTAGTATATATAGATATATACTCTCCACATTTTCTTTTCTCTTTTTTTCAGCACCTGCGCCTGTAAAACGACGCCGTTTTAGAGTATTTATCCAATTTTACAGTGCAATTTTTGTTCGCGAATCAGATGCTAAGTTTACTCTTCATGGTTAACAATTCCACCTGCATCCTTCATCTGATTATTTTTACTTTCCATTAAATTTATTACCTCTTTGTTTATAGCCTAATCTGTAAACTTTGTTAATCGTTTTGTTTTGCCATCTTACTGAATCCCTTTAATATTTGTAGCTGGAATTGAATTGAGGATGACGGAATATACTGGAAAGGAAGTAAATTAAGTCATTATATTCACAATGAAGGATTCAAATTGCTGATTCATCCAACAAAATCAGGTAAAGAATCACACGGTATAATTTTGTGCTGAAATTGTCATTTTAGTATTTCATGCCAGCTCAAAAAAAGTTTTCATTAATTTCCTATTTTTATTTCTTTGTTTTGATTGGTTTATGTAATTATCCATTGTAGGAATTATTGGTTTATGCTTTTGAGTTTCTTGGTCGGTAATATTACCACAGATCGGCTGGTTCTTTTGACTCTAAAATTTATGTTTTTTGGTTGTAAGCTCCAACGGCAGGAAGTAGAAGCTATTATCCAAATGTGGAAAACACTACAATTCGTCGAGCACTTGTAGTCTTGGTTTGATTGAAAATGTAGTAATCGGACAACCAAACCTTAACTAATTCCTAAAGCATTGCATAAAAGTGGATCATGAGTTTTAGGGATTAGATCATTAGACAGTTCAACAACAATATTAAAAGGGTTATTGATCTCTATTATGATCTATCAACTTCTTCGACTAAATCAAGGGATGTTTCATCTGCTGCATACAATGGCATGTAATGTTTCAAATGTGTTGGTTTAAGATCATATCCTACATGTAATGACCGAAACAGGTTGCGACAAATTTTGTATTTAGCTTCATACGAATTGAATTATAGCAAAACAACCCTGTAATTTTAGACTACGTTGAATGGGCATCAACACTAGTATATATATAAGAGTGGCAGCTTCATTCGTGTGTGTGAATGGTTTATGCGCGTCTATTTTTAATCAATATATTTTTTTGTGTGTTTAAAAAGGGATTACAGTATGAATTTTTTTTGGGTAGTGTCAATGAGACTGTTCCATACCTCCACATGCATTGGCCACAACAGTCTCAAGAAGACCAAGTTCCGATTTTCCTTTCATTTTAACCGACTATATTCTCATCTGTATTTTATTTTTTTGAAATTTAATTTGAAACTTTTGCAATTTTTTTGCAGGTCTTCCAATTTTTTTTAATACTAGAGAAAATCTGGGTTGTGAAATGTGTCTCTTCACCTTCTGCTGAGAAGTGAGAACTGGTGACTAATTTAATACCGAAAACTCACCCTTTTTTTTTCTCGGTTCTTTAGTAAGTGGTTTAGGCGCATGATTTGCCTTGAATCGAGTTGTATTATGTTAAATAACTTCGTCTTAGTGGGGTATGTAGATGGTTTTAGCAATCAGCTGGTTACTCATCTTTCAGTGGTATTTAGAGAACAAATTGGTACTTTGTTCAAGTGTTTTGATATTGCATGTGTAAGTACAGAATCATACATTTGCGCATTGTGGCGCTTATAAATCTTTTGTTTTTGTACATGTTGATTGATTTTGAGGAGTTGTGATATCCAAGAAAGACTTGTAATGAACAGTAAATTATTATTCTTTTTTGCTTCGAATCTATAGTATTTTTGCAGTATACTACTGGAATTGATGAATGTTGATCACATTTATCTTTGCTTATTATCACTTGGAATTTATGTTTGACATTTATAATTTGAAGAACAAGTAGATAGATGTTTTCAAACAAAAATATTTAAAAATGTTAAAGGAACGGGAGAAAAGAGCTCTAAAAAAATTTATACAAAAATAATATGGTTAATTAAGAGAGAAATTTGAGATGAAAGTATAAATTTCTTCCCATAAATATATAAGGAGAGAAGGGGTTTGGGTGTTTGGGGGGTGGCTGGGGTCTGAAACCATAGGACAGTAAAGGGAAGCAAATGCCAAAAACCAAACATAGCACAATAAACAGAAGCAAATGTATGATTCTGTACAAACAGAAGCTTATGGTGCTACCGTAAGGGGGGGAGCACTTGCTGGCTTTCATCCGCAAAATATTGGAAACCTCTCCCCGGCCAGGCTGTCAATGTTGCACGGTCTCCTACGTGATTATATGAACCTTGATTGCACGCATGACAACGGTGATGTTTTTTTCTCACATAATCGATGTCTTCAAGAAGTATGATAAAATTCCGATTAAAGATGAAGAAGAATTGGGAGTTGTTAACCAACTAAGACAGTTTCATCAATTCAGAGACGAGGTGGTGATTTATCCTGAAGATAAAAGCAACTTCTTCTATATCCTTAGTGGGTATAGTTACATATTTAGTTTATTGTAAACACTATTTATTAGGTTAAATGAACCGTAGAAGGGAATATGAAAAATTGGCAGCAAGGCTCAATCTTCTTCTATTCTCCCTATTTGGTCTTCTGTATTCTTTATACTTCTTCTCTCTTAAAACTGCTTTATTAAATCATATTACTTTTGATTGTCTGTATATTAATTTTAGAGTAAAAAGCAGTTTGCCCCCTAAACTAAGGGTCGATTTGCACTTTACCCCCCAAACAAAAAAAATTTGCACGTTTTTACCTGAACTCGTTAATTCGTTGCACGGTGCCCCCTAAACTCAATTTTCCGGCAATTTTGACCGTAATGTTAAAACATGTGATTTGCACGTGAGATTTTGAGGGGTAAATTCGTCCCTTCACTTGCATTTTAATATTAAATACAAATAGATATTAAAATTAAAAAAAAAAAAAAAAAAAAAAAAAAAAAAAAAAAAAGGGAAAAAGAAGCATTTCATCCATCACCCACCTTCCTTACCAAACCCAATCTATCCCTGTAAAAAAATTCTCAAAAACTAATTTAATAAATTTCCAAAATTTTCCTACTATACAGTATACGCTACCAAAATACTGATCAGAAACAAGAATATAACATACAAAAAAAATCGGAAAAAAATAAAAAAGAAATTCCGACGAAAAACTTACAGCTCTTAGCAAAGATCTCCTATCCCTCTCCCGAGCATTCTTGATTGCCTAAAGCAGCAAACAATTGGTAAGTTTCTAACTCAACTAACATCAGTGACTATACCATTAACCAATTCATAAAAAAAAAAAAAAAAAACCTTAATTTTTTATCAATCTTTCTCGATTTTTCTAGCATTTTGAAAGAAATCGTTTCCAATCAATCTGTTCTTTACAGCGATAAAAAACCCCCCTGTTATTTCCGAATACGGCCTGAATCTACCGCCGACTTCCTGCAATCACACACACACACACAAATCGGAGAAATTAGATATACAGAAATTACAGAGAGGCGAGGTTTTAGTGTGTGTTTTTCGGAAAGAGAGAAGGTGGTCGAAGACTCGATCGGCAAATGGAGGAGGAAAGCGAGACAAGTAATGGCATCGGCGGCCGGCGGGTGACGGAATTTTTTTGCTGGGATGGGTTTGCGATGGCGGTGGCACAGTGGGCGAATGTGTGAAGAAGACAAAATATTTTTTTATTTTTTGTTTTCTTTGTTTTGTTTTTATTTTCTATTTTTTTTGTTTTTTTAAAGAATAATTTATATTTAATATTAAAGATGTAAGTGAATGGACGAATATACCCCTGCAAATGTCACGTGCAAGGCACATGTTTTAACTTTTCGGTCAAAATTGCCGGAAAAATTAGTTCAGGGGGCACCGTGCAACGAATTAATGAGTTCGGGTAAAAACGTGCAAATTTTTTTTGTTTGGGGGGTAAAGTGCAAATCGGCCCTTAGTTTAGGGGGCAAACTGCTTTTTACTCTTAATTTTATATATTTTTTCTTTATACAGTATACGTAAAGGTCTTAAACAAGGCAGTGTCGACTTGCAAGGAAATCCTTGGAAGCAACGATATTAATGATGAGGTTGTAATAGGTGTACCGACTCACTACAATGATAGCCAGCGTAGGACTATTTCCTATGCTATTCGAGGTGCGGGCATGAAGAATGAAAAGATGTGTGCAGCCCCTATTCTTGCGGCCATTGCGTATGGGCTTGAGAATAAGCCAGCAGGGACAGTCATATTCATTTTTCATCTGGGTGCCACAACGTGCACCGCATCATTGATTAGGATTCAAGAAACAATATGCTTAGATGTGTCGGATCGTAAAATAGAAGATTCCGTTTTTGAGGAGGTGGCAGCCGTTGCCGATACTAGGCTAGGAGGCGACTATTTTGACGAGAGAGTGGTCAACCACGTTATTGAGAACCTCAAAAATCATAATGGAGTTGATATATGCGGGAATGAAATGTCACTATCGAGAGTGAAGGCTGCTGTTGAGAAGGCGAAGAGAGCCTTGTCGTTCAGCTGCAAGTCCGAAGTGGTAGTTGACGATGCATTGGATGGCAAGGATTTGCAAATGTATATCACCCGATCAGTGTTCGAGGAGTTGAACGAGAATCTCTTTCTCAAATGTATTGATACGGTGGAAAGTTGCATGGAAGAGGCAAAATTACATAAGAATGACGTTGATGAAGTGGTAGCCATGGGTGGTTCAAGCAGAATCCCCAAGTTACAAGAACTGTTGGCGAACTTCTTCATTGGGAAAAAGCTACGTAACTCAAAACATATTAGTAGTTGTAGTCAGCCACTGAAATCCTGCTTTCCAGCCACTGACAGACCGAGTGTCTTAGCTTTAGTCTTCAACGTGTCGAAGTTGCTTTTATCTTCAGGATAAATCACCACTTCGCCTCTGAATTGATGAAACTGTCTTAGTTGGTCAACAACTCCCAATTCTTCTTCATTTTAAATCGGAATTTTATCATACTTCTTGAAGACATCGATTATGTGAGAAAAAACATCACCACTGCCTTGCGTGCGTTCATGTAATCACGTAGGAGACCGTGCAACATTGACAGCCTCGACGGGGAGAGGTTTCCAATATTTTGCGGATGAAAGCCAGCAAGTGCTCCCCTCCTTACGGTAGCACCATAAGCTACGACTTCGTCTGGGGCTATTGAGTTACGTAGCTCTTTCCCAATGAAGAAGTTCGCCAACAGTTCTTGTAACTTGGGGATTCTACTTGAACCACCCATGACTACCACTTCATCAACGTCATTATTATGTAATTTTGCCTCTTCCATGCAACTGTCCACCGTATCAATACATTTGAGAAAGAGATTCTTGTTCAACTCCTCGAACATTGATCGGGTGATATACATCTGCAAATCCTTGCCATCCAATACACCGTCAACTACCACTTCGGACTTGCAGCTGAACGACAAGGCTCTCTTCGCCTTCTCAACAGCAGTCTTCACTCTCGATAGTGCCCTTTCATTCCTGCATATCTCAACTCCATTATGATTTTTGAGGTTCTGAATACCGTGGTGGACCACTCTCGTCAAAATAGTCCCCTCCTAGCCTAGTATCGGCAACGGCCGCCACCTCCTCAAAAACGGAATCTTCTATTTTACGATCCGACACATCTAAGCATATTGTTTCTTAAATCCTAATCAATGATGCGGTGCAAGTTGTGGCACCCAGATGAAAAATGAATATGACTGTCCCTGCTGGCTTATTCTCAAGCCCATATGCAATAGCTGCAAGAATAGGGGCTGCACACATCTTTACATTCTTCATGCCCGCATCTCGAATAACATCTCGAATAGCATAAGAAATAGTCCTACGCTAGCTATCATTGTAGTGAGTTGGTACACCTATTACAACCTCATCATGAATATCGTCGCTTCCAAGGATTTCCTTGCAAGTCGACACTGACTTGTTTAAGGCCTTTAAGTATACTGTATAAAGAAAAAATATATAAAATTAATATACAGACAATCAAAAGTAATATGATTTAATAAAGCAGTTTTGAGAGAGAAGAAGTATAAAGAATAACTCTACCCACTAAGGATATAGAAGACTCCACAATCATAATTGAAAACCGCATTCCTGAATTCATGCAACATATCCATAAATAACCACTTTTATTGAAAAGTTCCACTTAACTAATAGTATATTAACATATTTTTGCACACACCAGACCATCAAATCAACACCACAATCATAATTGAACTGCATTCCTAAAATCATGCAATTTTCTATACATAAATCACTTTTTATTGGAAAAGTTCCACCAACTAATAGTATATTACCATATTTTTGCACGCATCAGATCATCAAATCAACATTAAAATCAACGTCGCAATCATAATTGAATTGCATTGCTAAATTCATGGCAATTTTCAAATCACGAATAAACTACGCCTATTTTTGCGCGTATCAGAACAACAAAATCTTACCGGCATATGTGGTTGTCGCTTCACCATCGAACGCCGCCGTCGTTCGTTTCCCCTCTTCATTGGCTAAGATTTCGCCACGGTCCCTCTCCCAGATGCCGAAGCACATGTACTTAGATCCTATATCCACTCCGATCGCCGGCAATTGTGACATTTTCGAAGGTTTTTAGTGGAAGAAAGGGTTAGGGGAATATTTTTGCTCTGCACAGTCGAAGTAGTGTTAGGGTTCGAAGAAATGTTGCGGATCGCGTGTTTTCTACGAGTATTTGTTTGTTAGAGATACTTAACCGAATTGGTTTAGTGAAAATGCTGCCAGAACCGGACCGGATCGGACCGGATCGCTCGGTTGAACCGGAAACCGTGTCTAGTCCGGTCCGATTAATCACTCAAAAGTCAAAACCGAGTCAATTTTTCCTCTCTTCCTCCCCCCCCCCTCCGCTTTCGCCGCCAAGAAAATTTATCCAGTCCAAGTTATTCTCTAATTCTCTCACTTTGATTTATCCCGTCCAAGATATTCTCTAATTCTCTCAATTGTCGCGAAATCAATCTCTGGCTATTCGTTCCGATTATTAGCCCAGTACATTTGTTTGTTCGTTGTATTTGGAGCTGTGCAAAAAAGTCCCAACTCCTTTTTCTTGCACACCACATGTTTGTTTAATTGCTTCAATGGCATTCACTTCTTACCTCAAGTGCTACCCATGGGCTCCTCCCCAAAATATGAACCGCCCCCTTCTCCCTCATCAGATTCCAAAACCCGAAAATGCAGCCCCATTCCCACTTTCACGAATTTACGCAAAACAGCCGCCGCCGGCGCTCTCATTTGCCGTATCCTCAGGTACTGCCGGAATTCCACTTTCCCCAGATTTCACACCAAAGCAACTCCTCGACAGAGTTCGTTCTGTTGAGGACGAAACCACTGCCCTTCGCCTTCTCAGATGGGCTAAAAAGCAGCCAAATTTCGTGCCCACTTTGCCTATATATGAAGAAATTCTTCAGAAGCTTGGGAACGTGGGGTCTTTCGACTCACTGAGTCAAGTCTTGGACGATATGAAGCATTCGGAAGTCACGGTTTCCGAAGGTACTTTCTTTATCCTGATCAACTGTTACGCGAAATTCGAATTGTACAATGAAGCCGTTGGTGTACTTCATGTGATGGAAAAGGAATTCGGGGTTCGGCCGGGAACTCACACCTATAACTTTCTGTTGAATGTTCTCGTCGATGGGAACAAGTTGGTACTTGTAGAAACCGTTCATTCGAAAATGCTGAGCGACGGTGTGAAACCGGATGTTTCGACTTTTAACATATTGATAAAGGCCCTATGTAAGGCGCATCAAATAAGACCCGCGATTTTATTAATGGAGGAAATGGCTAACTATGGTTTAGCACCGGATGAGAAGACTTTCACGACGTTAATGCAGGGTTATATCGAGGAAGGTAATTTGGGAGGGGCTTTAAGGGTTAGAGAGCAAATGGTGGCGGCTCAATGCGCATGGAGCAATGTCACGATAAACGTCTTGATAAACGGGTTTTGCAAAGAGGGTAGAGTTGAGGAGGCCTTGATTTTCGTGCAGGAGATGGCTAATGAAGGGTTTTGTCCGGATAAATTCACGTTCAACACTTTGATAAGTGGATTATGCAAAGTTGGGCATGTGAATCATGCTTTAGAGATATTGGATTTGATGCTCCAAGAAGGGTTCGATCCCGATTTGTTCACGTACAATGCCGTGATATCCGGACTCTGTAAAACGGGCGAAGTTAAAGAGGCGATGGAAGTTTTAAGTCAGATGCTTTCGAGGGGTTGTACACCGAATGCCGTCACGTATAATGCGATCATCAACACCTTGTGTAAAGATAACCAAGTGCAAGAAGCTACTGATCTGGCACGTTTTCTGACAAGCAAAGGCGTTCTGCCCGATGTGTCGACATTTAATTCTCTCATACAGGGTTTGTGTTTGAGTAGCAACTTTAGCATTGCGATGGATTTATTCTTCGAGATGAAGACAAAAGGATGCAAACCGGACGAGTTCACTTACAACATACTAATCGACTGCCTCTGCACAAAAGGCAAGCTCGATGAAGCACTGAGACTCTTGAAGGACATGGAATCGAGTGGGTGCGCAAGAAGTGTAATAACTTATAATACGCTTATTGACGGATTCTGCAAAATCAAGAAAATCGAAGAAGCGGAGGAGATATTCGATCAGATGGAAGTGCAAGGTGTGTCGAGAAACCTAGTCACGTACAACACTCTTATAGATGGTCTATCCAAGTGCAAGAGGGTCGACGAAGCTGCTCAGCTAATGGACCAGATGTTAATGGAAGGACTAAAACCCGATAAATTCACTTACAATTCACTCCTTTCGTACTTCTGCAGAACAGGGGACATTAAAAAGGCAGCGGATATCGTTCAGACAATGACCACAAACGGGTGCGAACCGGACGTTGTGACATACGGTACCTTAATTCAGGGTCTCTGTAAAGCTGGAAGGACCGAAATAGCCTCGAGGCTTTTGAGGAGTATACAGATGAAGGGAATGGTTTTGACTCCACGCGCTTACAACCCCGTTTTGCAGGCACTGTTTAAGAGGAAGAGAATTAAAGAAGCGATGAGGCTATTTCGTGAGATGGAGGAGAAGAGCGAAGCTCCCGATGCGGTGTCGTACAAGATTGCCTTTCGTGGGCTTTGCTGCGGCGGAGGCCCGATTGCGGAGGCGGTTGATTTCGCCGTTGAAATGACGGAGAGAGGGTATATTCCGGAAACTTCTACTTTTTATATGCTGGCTGAAGGGCTTTGTGCTTTGGACATGGAGGAAACTCTGGTGAGTCTTGTGGAGAAGGTGATGGTGAAAGCTAGGTTTTCGGATAACGAGGCTGCTATGGTGATGGGGTTTTTGAGAATACGTAAGTTTGAGGATGGGTTGGCTAGTTTCGGCAGGGTTTTGAACAGCCAAAATCCTCAAAAGGGTTACTGGTGATTCCGAAAGTTTGTTTGGGGTTATGTAGCGTGTAGATTATCCGTACTCGGTAGTTTCTTGAATTTTGAAGTTTTTTTAGAGTTTTGAATCTTGATTTTATGGGGGAGGGCAAAGCACGAAAAAACCGATGGAATGGAGACTCGGTTTCTTGAATGATCTTTCCCGTGTGATCGTTCGTTGGGATTGGTCTGGAAAAATCTGAAATTTGCTTTTTTCTCATATGCTCTGTTATTTTGCTTTAAGTTTGATGAGTTATCTTCTAGAGTACAACTTTGAAGTTGCGTAGCTCGGAATTCGTGTTTGATGCAAATTTTCAACTGCTGCCGAAGCTTGTAATAGCGAGTTGTATGAACTGTCTTTCCACTGCGTTACTTAGAGCCTGGTTTCTTTGTTAGAAATTAATCTTGTACTTTGCACTTTACTCTCAATGTAGTGTGTGTATGAGTGTAATGTGTAATGTGTTCCAGTACGAACGAACTTTGATCGAGCCGGATTCGAAATCGGGCTCGAGTGTCTTGATTGTGTTACATATTTTATCTTAGGGTGCATTTGGATGGAGGGATTTGGGGAAGGGATTTCAAATCCATAATAACAAATCCCTCGGACTTGTTTGGATTGAGGGATTTGGAGATGGATTTCAAATCCCCACCCCTCCTTTTTTGTTGATTTTGGAGCAACAGTGATGGATTTCAAATGAATCCAAAATTGGAGTCATTTCAAATCCATTCCCCAAATCAAATTCCTCCCAAAATCCCTCCATCCAAATGGACCCTTATTGTCTCCTCTAATAATCAAGTTCGAGCCGAACTTCTAAACTTATGAAATGACAATTTATGTCCACTTAGTAAATAATTACCTCACGAGTATTTATAGATGCCATAGCAAAATTTACCTATTGGGTTTTTTTTTTGTTTTTTTTTTTTCTTGAAAGAAAATGTTTATGGTTAAAAATTAAAATATAATGATTACAACTTATATATGTATCTTAACAACATTAAAATTCAATTGTATTGTCATTTATCACTACAGAGTCACAGACAACAAGTTAGCGAAAATAAATTAAATAAATTCATTTATCTAATTAATCTGAGTTATATGATTGCAAATCAAGACAAGAAGGTAGAAACAAAAATAAATAAAATATATATTTTACGTTAAAAAAAATATATTATTTTAATTTATTTTATTAAATAATACTCTCGTCTCTCTCTCTTGATATTTTTCTAAAGCCGTCTAAATATGTCTTATATACAGATTCAGAATCTTCGGTATCATCATCAATAAAACTCAGTAACAAACTTTTCCTCGTGTCACCTTCTCACTTCAATCGCGCCGGCTAATCCATTTTTATACCTCTTTGATTTATAAATAATATTTTGTTTGTGTGTGTATATGTGTGTATATATGTGTGTGTTAGTTTGTGAATGATCGGAGTGAAATCAGTGCTCTTCTTCTCCAATGGCTACCGACGAAGAAACGCCACTTGTTGTTGAAGAAATTCCGTCACAGCTCAACCACAAAAAAGACGTTCACATCTTGTGCTGGGCTTTCCTCCTCATTTTCTTAGCATACGGCGCCGTTCAGAATTTGGAAAGCACAATCAACACTGTAATTTTTTAATATTTTTTTTTTCAATTAAGAATTCGGTTCAGCATGAATTTTGAATATCTGATTAAAAATGTTCTGTTCTCCCCTAATTTAATTTTCGCGATTTTAGGAAGGAGATTTGGGCACGATTTCACTGGGGATATTGTATGTATCGTTTGCAATATTTTCACTGGTTGCTTCATTGGTGGTGAAGAAGCTAGGTTCAAAAAATGCCTTGGTTCTGGGTACAACTGGATATTTCCTCTTTACAGCAGCAAATTTGAAGCCCTCTTGGTATATCTTCTTTGTATCTTTGGTTTTGTAATTCAACAATCATTTGGTTGACTTTTGTCTATTTGTTTGGTTTGTGAAATTGCATATATGAACCTAAATCGATTTATCCGTGATTCGTAATTACTTAAATCCTACGAGAATTACGAGTCTATGTTGTGTTCATGAGTTGAATTTCATCAACCATGTGTAGAACTTCCTACTATTGTCTTCAATTGTTTCGTATTTTCAGCGATTTCCACGACAAATAATTTACCTTAATTTTTGTTCTTCGTGGTTTAATGATGTGTTTCTAATTCGCTTTTGAAGGTATACTATGGTGCCAGCTTCCGTATACCTAGGATTTGCAGCTTCAATAATATGGGTTGCACAGGTTTAACACATTTCTCACTCTTTCAATGGTTTAGGTTCTGATTTTAATCGGCTGTATTTTTTCACTAACCTTCACCGTTTTTTGTCAGGGTACATATCTCACTTCGGCTGCTCATAGTCATGCATATGATTACAAATTGCATGAAGGAACGGTTATTGGGAAATTCAACGGAGAGTTTTGGGGGATGTTTGCAAGTCATCAGGTGCTTTATTTACATTTCTGTTTAAAAAAAATTAGCTCTTAGTTCTTGATATTTGTAAATAACCGTAACATTGTTCCTCTACTGTAAATCTGCAGCTTGTTGGCAATCTTATCACTCTTGCTATGCTAAGAGATGAAGAGGTATGAATTCACATTAGTTTAAAGCTTCCCCGTATATTTCATCCACACTTACTGTACTGGGGAAGAAAAGATTTGTTACGACTATTGTTATATAGGTTACCCTCTAAGGAAAGGAATCATATAAGTAATTATATTCTATTTTGCCTTATATTTTACGAGTTATTTGGCGAGGCATTTTTCGTTGACATGAGTATCAAGAAACTTTCATGTTGAGCAAATAAAATATTCCGATGAGTTTGCTAGATTTTGTATATAACCATGATCGTATATTAGCAGGATAAACTATTAATTGTATTTTATATGGCTATATAAAATTGCAGGGGGGAAGAACTAGTGGCACGACTTTACTTCTCATTGTGTTTCTCTGTAGCATGACTGTAGGTATAGTTCTTATGTGCTTCTTGAGTAAGAGAAACGGTAAAGAAGATGCTCTGCAAGATTCCCCTGTCACTTTTTCATCTTCAGTGGGGTCCTTGTTAAACTCGATGTCGAATTTATTGCTCGACATACGAATCCTTTTGGTCATCCCACTCATTGCATATTCGGGTTTACAGCAAGCATTTGTGTGGTAAATAAACCAGAATAATTATTATTTAATCCAAAGTCACACTTTATAAATCTCTTAAGTCTTGATATTTATGTTAGTTTAAATGTTTCCATTTCAGGGCTGAATATACTAAAGAAATTGTGAAGCCTACACTTGGAGAACGTGGTGTTGGTGGTGCAATGGCTGTTTACGGAGTTTTTGACGCTATTGTAAGTGGCCAATCAGAAATAACCTCTACTGATTAAATTATGATAAATAAATAAAAATCTTTAAATTATTTCATGGATTAATAATAAATTACATTTATGATTTAATATGAAATAATGATTGTGATTTTAAAAAATTCATTTTTCCATTACATAATGTAGATGTTAGAATCATCTTTAGTTGCTACTAAATAAATTAATTTATTTATTTTGTGATATTATTTGAACGTTTTGTCAGAGTTCACTTATTGCTGGTCGGCTTACTTCGGGTATATCATCAATCACGATAATAGTCTCGGGTGGAGCTTTAATCCAGCTCATCGTGCTCCTTTGGCTTCTGCTTGGCTACAGGTTTTTACTCGCATCAAATTTCCATAATTTCGAGGATTATGAATTTCAGAGAGATACATATATTTTGCGATGAATTTCAAATATATATATATATATATATATATATATATATATATATATATATATATATATATATATATATATAATGTGTGTTTGATTTGATACTTTTGTGTTTTATTTTGTAGCGTGAGTGGTGGAATTCTCGGTACATTGCTCCCACTTCTCATAGGGGCCTTGTGGGGTATTGGCGATGGAGTTCTCAACACGCAGCTCTGTGCATTGCTTGGACTTCTGTTTAAACACGATCTGGTACTAAGTTTCTCTATCTTCTGTTAATCACTTTGATTCTTGAAACATCTCTAGAAAATCGACTTGTATGTTTGATGCACTACTTGCAGACCGTTGTAAAATTATATTTTTTTAATCGCTATCGTAATTTGACTTCATGGGTTTTCACTATAATCTCCTCTTAAAAAGAATGGTGCAACTTGACTAAAAAAAGTCGAAATAGATTTCAAATTCACCACAATAACTCAAAAATTAGTCCGAGAATCAAGTATTAGGGATTTGAAATTCCATTTTTGGATCCTATCCATCCAAACAACTTCAATGAATTTGAAATCCTTGTGGTTCGAGCTAGTACAATTTTGTGTGTTCGTAATCGGATGCTTGAAAGTTTAAATATGATATTATATAACTTTTGTTATTGTTTTGCAGGAAGGAGCATTTGCACAGCTTAAGCTATGGCAAAGTGTGTCAATAGCAGTTGTATTTTTCATCAGTACTTCTATATCGTTGCAAACGATGGTTGTGACCATGCTCGTGGCTCTCTGCATCTCGTTGGCTGCGTTTCTTTTTCTCACACTCAAGGTGGAGAAAGCGTTTTCTTACCGCTCTGCTTGAGTTTCACAAGGTCAATTTCTTTTACAATATTCTTTCTAAATTTGTGCTTGTAGGAATATTCCGGTGTGGTGTTAATTCCCCTAAATATTTGTAAATCATGCATACCTTGTTTGTTTGTGCGTGCATGTTCTCTATTGTACATAATTCGATCATTGTGTTTGTTTGTTTGTGCGTGCATGTCCTCCATTGTACATAATTCGATCATTGTGTTTTTTCTCAAATTCGGGAATAGAACCCGCGACCTAACACTACACTTCCGTCACCCTGACACCACTCGGGCAATGCCCTTTCAGTAAATTGATCGTTGTATTTGGAACAGATGAAGTTCGACTTGTTTCTTCGTAATCGGGAAATTACAGTTTATGTCCCTCAAGTTTGCACTAATTTCATATATGGTCCCTAATGTTCACAAATAACACATTTGGTCCCTTATGTTTCAACAATGTAATACTTTTGTTCATTTCCGTGAATTTACCGTTAGTTTGTCAGTTAAGACTTAAAACAGTGATCAGCACATGCTTGATTCCATTAGATACTAACGGAGCTGACCACAAACGGGTGCGAACCGGACGTTGTGACATACGGTACCTTAATTCAGGGTCTCTGTAAAGCTGGAAGGACCGAAATAGCCTCGAGGCTTTTGAGGAGTATACAGATGAAGGGAATGGTTTTGACTCCACGCGCTTACAACCCCGTTTTGCAGGCACTGTTTAAGAGGAAGAGAATTAAAGAAGCGATGAGGCTATTTCGTGAGATGGAGGAGAAGAGCAATTTAAATATATAAATTTGTTTTTAAATAAAGAAAATAAAATAGTGAAATTAACCCACTCGCCCACTACTCGCTGCATTTCCCCTCACTCGCCACGTGTCGTACTATAAACTCTCCAATTTCTTCGAACTAACACACGAAACATTTTGCATACATATTAAGGAGTCAGTCATCTAACTCAACTAATAAAAAAACAATTAATTCTTTAATTCGAAATTAGTTGAGATTATTAGGTCCATCAAATCTCTTTAAAACCCACATGTTTATTTATTTCTCATTCAAATAATAATTCATTAAAATAAATAAAAAAATAAGAAAACATGAGTACTTTCTGCAACTCGATACTGCTTCAATGGCTGCCTCATCCGAGGGGGACTCTGCTACTGTACGCCGCCACGTGGACAACCATCTTAACAGTAACGGTGGCATTGGCGTCGTTCATTCCAGAGCTGGCTTTTTTTTCGGCCATGGCCCCTTCTTCTTCTCTATCTGAGGCGTGCAGTGAAGCTGGCGCCGCTAGGTTGCCGTTGGATATTCCGTCGGAGAATCTTTGCTTTCCGTCTCGGCTTTTTAAACGATCCGGATTGGATTTTGTTGTGCCGCCGGTTTTTGCAGCGGTGGTCGTCGCCGGTTCGGCCTGTGTGGTTCGAGCTATGGGCTTATGGGAAGTTGAAGATGATGGGCAGTTCTAATATGATCATTTTGAACTACAAATTTATTTATTATTTATTTTTTGTCGATTTTGTATTTTATTATTAAGAACTTAATGATGGTAAAAATAAAATTAAAAAATAATAAATTAAATAAAAAGATTTAAAATATTCAACACTGTCTCAATCTTAAGCAGAAATACATGAAAACAAAGAAAATATATAAATAAAATAAAATGCAAGAAAATTCAAGAGTTTTGAGCTGCATTAACCAACTTGTTGCTGAATTCCCACAGTTTCTTGGCCAATACTTCGTCCCTCGCCATTCTACTCGGCTTTGATTCGTTACAGTCCGAAAAATATTTACCCGAAACACCTTTCAAACTCGGGTGAACCGCAACGTAACAAGTTGTCGCTGCTCCCTGAAAATCAATCATCGAACTTTAGCTCGTTCAGACATTTTATCGAACGAGTGCAGGGCGGTGCTATATATAAATTTACCTGAGGGACATTCTTCCATAGTATACAACTGCTGAAGAACTTCAACATTTCTGCAAACAAAATTTTGATGAGCACAATACGATATATCTAAGAACGATAATCGAAGCGACGGCCTATTGTACTACTTACTCATGAAAAAACCAGTATGTTTGAAGAGATTTGTCATTATTAACCCTGGATGCACCGCGTTTGCAGTAATATTTACTCCCTCAGCCTGCTTAATTAATTCGTGACATCATTTTTTTTAAATAAATAAATATATATAAAAGTACTAATATAATGATCGTTTCATCCAAAAACTTAAATTATTTTTTTTTACGACAAAATAATATAATTTTTGCCTCGACTCATTTCAAAATTATTCACCTACAATACCTTAAGGTGTCTCGAGAGCTCGTTCGCATGTAATATGTTGGCTAATTTGGATTGGCCGTATGCCCTCTTGTCGTCGTATCTTTATTTACATAAGAAAACAATGACACATAAAATTCAGTTATTAATTATAATTGGTAGCTTTTACTATGATCAGACGAACATAAATTTAAATAAGGAACGATTAAGTACCGGCTTTTATCGTTGATCTTTTCAAACCTAATCCCTCTCTTGTAAGGGTGAATGTGAGCTACTGACGATAGATTTACAATTCTACCCTCGACGCCGGTGCATTTTGCCGTCTCTTTCATCTTGTCGAGGAGAAGATTCGTCAAGTAGAAGTGTCCTGATATCAAAATTAAGCAAACTCACAATGTAAGAAAATGGTTTTAGAATTTCCAAAAAAAAAAAAAAAATTAATTATGTATTTATACCAAGATGATTTGTAGCAAATTGAATCTCAATCCCATCTTCAGAGAGCTGATAGGGGCAGAACATTATACCAGCATTGTTTCTATTAAATAAAAATAAACAAAATAAAATCGATTATCGTTAATTAAGGCAAAAAAAATAGTATTTATTTTGTTGAAAGAGAGTGAATTTAATCATTACATCAAGATGTTGAGAGGAAGGTTAAGAGCGATGAAGTTATCGGCGAAGGCCTTGACGGATTTAAGGGAAGACAAGTCGAGTTTAAGGACATCAACACGAGCATTTTCGCTGTCCTTGAGAATAAGTTGTTTTGCTTGATTTGCAGCTTCCATATTTCTTGCAGCAATAATAACATGTGCATTCCTTGATGCTAGAACTCTTGTTGTTTCCAAGCCTATCCCACTTGCACCCCCTATACAATCGAACAATTCGTTTCTATTTTTTTTTTTTTTATTTACGGTTTCGTAAATGCCACACTCGGTCGCTAATGAGTAGTTATTTGTACAAATCTATGATGCAGAATCACCAGGTGTTTTTTCACCGGGTGTAGCAGTTCATAGACCGAAATTATATATATATATATATATATATATATATATATATATATATATATATATATATATATATATATATATATTTCAGTATTAATTAGCATTTATTACAAACCTTTGGTCCCCAAATACTTTATTCCAATTATTCATCAATATCCTCTAAAAAAACATAATGAAAATTGACAAATCTTGTACCAATTAAAGCCAGAAATTGCCAGCCACAATTATATTGTTCAACTATAATAAAAAAAATATATATATATCGAAAGTGATTTCCCATCAACCTGCTTTTAATTGCATCCTTTACAAATATCTTCTCTGTTTGAATTCCACTGAAAATCTTACGTACAATACTTATAAACACAACATATAAATGAAATAATGCTCCAATCCTTAAATTAAAGATGACGATGATATATATATATATATATATATATATATATATATATATATATGCGTGTGTGTGTGTGTCAGAAAGAGACAAACATCATTTCTAGGTAGAGAAGTAACCCTATATTTCATTAAAATAGCCACCAAACACAACACACCCCACTGTAATACCTCTGCATGCAAAGTATGTATTATGTATATATATATATATATATATATATATATATATATATATATATATATAACTAACCAGTAATAATGGCAGTGAGATTAGCAGCATCAATCCCTTGAGTGACATGTTCAGCAGTTGAAGCTGATCCAAAACCACTGGGCCCTCTTATTCCTGATATTAACCTAAACATTTTTTAGTTTTCTTATTTATATATATATATATATATCCTTCTTTTCTGTTTCAAATCTCACCAGAAACAGCTCTTATATATATATATATATATATGTGCGTGTGTGTGTGTGTGTGAAACAAAGAAAGGGGTATATTTATTGAGTTAGGAGGGGAGGTTATAAAGGGGAACTAGTGGAGAATGAAAGGGGAAAGAGAAAAATCAACTATGTAGGTATTAATTAATTAATGGGGAGAGAAGAACAAACGCAAAAGGAAGTATGAGTATGTAACATATATAGTATATATATATATAAAGCAGTTGATCAACTAAGGCGGTGTTTGTAAAAACTTTTACAAATAGATTATGAGCTTTTTTTTGCTCTTATAATCATTTTGTAAAATCAGCTTGTGTTTTAAGCTATAATTTGAAAAGCACACACATGAACCTGTTTTTTCTGTTTAAGTTGATTTTTCGGTTTGCTTGTATTGCATGCAAACAGCCTCAACTTTTACAAATAAACACTTAATTAAGTTCAAATTAACTCGGAGTCACTAACTTGTACTTATAAATAAGATCGCGCAAATACCACCTAAAAGTAATAAATGCAAAGGAAAGGGATTATTATATTACACTAAGAAAGGAATTTATAATTTATGGTGTTAGGTTGATTTTTAGGTAGCGTGAAAATTGATTTATGGGTCTGGCTGTAATTAATATATATAGCTCCACCCACTCACCAACCCTCTCATCAATTATTCATTTTTATTTTATTTTCAAATATATAAATTTGGAGTATACAAATGCGTATTTTATTAATTATTAATATATAGATAGGTTTATTATTATACATGGCTTTAGAATTCTTGCATAAACTGGGGCACATCTTTTTAGGTATACATTATCTAAATTCACAGTATATACGTGAAAATACAGATAACATGGATTACAATTTACAACCTCAATAGTTGTGCACGTGCTTCATTAATTCAATTTTCTTTTATATCTCAATTATATTTATATATAAATTGATGATGCTAGAGTTAAATCACCTTAGAGAGCTGAAGTAGGATGAGCTTGAAAAGCAGAGTGAATCACCGGCTCACGAGCAGAGCCGGCCCTGGCCCAGGGCGAGCAGGCCCCAGGCCCAGGGCCCACTTTTCAATAGGGCCCAAAAAATATATATTTTTTGTTATTATTTTATAATTATTTTTATTTTCTCTTCTTCCTACCCCTATTCTCTTCATCTCTTAATTTTTTAACCTCCATTTTTCACATTAATTTTTTTGACCCAATCCATCTTGTCATTTATCTCTCTCTATTTTTTTCTTTCCACCCAACGTCCTTTGTCCTCTTACCATTTCTCTCTCATTTACATTGTTTTACTCTAATTTAATTATTCTTGCACTCCTATATATTTTTCTTAGTTTCTACCGTTTAAACTTAGTTGTTTTCTCTATGATGTTGGTGTTTTTATTTCACAAATTTAAATTATTTTATTTTTGTTAAATTAAAAAACTTTTTTCTAATAGCCATTTTTATTTAATATATTCATATCTTACACACACACACACACACACACATATATATATATATATATATATATATATATATATATATATATATATATACATTTAAAAAAAAATGGAATTTAGGGCCTCGATTTTAAGTCTTGCTCAGGGCCTCCAATCACCCAGGACCAGCCCTGCTCACGAGCTTGATGACCTTGAGATACCTGCGATCACAGAATAGTTTTATGCACTACTTTAATGAAAACGGCTATTTATTAATTGTTAGGAATACCTTTCAAGTTTAATTTTTTTTCATGACTGAAACTATTTTTAGATGAACAGTTTTTGACTACTTATTGATAAACATCTTATATACTATATATTTTTAGTGTAAAATATATTTAAAAATGCTTTTGACATTTCAACGATTTATAGTGAAAACTGTGTGCTAGTACGATATTTTTTATGATTATTCTTGACGATTAATAAATTAGTGAAATATTGTTTTGATGAATTAATTCCTTGACTGCAATTGTATAAAAAACATGAAAATAAAATTTGAAATCAAACAATTTTTTGAGGAAATATTGCTCGAGAATGTCTTTATATAAATTTGTCAAATAATTAAATAAAAATTATTTTCATTTTCAAATTATTTATTTGGACTATAAGACTGTCCAGCCCATGTTCATATAGCCCATACATTGGGGCTTTTAGTGAAATTTACAGATGGAAGCCGGGCCCAAATAACAATAATAATAATTATTAATTAATTAATTAATCACAGGTGGAAAATGATATGAATTTGTATGTAACTACAGATTTGCCCCCAATAATATTTATTTCTGACAACCACACCCAATTGTACACCAGCCGTTACCCACCTCAAACATATTTTGACGGTGTCGGCCCACTCTCTCTCTCTCTCTCTCTCTAATTCTCCACATGCTTTCATCTCTTCAGAAATCACAAATGCGATACATGATCTAATCACTGTTTTCTCAAAATCCCCCCAGATCCGATCCAAACCCGTACCCACCGACATTCGCACCGTATCCGGATCCCGATCGAAATCCGATCCGATGGCTGCTTCGCGCCGGCTCCGGGAGCTCCAATCGCAGGCGGGCAACAAGGTCTGCGTCGATTGCTCCCAAAAGAACCCCCAATGGGCATCCGTATCGTACGGCGTCTTCATGTGCCTCGAGTGCTCCGGCAAGCACCGCGGCCTCGGCGTCCACATCTCCTTCGTCCGATCCGTAACCATGGATTCCTGGTCCGAGATCCAGCTGAAGAAAATGGAGCTCGGCGGGAACGAAAAGTTCAATAATTTCATTTCGCAGTACGGAATCCCTAAGGAAACCGACATTGTATCGAAATACAACACGAAGGCCGCGTCGGTTTATCGCGACCGCATTCAATCGCTCGCCGAGGGCAAACCGTGGCGGGATCCTCCCGTCGAGAAGGAAACCCTAAGATCGAGCAATAATGTGGGTAATAGTTATAGCAGTAAGCCCCCTCTGAGCAGCGGCGGCGGCGGCAGGAACGGAAATTCAGGGAGCAATTCGGGTTGGGATAATTGGGACAGTTTCGATGATGGAGGCTATACTGGAAATAATGCCGGTAACAATAACAACCTTAGGAGGAACAATACCACCGGAGAGCTTAGGAGTTCCGGTGGTGGTGGTGGAATTGCACCGTCGCGGTCCAGATCCACTGAGGATATTCATTCACGGTCTCAGTATGAAGAATCTGCGGCTAATAAAGAGGGCTTCTTTGCGAGGAAGATGGCGGAGAATGAGTCGCGCCCAGAGGGCCTTCCCCCTTCTCAAGGTGGAAAGTATGTTGGATTTGGATCATCTCCCTCGCCGATTCCGAGGAATAATTCGGAGGGGGATGTTCTTTCGGTTGTTAGTCAGGTTGATCTGCATTTAACGTTCATGTTTTTGTATTCAATTTACCTTTGACTGCAGTGGTAATTGATGTGTGTGTGTGTGTGTAATTGTTTTGCATATTCAGGGATTTGGTAAGTTATCTATGGTGGCTGCATCGGCCGCAAGTGTTGTTCAAGCTGGGACTAAGGAGCTCACTTCCAAGGTAAGTTTGGTTTCTGTTTGTTTCCTGTCTTTTGATATAAATGGTATGATTCTACTTTGGGTAATATAGGTTATGCAGTATTTGTGTTGAAGGATAAAGTTGGTGATTTAAATGTGCATTTTATGTTTTTTTTTTCCGTTGTCTATTGCAACAATGTGCTACACTTTGTTTTGGCCGGATGTGCACTATTATGTGTAAATTGTATGTCGAAAATTGTTCTTATCTAAAGAATCATGCAGCGGGGGTGAGGACAAGCACTGCAAAGACAAATACTGTGTAAAGTTTTGATGCTTTAAGATTAGCACCAGCAATTTTATGAGTTTCAAGTGGTGATTCTGTAACTAGAGAACTGTAATTACACATCTATCACAAACCATTTTCCCTCAACCCTGGTGCTTAAAATTTGCTCGTTCCAAGATGTTTAATAAAAAGTGTTCGCAGATGTAATATATCCTCTCCAGAATTACGTAGGTTTAGGATTCTTATATATTTAGCTGAGCTTCTCTATCTTTATTTTTATTCCCCAGTCCCCACCTATTGATATGCCATTTTTGTGCTTCAAATTGTGCTTCTTTCTCATTTTGGACTTAATATGATTGGGGGCAAATAGTTGATAAATAATCCATCAAGTCTTGTTTGTACGTCTCTCTAGTTTCTCCTTTGTTATCTGCATGCTGTGTAAATGTTACTCCAGAAATTCTTTTATCTATACAGCTACAGCCCCAAGCACTAGATATGGATAGGTCAGTCAGTAGGTCTGATAATCATTCCTCAAGCAAGATATCATAAGCATCTTTTGTGGCCTAAACTCACAATTGGAGTGCACAAAATGATTCAATTCAAAGCTTGTGCCACCATCCTGTATTTATTTTCAGTTGCACAATTTTTGAAATAGAAGTGTAAACTTTGAACATATGTACTCGACATGAAAACTTCAAGAATTAGTCAAACCAATAGCAACCCAAAACCCATTTGGCTCTTCTACTATAATGTTAAAGAAATTTGATACAAACCGATCGAAGCATTTAAATCAAGATTACCTAGTGATTGTCATTAAACTCAATATCTCTCTTGTTCAGGTGAGAGAAGGTGGCTACGACCACAAGGTGAACGAAACTGTCAACGTTGTGACCACAAAGACTTCAGAAATCGGGCAAAAGACATGGGGTCTTATGAGAGGTGTGATGGCTTTAGCTTCTCAGAAAGTAGAGGAGTTCACAAAAGAAGGAGGCTCTGCTTGGCCTCGAAAAGAAAGTGAATCCAATGGTTATTATCAGGATTTCAATCACGATTCTTCTAAAGGTTCGATAAATACTTCTACTGGAGCACAATCTTCGACAGACAAGCAATTTAGCTCCAATTCTTGGGATGATTGGGAAACAAAAGACAGCAAGAAAGAAGAACAATCGAAGGGGACAAAACCCCATAATGGAGATAGCTGGGCTGGCTGGGATGATGGTAAAGACGATGGATTCGATAGTTTTTATCAGAGTGCATCTGATCATAAGACGAAAGATCATAACGGAAAATCAGATTCCAACTGGGCTGATGGAGGATTCCTCTGAGGTTTTTTTTTTTTTTTTTTTTTGCATGTCTTGTTCCTATGCTGTTTCGAGATTTTTATTATTTTTTCCCCTTTGCAGTTTTACTTAAAGTAGAAACTCAATGTGAAGGGATTGTTTTTCATGAAAATGGTAGATAAATTAATGTAAAATTGCTTGTACTATGCCACCGGGAAATTGCCGGTGAAAGACCACATCCACAGGGATTGCCTTTTCGTGTTGTGAAACTTTTTTTTTTTTTTTTGTGGGTATTTTTAAGATTTTAAATAGAGATTGTATTCGAATTTGTAATTGCTTTATCTACATTTTGATGTTTTACTTATTTTTTCCCTTTTAAATTCCACTTTATTGTTGTTTGGTGTTTACTTCCCTGTGATTCTGTTGGGCACCCGTTTGGACGAAACCAAAGACATACGTCATCTATAAAAGATTAGGGTCCATTTGGATGGAGGGATTTGGGGAGGGATTTGATTTGGGGAATGGATTTGAAATGACTCCAATTTTGGAGTCATTTGAAATCCACCACTATTGCTCCAAAAACAACTAAAAAGGAGGGGTGGGGATTTGAAATCCATCTCCAAATCCCTCAATCCAAACAAGTCCAAGGGATTTATTATTATGGATTTGAAATCCCTCCCCCAAATCCCTCCATCCAAATGCACCCTCAATCTCATACTGATTTGAACACTTTCGCCGTGTTACAAAAACTCACCCACTCACTGAAGAACGGTGAAGAACAGAATCAATCAAAAGACTCTCAATGCATGTGTGTTGGTCTCTCAATCTCTCAATGTCTTGATTATAAAGATGGAAAAGTAAGGGCGAGGCGAGGAAAGAGAGACCAAAGAGCAGATTATGGCTAAGAAATGAGGCGGAAGAGCTTTTTTGTCCATCAAGTGAATGAACATGATCAAAAGCTGATCAGGCGGTTCCGATCGAAGTTCGAGAGAGGACCATAAGTCAGACGGACGGACTGTGTAAGTGGGCTAATTTGTTTAGTTGGACAACCTCATGTAAAGATGGATTAATTGGGCTAAATCAAGAATTATTTATTGAGCCCAAAATCCAACACATTGCAGCCTTCAGTGTGGAACAATCAATGTAAGTGTGATCAAAATGTACTATGATTTTGGATCAAGTTTAATCTTTTTCTCTGTTTGTTCCAAAATTTTGATGTATATGAAATTTCAAATTTAAAAAAAAAAAGAAAACGTTATAAATGGCTTCGCCCGGGCTCGAACCGGAGACCTTCAGTGTGTTAGACTGACGTGATAACCAACTACACCACGAAACCTCATTGGTAAAACATTTCTTAAAAATATATATCTTAAATATACTTGATGGAAAGCGTACAAAACCTTCAGCCTTCTTGCTGTTATTCTTCATAAACCCCTCTTCACTTCATCGAAAGCTCGAAACCACATTTCTCAGTGAAAATGGCGAATCTGGACATGACTCTGGATGATATGATAAAAAAGAACAAATCTTCTCGGGCCGGGCCCCGAACTTCCGGTCCAGGTCCCACCCGCCGCCTTCCTAACCGCTCCGCCAGCGCCGCCACTCCATATTCAACCACCACGGTAAGATTCTAATTTTTTTTTTTAGTAATTTCTATTTTATTGATCGTTGTAATATTGATTCTGATGCTGGTTTTGGAATTTCACAGTCTCGAGCACCGGTGGCTCAGTGGAACCACGATACTTTCGCGGCGGAGCCGGCATTTCCCGTTGTAGGTGGAGCTAGGGTTTCAGCGATTGAAACCGGGACTAAGCTCCTTGTTTCCAATTTGCATTTTGGTGTCTCCGATGAGGACATTAAGGTAATTTTTCAGGATGATATCTACTATCTTTGAAATGTAACGATAGAAATTGTTATTCCAATTTTAGGGCTTGAAATTTGGGGCAATGCAAATTGTTATAATTAATACACACGCACAAATGCTTTTTGAGTGTTGGGTTATATTGAAATTCAGTAGTTCTAAGAAACGATATTACGTTTGAATTTCTTAAACTTGATTAACAAATAACAAATCAGTCCCAAGATTTAACTTCTTGAATTGAATATTATCATCTTGATGCTTTCATATGATGCTTAGCAATGAAATTCTATAAAGTTCCGTTCGTATTATGTCGTATGAGAAATCGTTCCGTCTTTGTCCCACCATTGCAGAGTAAATACGTAAGTACATAATGAAGGGGGGAATTTACCGAGCCGACATTTGTTTTCTTGTTTTCAAGAGTGATTGACAGCTTACATTGATCAAACGAACAAGAACTTCCCTATGTGGAAAACAAATTCAGTTTTTCAATTAGCGTATAATTTAATACTCCACTTGTTGTGAAATCTATACAGGAGATATTCTCGGGTGTTGGTGATCTGAAAAGTTGTTCGGTTCACTATGATAGGGTTGGAAGATCAGAGGTATAGCAATTTTTCCCTAAGACGTGCTAGTTGACGACATTTTTTGTTACTACCTAAGTCGATTTTTTCCTTTTTTTTTCTTCTCTCCAGGGAACTGCTGAAGTAGTGTTTTTTCGCCGTAGAGATGCAGAGGCTGCCATAAAGAGATACAACAATGTCCAATTGGATGGAAAGCCTATGAGGATTGAGATTATAGGGTTGAACATGGCAATGCCTCCTCTTCTCCCTCTCCCTCTCCCTACACCTTCACATGGCAGGTATTTGAATAACATGGCTTTTATCTTTCCCTCTCTCCCGACTCCCCATCTCCACCAAAAAATAAATAAATAATAATAATAGTTAATTAGTTTAGAGTATCATCTAAATGACAAGGAGTAACTAGTTTTGCGGTTCATATTATTGGCCAAAGTTGACATGCGCGCTCTCTAACGTGATGTTTTCCTCGATTTTCTGTCATATACATATGTAGATTCAATCATAAAGGGATGAGCTCTTTGTCTTTAAAACCTAATCCTCTTATCAGGAGGATAATTTTTATTGTTCTGTTTCTTTTCAAGATATCGCATCTTGCACTTTTTACAATTTTGATATTGGTTAATGACTCCTTGATTCTCGAGGAGATGAAATGTCTAACGAGTCTTACTCCTTAAAGAGGAATTGTTGGAATTTGTGAAAGCATTTGAATACTTAAATGTTTTCCTTGCTCTGTAACTCCTAGAATGTATTCTCCTCTCTTATTCTCTATGCTATGTTATATACTTCGACTTATCCTAAGTGCTGATATTACAATGCGTGTGTGTAATTTGTTCGGCAAATACCATCTTACTTGAATGTATCGTTTGTTCCTTTCCACTTTATTATTCCGATATTGTATCTAATATCTGTAAGACATAATTATCAGGGTCTAATATCCAATGTGATTTATTACACAATTCGGATTGCAGTACCTTTTATAATTTTATTTTTGCTTGACAATTTCCATTTTTCTTTAAATCTAAGACAACAAGTAATTTATCTGTCGATTCCTTGATGTGCCTTGTGGAATCTAATAGTTACTTTTGTTTTTCTATTTGTTAACGTGAAAGGAATGTTCCGTTTCAAGCAAGTGGTAGTGCTGTAAGACGACCACAGGGCGGTGCTCGAGGAATGAGGAAGGTTAATGGAGTTGGTAGAGGGCGCGCTGAAAAAATATCGGCAGAAGATTTGGATGCTGATTTGGACAAGTATCTTGCTAAAGCAAAGGAAACAAACTAGAGATGTATTCGGAGAAGTTCGACGCAGTGATATTCTTGATTTGGTAGTGTGAAAAGCGAAACAATTATCTTTTTGTAGAGAGGATTTGACTGTAGAAACACTGAAAGCAATGCATGATCTTTAGAATTGTTTTCCAGTATGTTGTTGCACTTGAAAATGAAGAGCAAATTAATTAGTATGAAATTGGTATTAATTAGAGTATTATTGTGTTCATAAATACAGGGTTTTCCTGCATTGTGTCAGCCATTAACATTTGTTCTGCACTGAGATTGGAGCTTTAGGCAGAAGTGTACAGATTAAATCGGGGAGTTAGTCGGTAAATCCGGGGCGGGTTAAATTGCCATCCAGTAGTGATGGAAATTTGGATTGTATCCTTTGATCATTTTATATATTATTCTACCAAAATAAATTTAATTTTCTCTGAGATTTAATTTAATAATATATTGTTAAATTATTTGGGAAGAGTGAAGACTAAAATATATTTTCAACCAATTATTTTTCATGAATTAATTCTTTTATTTGTGATGTTTATTGTTTGAAATAATTTATGAATAGTATGTTTAAAGATCGAAAAAGAGTAACTGATGTATCGAATTTTATAATAACAATAATATAAAATAAAAATATGATGCAAAACCACAATTTCATTAATTTGAAAAGAGTGAATAATTATTAATTAATTTGTTTATTCAGCCCAGCCCATTATTATGGCGTGGCCGGGCAAGACAAGTGGGACATGTCTATTTTGCCGCTTCCCAGTTGAAATTTTGGAATGAAATTTTCCCCCTCTTTCCTTCTCACAGTGAGAAAGCACAATCCGCACCATCTTAAAATCTACACACTAGGCACCGTCGATCTACTCCTTATCAACGGTCCAAAACCACCAAACAAACATCACGCGGATCTTCATCTGGAACCGTCACACACATCTTAAATCCAACGGCCTACATATACTTTCCACCCTTGACGTCTCCTATATAAACCCCGCTCCCCCAACCACATCACATCCACTACTTGCAGAATAACTTCAAATAGTTTCTCTCTCTAGAATACAATTTTCAGTTAGCGGAAAATGTCAGGTCGTGGCAAAGGAGGCAAGGGTTTGGGAAAGGGCGGAGCAAAACGACACCGTAAGGTCCTGAGGGATAATATCCAGGGAATCACCAAGCCAGCCATCCGTCGTTTGGCTCGTAGGGGTGGAGTCAAGCGTATCAGCGGGCTTATCTACGAGGAGACACGTGGCGTCCTGAAGATATTTTTGGAGAATGTTATCCGTGACGCCGTCACATACACCGAGCACGCTCGCCGGAAAACCGTGACCGCCATGGATGTGGTTTATGCGCTGAAGAGGCAGGGACGTACTCTCTACGGATTCGGCGGTTGATTTTCTAGGGTTTTGGTGTAAAATACACGCTGTAGTTGGATTAGGTTCTTTTTAATTCCGATTGATGAAGATTTTGTTGTTTAATTTTAGTGTAGTTATCGTCGTTTGTTCTGATCTTTCTCGGATCGGATTTCTCTTTGTTGAATTGAATGAAATGAAATTGTTGAATTGCTGTTTGCCATTATTTCAATTTCGTACACGCACTCAATTTTCCTTGGTGATTTGGTAACTGGCAACAAATTTTCTAGCCGATTTGTTAATTGGAATAATTATTATTTGAAGATTCATTGCTAATAGCGGAAAATAAGATTTACCTTCGAATATCTGCAGAATTAGGGTTTGGATCTGCAAAATAAGATAAATTGCTTGAGTTCTGCTGTTTCTGCAAATTGCTAATATCCATATCAGAAAATGATTTGAGGATCAGGTATTGGGCTTCTTCATCAACTCGAACCCGAGGTCAGTTTTTTCTTCGAATCTTACAAAATTGATATGCATTTGATGGATGTTGATTTGCATTTTTTCGTGACAATTACTTATTAGTGTTTTTGTTGAACTATAATGAATAATCTGGGAACATAAGAAGTTCTGTGTTACATAAAAATGAAATACGAGTTCGTTGAAATTTCTATTTGGTCGAATAATTCTCCCATTGCACTATTTCTTTTACATAGATTTCTACATTATCTATTTCTTTCCTCATAGAACTGATGCAAAACTCTATAGCACCCATACACCGAACCACCGTTTCTCCGTGTCGTCTCTCGTTTTCCTTCTCTTCATATTCTATGACCAATTCATTTACTTTCTCCGAGTTTCGCAACTTCCCCGCCTCAATTTCCCTCGATTTCTCTTCTATGTCCACTGGTGGTGTTTTGACCAAAGACACCTTCAAATATTTCAGCAGAGACTTTATAGATTCTTTGAGTAGTTCCAATTCATTATCCAACTGCTCGTGATATTCCGACAGTGTTTCTAAATTGTACTCGAGAAAGTACACCATATTCACTATACAGGACAAAGATGCCACCACTTTCTTGTAGCAGGATGTCTGAAAAGGCAAGCACCAAAAATCGGGCTCCGAGTCAGCATCCGCCACTGATATACTCAGTTCTTGGACACGAGTCTCAAATTTTCTTTGATTTTTTTCTCTTGCTTGTAGGAATTTGGGCACTCTACGAAATCCCGTTCCGTTTAAGGAATTCTCGAGGGCTCCTAATGTCAGATACAACTGTCTCTTGGCTAGAGTGGCTGCTCTGTTTGGCTGAATAAGAAGCTCCACAAGAAGAAAACAAAACATCCCGACAAAAACTGATGTGATTCTGGCAATAGCAAATTCGCTCGGAGGCCCGTATTTCTTTCTCCCGAGTATTAGTGACGCACCTGCAGCTGCTGACATTCCGCCTGTTTGACCGTACATTCGGCTGTGCCTTATAAAGATTGAGAAAACTATCCACGGGAGAAGGGATAAGAGCCTTAATTCTAAGTAATGGAATAGAAAGCAGCATATTACACCGTACACCGATCCGACAGCTGTCCCTTGTGCTCTAGAGTTTGCTGCCGTGAAGAAGGGCTGCTTCCCTATGGAGAAGCCGGTGGCTACTGTGAGGCTCGCCCAGCACCCGTTTTCTTTCTCTAGCATCAATCCGGAGACCACTGCTAGGCCTAGAGAAAGCGAGCACTTTAATGCCGATTCGAGTCTGTCACTCCTACTGAGTTTGAAGATCCAATTCTTGATTTTTTCGATGATGGGAAACTCTGTTTTTTGAGGTTTAGTTTGGGAAATATGATTTTCTGCGGTTTTATTAATGAACATATCTATGCAGGAGAAGAAAAAACAGATGCATTGATGCTTGTTGTGTATAGGCACAAGTGGTAAAGAGAGGTTTTCTTCTATGAACGTGCTTCCTTTTCTTTTTTCATGTGCTTTTTCAATTGGAAGTATAGCTTGATCGATTTTATGGTGAAGATAGCTCGAAAGACTATCAAAAACACTAGGGAATTGTTCTTGATTATCTGGTGTTTGAGAAGAAACCAGGGAATATTCCATTCCGCTCATTGTGAGTTCCGTGATTCTTAATCGGTCTTTGATGCTAACTAAGTCGTGTTTGCTGTAATGGCTCCAAGGTCTCTCCCACCATATTACTTCCTTAAGAAAAGCAAATTTGATTGCTTAATATCGAAACAATTTGTGATGAAATTTTTTACGCATTTGATTAGTTGTAATATACAGTAACTTACTAATAAGATAGTGATATTATGTAGAAGCTTGTTTCCTGTTTGAGCAAAGGGCTTGGCTTGTAAGAGGAGCTCTGTTTTCGTCCGATTGTCGTTGGCGTCAAAAGCTCGTAAGTACAGATTCATCCTCTCACGAGCATTTTTAGCATATACTCGGCGTAGTTTCTCTACCTGGTTCGGATTAATTTAATGATATAATTAGAAACTTATGCATTCAGATTGAATAAGCTTGTCTTTAGAACAATTGGAAGCTTTTAAGGCCTTGTTTGGTTGCCAATATATAGGAGTCAAAGTAAGTGGTGATAAGAGCCAATATTGGAGGTCCGACTCACAAAGTTATTGGACTAACCAAAAATACCAAACGAGGCCAAAGTCTTGTATAACGTGAAAAATAATACCTCGAAATGGGCTAGCCGAGGAAAAGGAAGCAACAAAGCGATAACAGAAGCCGATGCGCCTAAGGCAGTGCTTGCTGCAATATGAAGAGGGTGCATATATCCACTAATGCTTTCATCACTTGTAATAACAGCATCTGTGCAGGTCAGCACAATCTGCCCTAGAGCGATTCTCTTTGCCATCAGATGCGTCGACTCGGGCAGCGCCACCACGAAGGAGGCGGCTGCCGCCGCCAGAGCCGCAATCCAGACGGACAGACCATCCCCGTCTCCGGCGAGCCACCACGCGGCCATGGCTGGCGGGACCACCTGAGCTGTGGCGCAGAATGCGTGCCAACAGCCGCGGAGGGAGCCGCCGAGTACGGTGGCGTCGAATGTTATAAGAATGGCAGTTACGTATGTGAAAGCGGGGAATTTGATTTGGTTTGTGATGAATGTGGGCCCGTAGAGGGTGGTGCCGCCTATTACGGCGCAGGGTAAGGCGGCTCTTACGGCGGAGTGAAGCCTCATGGCCCACATAACCCGGGCGGTGCTTCTCATCTTGTGTAGTGGAGATGGGGGAAATTGATGGTTACTGTTGTATGTATCATGTATGTATATATATATATATATATATATATATATATATATATATATAATCAATTTATTGAAGCATATTTTGGGGGAGTACACTAAAAACTAGAATTAATTGTAAGATAGTTGAAGAAGGAGTAAAAGTCCGGTGTTAGTAAATAGTAATGCATGGCATGGGAATAGGGCACGTTCACCCTTTGTCACTCCGAATAATTATTTTACTTTGTTAATCATTAATTACGCACCTAATCCTACGTTTTGGTGCATAGAATATAGATATTACGAAAAGAAAAATCTCGATAAATAAATGTTCGGTAAATGAATAATTAATTTTCTCCGGTCCCGACTTTGGGCAAATGGGATAACTGAATGACCTCGCTAAATGCATTAACGAATAAAAATATTTCGTTTATCGCAGTTTTACTGTAACCGGTAAGGCCCTGAGGTTAAGCAAAAACACGTTCTCTATTGTCAGTTTGTTAAGAAAATCATTAGCACTGAGCTAATAATAACTATAGCAAGATTTAATGATTAAATAAGATATTATTATTAGTTTATTACAATTAGTTAAATCCTCCACGTGTCATGGGCGGAATGGAATCCGCTTATCTCCGTAAACCAGGGAATCCGTTGAGAATTTAATCCTTTTGAACAATCTAAGAGGCATGGTTATCAAATTGTAAATCGAATCGAAAATCATTTTGTCAAAATTGCGAATCGTTAAATCGTAAGATTTTTTAAATTTTATTAAAATATTAATATATTAAATGATGTAATATTAGCAACCAAATATATATATATATATATATATATATATATGTATATTTGCATAGAAATCTACAACCAAACTACAAAATTATATGATTAACATGCTAATATTTAAAATTTAATAGTCAATGAATTTTACAAAAATTTAACACAATAAAAATAAAAAGTTTAATATTAAAAGAATTTCATTTAATTTGTAGTATTCGACAATGCAAAATTTTTATTGTTATTAGGTTCAACTAATATATATTCAAGATCTCACGCAAACAGTTAGTTGATGCATGGCAATCATAAATTAAATATTACATTGAAAAAAAAATAAGAATAAAACTCTTTTGAATATATCTCCTACTTTAAAATATTATTAGATTTGTAAAGTACAATAAAAATATCATCAATTTAAAAAAAAATACAATTGGATATGAACAATATTAAAAGAAGAAAAAATAGTCATTATAAGAGGTAAAAGTGTTGGTATTACGGGGAATTATCATATATTATTGTATTTGTACTTAAAATTTAATATTTTACAACAATTTTTAATTTTATTCTGAAAATATATATATTTTCAGAAAATCGTACAAATCGTAAATCGAATCGTAAATCGTACAAATCGAATTTATAAACTGTACGATTTTTTTTAAGATTTTCGATTTATTCAACGATTTGAATCGAAAATAATTCAAATCGAATCGAATCGTACGATTTTGATAACAATGCTAAGTGGTGTTGAAATCGTGCTCCCTTTAAGCAACTAAATTTAGAGTATGACGTGTCAAACTTGTGAATCAATACTAATTATTGCATGGTGAAATTCTCAAAACATTCACTAAGCACACATACACATGGGGATGTTACATCCAGATTATTTATATCATATACTTGTCAACTATAGATAAGGTTCGATAAACATTCACTAAACACACATAACACGTGGAGATGTGTGTAATTATGTATAAACTTACGGTTAACAATCACCCGATATACATAACCTGGCATAATATCTAATTTTCCATAAAATACATATTTCGCACAAACAAATTTGGTGGTTCTTAACCATACCCGCAGCAGCACGGAGTCTGGCATTCATGTATGTTTGGCATCAATATTTAATTTAAATCATTTAACACATTTCAGATGGACCAGCAATTAATATTATAGACTATAGTAGTAATTTCTTACTTAGATCCGAGGAATTATAGCTTGGAAAGAACATATTTATGAGTTATATCATCTGTCAACTTGCAACTAGTACCTATGCTGCACGAATACTTCTAGAAGGTGAAGAGTCTCCGTATATGACACTTGGACACTCGGACACACCCGGACACTTCTCGAACACCCGTGTTGGGCCGTGTCGTAATTTCGCTAAAATTAGGACACAAGTGTCGGGCAGTGTCCGCAATTTTAAAAAAGTTGAGACACGGCTCTTATGTTTTAAGAGAAAGACCTAATAAAAAAATATGCATTTTCTTTTCTTTGTAACAATACTTCCTCTGTCTTCTTTGAGAATCCACCTAAAAGTCCAAAACTCTAGCGACAACGGCGACCAAGAACACGAGCAGCAAGGACGAGCGTCTCTCTTATGCGATTTGACGACTTACAAATATATTCTTACAATTTATAAATGTATCTATATATTTTTATAATTTATAAATACACCCCTATGTTTTTTATATTTACGCGTATCCCCTATGTGTCCGTATCCTAGTTTTTTGGAAATGTCGTATCGCAGTGTCCGTATCCGTGTATCGCAGTGTCCGTATATCCGTATTCGTATCCGTGCAGCATAGACTAGTACACATGTCACGCCTCAATATTATTTTATAAGGTCTCATTTGGTTAGAAAGATTAGCCATAATTAATAAAAAAAAATAGATTTTGTTTGATATTTAGTATTCGATAACTTGTTGGTTGACTAACAAATATTATCCTACATGGCTTATTTTATCCTATCTTGCTTTTTAGAGAGTCTTTTTATTGAACATCTCAAAATCCGATAAAATCATTGGATTGTCATTAGATTATTTAATTTTATCTTAACTAATTTTAGCTTGACAATCAAACGAGGACTAAGAATAAAATTTCAAATATTTTTTTGGTAAAGGCAAAGACACCACCAAGTACAACAATTGAATTAATTACAAAAGTGTCCTCAATTATGTCCCAGGGAAGCCTTAAACCACCTTCCAACAATTTCGATAGTTGCAACATTTTTCACAAAGCATTAAATTTTAGGATAAATTACAATCACCCTGATATAAAGTTTATTTACGATAGCCCCCTCATGTTTCCATAATTACATTCATCCACGTAAGACATAAATTTATTATCCTAACACCCTTTTCCAGGGGTGAATGAAAGAAATTTACAAGTTACAACCAACAGGGAGGGCTGGATATAATTTCTAAAAATAAGTGGCTTTTTTGTAAATAGACTAGTCATGTAGTAATTAGATATCTAAACAAGCATGTATGTGTGTATATATATAGAATATCAGGAGTGATTTGAACTAACGAAAATCGTTTACGAACGTTGAATCGTATGTATGCATGTGTGTATATATATAGAATATGTGCAATGCAGCACAGGTAAAAACACCGACATTTAAACCCGTCGAACACGATAATACATAACAGGCGATTATTTAAACGAGTTATTTGAAGTTTCTATTTGGTCGAAAAATTCTCCCATTGCACTATTTCCTTTACACAGATCTCTACATTATCTATTTCTTTCCTTATAGAACCGATGCAGAACCCTATAGCACCGATACATCGAACCACCCATTCGCCCTGTCGTCGTTTCTCGTTTTCCTTGTCTTCATATTCTACGACCAAAGCGTTTACTTTCTCCGAGTTTCGCGACTTTCCCGCCTCAATATCCCTCGATTTGATCGAAGAAGCATTGTCTAAATATTTCAGCAAAGAATTTACAGATTCTTGGAGTAGTTCGAGTTCATTATTAACCTGCTCGTTCAACTCGTGCCTTAAAGTTTCCGACACTAAATCTAAATTGAGCTCGAGAAAGTACAGCATATTCTCTATACAGGACAAAGATGCCACCACCTTTTTGTAGCAGGTTGTCTGAAAAGGCAAGCACCAAAAATCGGGCTCCGAGTCAGCATCCGCAACTGATTTCCTCAGTTCTTGGAAAAGGGTCTCGAGTTTTCTTTGATTTTTCTCTCTCGCTTGTAAAAATTTGGAAACTCTGCGAGATCCCGTTTCGTTTAAGGAATTCTTTAGGGCTTCCAATGTCAGATACAGCTGTCTCTTGGCTAGAGTGGCTGCTCTGTTTGGCTGCATAAGAAGCTCAACGAGAAGCAAACATAACAGTCCGACAAAAACTGCCGTGATTCTGGCAATAGCAAATTCGGTCGGGGCGCCGTACTTCTTTCTCCCGAGTATTAGTGAAGCCCCTATAGCTGCTGAGATTCCGCCCGTTTGGCCGTACATTCGGCTGTGCCTTATAAAGACGGAGAAAACTATCCATGGGAGAAGGGATACGAGCCGTAGTTCTAAGTAACGGAATATAAAGCAGCATATTACGCCGTACACCGATCCGACAGCTGTCCCTTGTGCTCTAGAGTTTGCTGTTGTGAAGAAGGGCTGCTTCCCTATGGAGAAGCCGGTGGCTAACGTGAGGCTCGCCCAGCACCCGTTTTCTCTCTCTAGCATCAAACCGGTGACCACTGCAAGACCTAAAGAAATCGAGCACTTTAATGCCGATTCGAGTCTGTCACTCCTGGTGAGTTTGAAGATCCAATTCTTGATTTTTTCGGTGATGGTGAACTCTGTTTTTTGAGGTTGAGTTTGGGGTTTACGATTTTCGTTGGTATCGTTGAGCAATATATCTTTGCATGAGAAGAAGAAACATAGCCATTCATGCTTGTTTTGTATAGGCGCGAGTTGTGACGAGAGGTTTTTTTCGATGAATGTGCTTCCTCTTCTTTTTTCATGTGCTGCGGCTTCCGTTTGAAGTATAGCATGCTCGATTTCGTGGTGAAGCTGACACGAAATACTATCTAATACACTGGAGAGTTGTTCTTGATTATCTGGTGTACATGTTTGAGAATAAACGAGGGAATATTCTATTCCTCTCATTGTCAGTTCCGTGCTTCTTAATCGGTCTTCGATGCTAATTAAGTCGTGTATAACGTAATGGCTCCAAGGTCTTTCCCACCATACTACTTCCTGAAAAAAAGGGGAAGTTTGATTGGTTAATATCGAAACAGTTTGCGATGAAAAATGTACGCGTTTAATTTTGTAATCGAAATGACTTACTTGTAAGATTGTGATATTCTGTAGAAGTTTGTTTCCTGTTTCGGCAAAGGGCTTGGCTTGTAATAAGAGCTCTGTTTTGGTCCGATTGTTGTTGGCTTTAAAAGCACGTAAGTATAGATTCATTCTCTCACGAGCATTTTCAGCATATACTCGGCGTAGTTTCTCTACCTGTTGTTACGTATTAATTGTGAAAAGTTGAAACGTTTAAGGCCTTGTTTGGTTGCCATTATATATGAGTCAAAAGTAAGTGCTGATAAGAGCAAAAAATTTCGTAAATACCAAACGAGGCGTAACTGTTGTATAATGTGAAAAAATGTACCTCGTAATGGGCGAGCCGAGGAAACGGAAGCAACAAAGCGGATACGGAAGCCAATGCGCCCAAGGCAGTGCTTGCAGCAATATGTAGAGGGTGCATAAATCCACTACTGCTTTCATCACTTGTAATAACAGCCTCCGTGCACGCCAACACAAGCTGCCCTAGAGCGATCCTCTTAGCCGTCAGATGCGTCGACTCAGGCAACACGATCACGAAGGAGGCTGCTGCCGTCGCCAGAGCCGCCATCCAGATGGACAGACCAGCCTTATCTCCGGCGAGCCACCGCCCGGCCATGGCTGGCGGGACCACCTGAGCTGTGGCACAGAATGCGTGCCAGCAGCCGCGGAGTGAGCCGCCGAGTACGGTGGCGGCGTCGAATGTTATGAGAATAACTGTTACGTATGAGAAGGCGGGGAATTTGATTTGGTCTGTGATGAATGTGGGCCCATAGAGGGTGGCGCCGCCTACTACGGCGCATGCTAAGGCGGCTCTTACGGCGGAGTGCAGCCGCGCGGCCCACATGATCCTGGCCGGGCTTCTCATTTCGTGTAGTGGAGATATGGAAGAGAAAATGTAGTGATGAGAATGAAGGAAAATTGATAGGTTTTGATGTATGTATCATATATTCATATATGTGTATACACAATTTAGTAGAACATATTTGGAGTAGTCCACTAAAAACTGCAGGCTTGGTTTGAGAGAGCTCAAGGGGTATATTTATATGGGGAAATTAGTGATACCCTATTTTCCATTTTTTTAATAATTACTTAAACCGGAGGGGTGGTTTTTTTGCAATTTTCAGACTTAAATCAAACGGTATTAAGGTCAAAAGTCTGAAAACTAACGACAAGGGCAATATTGAGACAATTTTTCAAGTAAAAGGGGCAAATCGATGTAATCGAGAGTGGAAGGGGATAAAGTGATATTGAGCCAAAGTAGAAGGGGTAAAGTGAAATTTACCAAAAAAAAAAAACTAAAGGGTATCTAATATATATATTGGGAGAAAAAAAACGGTTTTTATTTGATCCAAGTAACGAATTTTTTTTTTTTGAATAAGTACTAGAATCTAATGTTGCAAGCTAGATAATCGTAGATAATCTTACTAAATTCAGGATTTCTATTTTCTGAAAAATAACCAATGTAATAATTAATAATCTAATAGTTGTTGCCCATGTAATAATTTTTCGTGTTCCACTTTGTAGTCCACATTTCGGAAAAAAGATATAAATATGCAATATTGGATACATGAGTAGAATATATGTCTGCAATAAAAAAAAATTATATATATGTTTCATAAACACGTATTAAAATATTAAAAAAAAATGAATACATATAGAATCATCTATGCTAGACCAATTATTTTGAATCATCTATTGAAATCATACTAAAGAGTATATGAATATCAAAGTATCTCACTATCTGAGGACTGAGATAGACATTGTAGTTTTGTATATAGAGGTGGCAAACTTGTGAATCAATCTGCATGTTCGTTCGATTCTAACGGGGAAAAGGAAAATACAGAAATTCCGCCAAACAACCCCCAACCCCACCAAAAAAGGAAAAAAGAAAATAAAAATGGATCTCTCTCTAGAAATGAAAGGCATTTATCGGTTGGAAAACATGAGGTTATCCGAGTTTGTATATAGAAGTGTCAAACTCGTGCAATCAATCTGTATGTTTGTATGATTCTTACGGGAAAAAAAGAAAATACAGTAATTCTGCCAAACACCCCCCAACCCCACCAAAAAAACGAAAAAAATGAAAAAAAAACGGAGCTCTCTAGAAATTAAAGGCATTTATTAGCTGAAAAACATGAGGTGATCCCAGTTTGCCTCCTTGACAAGGTAACCATTATTCCCAAAATTATGCCAAGTGCACAGTATTACTTGACGATGGCATTTATGTAATTTTATAACTATTGTTACATGGATTATTTAAATTATTTATTTATTCTTCGTGTATTTATGTCGATATCTATCTAATTCGGAATCGCAATCGCCACACCAATTATCAACCCTACACCAAATAGTTCAATGGCAATTGACAAGTAAAATCCCTATTTCATGCAAACATATTTTGTGGTTCTTATTCCAACCCGCACCAGCACGTTTTCTCGCACACATATATATTTTGATATATGATATCAGTACGAAATTTCAGATGGATATGCATATGTATGAATGACACACACGTAGGACAAAATATAATGGTAATATTGTTAAATTAGATTCTAAGGAATTCTAATTGAGAATGACAGATAAATGAATTCTGTCATCGGACAACTTACAACTACTCCTCTACTACATCGGAGCCTGCGACAATATTATTTTACGAGAAAAAAGGATAACTAAAGATACTGCCACTAAAGCAATTAAATTAATTAAGCCACCTTGCAACAACTTCAATAGCAGCATTTAATTTTATGATACTGACCCCTTCAGTTTCTAGAGAACTCTAGTTCAGTTTCTTCTAAGTTCAAGTTCAAGTCTTACTAAGTCGGGATATTAATGGAATTTCTATCAATTTGTTTTCGTACATGATTTTATCTATATACTTATAACACCTGATTATATTGACTATCACGACGTATGAATATAATCTAATATCATTTATATAACGAAGAATCTTTACTTCAGATAACTAACCTGAAAGTCGGGATTGTTTAGGCAGACGGCATCTCATGAAATCAGCTTTTCTTTTGTGAACAAGTCCGAGAAAGAAATTCTGCAGCACCAAAAAAAAGTACAAACAATGTGATGCTAATTCATTCTTCGAGCTAGTAAGCTACTGCACAAAATATGATGATATAAACTTTTTGTTCTGCTGAAGACAATAAGCCGGTTTTGGTGTTGTCTTATAAACCATGTCCACAAGACACATGGTACTGAGACAGTCATATACTAATTACATGTACTGAAAGAAGATAACATATATATTAGTGCTGTAGTTACATATCAAAATAATTTCCCACATCAGATGGTCAAATTAAGAGGGGAAATTAATGTAGGAATTTGTGTCTCCAAATTAAGCTTTGGTCTGGGAGCGAGTCCGAGGAAGAAATCTGAGTCGGGGAGAAAAACGCGTCTCTTGCTTTTTTGAAGTAGCAGACTTCCTGCTTATGCCAGCAACACTTTCTGCAATATGAAAATACTTTTCAGGAACGGAATTGAACTAAAGAAAATAATTCAATTTTTTTTGTAGATTTATCATGAGAACAACATAATATAAGATAGCAGCACGGAGCACTGTATTGCTGCCTGCGGATTTCTTCAACCAGCTTTATGACGGCACAATACTATTATACAGTTTGCACATATAACCTCTGCTTCATGCAGAAATCAAATATTGAGTTGAGGTACCGGCAGTGTTCGGGGTGGTCTTGACTCTGTTGCTCTCACCGGAAACATCGCCCTTCAACAAATCCAATTCTTTTGATTCCGAGAATTTGGTTTTGCTAATCTTTTGTTTGGGTTGCATGTTATTCTTCTCAGTCTCTTCTCGGGACACTGAAGCTGAACGTGTTAGCCTTTTTGAGGGATTGTGTTTTTCTGCATCTTCAGCAAAGGTCCTTTTCCGAGTAGATTCACACATTTCATTACTTCTCTGAATTTGTGAACGAGTAAACCTTGTTTGTGAAGGCTGGATTATCTTCTTTTCTGAAATCTTGCTTTTCTTTTCTAAGGAAGAAACTTTAGGAAATTGAGGTTCTGGTGGAGTAGTTGATGTTGGGAAGAGTGTCTTCGCAATATCCTTAAAATTTGGACTTTTGCCTCCTAATGCAGCTGATATTTCTAATGAAAAATCATCTGCTTTCTCCACATTGCTCTGGAGTGAAAGCTCTACACTTTGTGGAAAATTTGATCTTAGTGAAGCAAGAGCTGCACGAGCAGCAAGAGGGCTGAGAAGCGATCTGCTTCCATTGAACTCCTCTTGTGGAATTTCGGTTGTTGTCTTGGCAGTATGTTCAGTCCCACTCCCAGTATAAGCCTTTATATTATTAGGGAAAGGGATTGTGACACATGGTTCTTTCAAGGATGCGTCAATTTCCCAGCCATGGCTTTGTCCTCCAAGGTCAACTGCATAGAGAAACCGTCAACATAAATTATCTTAAAAATGGAATATGAACTACAAAGAGAACCCGTCGTCATAAAACAATGTGAACTCTGAAAAGTGAAAACAATGTGAAACTCTCGAAAGAAGCTTGCATCCAAAACTGTAAAACAATGTACTAGGATGCAATCTCATATGTCTGAAGGCAGTTAACTAATCATACAGTTATATTGAAACTAAAAAAACTCCACAAAGTGGAATCATCAGTACATACTGCAATGTTTTCATTCATCATTGCATGAAATATATTGATGAACCTCTACCACCTTCAGTGGTGAGTGACAGTACCGCAACTTCCTAATACCAAATTGATAGGGAAGCATGATAATTTCACTTTCACCAACTTGGTTATTCGTTTCGAACGAAGACTAAAAGTTCTGATTTCGCTTTTTCATCAATGGCTACCTCCAATTGAAATGAGGTCATCCCAAAAGCAAATCACTGTTTTGTTTCTTGAGATGTGTAGTACACATAATTGATTGAGAAAAATAGACTAAGATTATTATCACCTTCGAGTCCTAAAACAAAGTCCTTGGAGATCTTCTGAGACACATTCGTTGAGTTACGTATCTCCTCTATTTGTTTTTCAAGCAGAACATTGATATCCATTTCCAAGTTCGTAATATCAGCAGCGATTGAATATGGCGACTTGTCTAAATCATTAGAGGATTCCAGCATGCTGAAGTAGGTAGAAATAGTTGGATGGAGATTGATGCTTTCAGTAGATAGTTTCATGATTGCACCGGCTGGGACAGTCAGCGTTTCTTCTTGATGAAGCCACTTGATTTTGAAAGTGCATCTGCAGTGGATCCTCTTTGAATGCCTCACACGCATTGCCTGTTCATTTTGCTTCCTCAAGGTCAATCGAATAGCAATAAAAGTAACTTTTGTAGATCATGTTTATTATAACATTAATGAAGGATCAGTTTTCCACTATGATGAACATATATGCATATACAACAAACATCAATGACTTCAGGTTTCAATATGATAATACAATTTACAATCCAGTGTCTATGTATTCTTTGGAAGCAAAACCAAACTAGTTAAATACAGTCAGTGAACACCAATCACCACAAATAGTCATTTATTGAAGAAGACGAACATTTTTACAGCAAGTTTATTTCACAGAAACCATCATTATCATTCACACACCCGCACACAGTTCCCCTCAAATATGTGACATTAGAATATAACTGCATTTAAATAACAATTCTGTACTTTCCAGCTACTACTTTGTCTTGCAGAATCCGCAAATCAAACAGAGCACAAAGTGTGTATACCTCTTCCACCAGAGCATCACAGAACACACTCTTAGCATGCGAACTTCTGGTGGCAAGCACACGATCGCCTTGTCGGAGAGAAGAGCAATCGTCGCCTTGTAATGGAGTAGAACGCACACGAATCCGTGCCATTACTTCCTGTTGATCAGTGATTATTTCTTCCATATAGTTGTCTCCGAATTGCAGAATAAGACCTAAACCTCTGGAGCTACATCCACAGGAAATCCAGTCAGATCTAATAAAATGTCGTCAAGTACAACTCTCGGTCTGAGCCGAAAAGTATGGCTGATACACTAGCAAAAACAATTAGGGCACTGAGACAAATATTAAGCTACCATGGAAAGCTCAAACGAGATAATGCATTATGAAACTCCAATCGAGCTGAATAATCTACATGCCGATGAACAATCTACATTGTTATTACCGGGAAAAAAAAGTAACAGAGAGAGAACTCAAGTTTATACATATATTAACATGCAGAAATACATAGCATAAGTAAATTGTTTATGCATCCATTTTCTCTGACAATCATGCAGTTATTGAGATATTTACTTCAGTTTACGTAATAACATCGATAGTAATTCAATCGAAAACAATCCATATGAAACTACTACTACTAATCAAAACGATCCATTAGATCATTTTAGATTTCCAGAAACAAAACTCAGCTCAAATATTGATCGAGAACAGTAGAATTTATACAAATAAGTGGTCGAATAAGATTGGGCAAAACATTTCCACAGGTGAAAATCGAAAAACTTAGAAAGAGGAGTGAGAAACAATTACAGTACAATAAGAGGAAAAAGGAACTGACCAGAGAGAGACCTTGCAAGGATGCCACGAGAAGCTGTCTTTCCGCATAGCCTCGAGCTGGACGACGTCGTTTCCTGTACTGTTATTGCCTCCGGTATCCGCCATTGTTTAAAGTGTGCTCACCGCTACCAACTGATCGCCGAGTTTCAGCAGAAATTTGGGGGCGAGAGAATTGTTCGATCGTTAACAATGAGGATCGGAAGCTAATGGAGAGCAATGCAGTAAGTACCAACAAAATTCTCGTGTATTTTGTTTTCTTCTTCCGAAAATAATTAAATCATTAATGTTTATTTAAATTTAATTGCTTCTTATTTATATAATTATTTATTTAATTTAAATTTAAAAAATCAATAAAAGGAAAAACAAAGAAAGACCCTGGTCGGCTAGAATTATACCACGACCGTCGAATACTTTTCCGCATCCAATCCGACGGTTGCCGCACTATTAGGGTTTATTCGAAAACACACAAAAGCCTAAGAACCATCTCTCTTATAAACACTCTAAACCCCACCTTTCTCACTCCTTTCAGTTTTCCGAAACCCTAACACTTCTTCAATTCGCTCTCTCTCTCTCTCTCTCTCTCTCCAAATTTGACGAACAATGTCAGGGAAGGGAGAAGGACCGGCTATAGGAATTGATCTCGGAACAACGTATTCATGCGTCGGCGTTTGGCAACACGACCGTGTAGAAATCATCGCCAATGACCAGGGAAACAGAACGACGCCGTCGTACGTCGGTTTCACCGACAGCGAGAGGCTTATCGGAGACGCTGCGAAGAACCAGGTCGCCATGAATCCTGTCAACACTGTTTTCGGTAAGATCTGCGCTCTTACTGATTAGCTGTCATGTTTGAATGTTGCTTTGATAATCTATCATGTATATTGATAGATCTGTTTATATATTGTATGTATTTTCATTAGGATTTTACTATGTATCTTTGTGCCAACAGCATGCAACTGCGTTGTGTGTTTTTTAGATGTATAGTTTTCATATCTACACAGCAATACTAATTAGGTCACGTGACTAGTTGTGTTGATTCTTTACAGAGTGGTGATTTTCGATTGTATGCGGTAGACGCAAAGTTCCATGGAATTTGTACGAAAATTTTCTAATACAGTTGATTGACTGTTCTTATCTGAATCTAAATTACCATATTTGTCTTGCCTTTTACTTGTTGAACTGTGCATTTACTCTTATGTTGATATTCAATTATGATTGTCCGATAATCAAATTAGAACGTTGATGCAGTTTATGATGCTTGATTGAATGTTAACTGTATATAAGTGGTGTTTTCTGTTCCCTTTAAATGTTATTTTGCTCTGTATATTGTATTTTATTGCAATAGTACTGATGATTTTGTTTTAATATTCTATTTTCCTATAGATGCAAAGAGGTTGATTGGAAGGAGATTCAACGATGCCTCAGTTCAAAGCGATATTAAGCTATGGCCATTCAAGCTAATTCCCGGACCTGGTGACAAGCCCCTCATTGTTGTTAATTACAAGGGCGAAGACAAGCAATTTGCTGCTGAAGAAATCTCTTCAATGGTCTTGATTAAAATGAGGGAAATTGCCGAAGCCTTCCTCGGTTCAACTGTGAAGAATGCTGTCGTAACTGTACCAGCATACTTCAACGACTCCCAACGCCAAGCCACAAAGGACGCAGGTGTAATTGCGGGTCTCAATGTGATGCGTATAATCAACGAGCCAACGGCAGCAGCCATTGCTTACGGTCTCGACAAAAAGGCCACAAGTGTCGGCGAAAAGAATGTGTTGATTTTCGATCTTGGAGGTGGTACGTTTGATGTTTCTTTACTGACAATTGAGGAGGGTATATTCGAGGTCAAGGCGACAGCTGGTGACACCCATCTCGGAGGTGAGGACTTTGACAACAGAATGGTCAACCATTTTGTGCAAGAGTTCAAGAGGAAGAACAAGAAGGACATTAGTGGAAACCCGAGAGCGTTGAGGAGATTGAGAACTTCGTGCGAGAGGGCGAAAAGGACTTTATCTTCCACCGCCCAAACAACAATTGAGATTGACTCTCTATATGAGGGTATTGACTTTTACTCAACCATTACTCGTGCCAGATTTGAGGAGCTGAATATGGATTTGTTCAGAAAGTGCATGGAGCCGGTTGAGAAGTGTTTGAGGGATGCGAAGATGGATAAAAGTACCGTGCACGATGTTGTCCTTGTCGGTGGGTCCACTAGGATTCCGAAGGTGCAACAATTACTACAAGACTTCTTCAACGGAAAGGAGCTCTATCGAAGACGAACACTTAAGTTCA